CTGATAAGAGCCTGCCGTGAGGACGGGAGAGGGGGGCGGGGGAAGTACGGACCTATGCCGCGTTTGCGCCATGCCTTGTCCACGCTGAGCATCGCGATGTACCCCCGGTTCGCGCGCTCGCGGTGCATCGACTGCTTGCACACGATCACGCCCACAGGCTGCTCCGTGCTCTGGGAGACCAGGGCAGAGGGTGGGGGTGGGGTTGTGTCGCTGTCGCCGTCGGTGTCCGCGTCACTCGGGTATGCCTGTCGAATCCGTTCATGCCATGCGCAGGGGATGCGAGTAGTACCCGGTCAGCTCATGCCCCCCTCACGAGACTGAAAAGAGAGCCCACTCACCAAGAACGCCAGATGTGGCCTGCATCCACCCAAAAGTACCCCAAAAAGGCAGAGAAGAGCGTTCATATCAGCTCTCCGCCGGCGCACACGACCATGAATCGGCCAACAATTACTCACCACTGATGGAGAAAGTAGCGGAACGTGTATATGACGTACGGCTCGCTGAGCTCGCTCTGAACGAGAGCCATGATGTGTGGGAGGTCGGCTTCGCCGCGGTACTGGCGGTAGGTAATGGTGGACATGTAGTTGTGAGGTGGGAGGTGGGAGTGTAGGTGGTGGGCAAGGATAAGGGGCGATTAGGGCGTGACGCCGAATATGGTCGCGTTCGCCGTGACACGTATTCGGGACCAATGTCGCATCGCCTCGACCTAAATGAATTGCCCCGGGTTATCGCAGGCTCGTCGTAGACAACTCATAGATAGTACAAAGTACAATTTTCATCGATTCTACTTATACAAACTACCGGAATTAAGCCTCTACTGCTCTCACACTCGCTCCAGCTCCGCCCTTCTTCAAGGTTTCCTCGAACGAACCCGTGGCAGGTGTGTACGAAGAATCACCAGCGGGAGGGGTAGGAAGATCGATAGTTGCGACTGGCCCCGTGAACCAGTACACGCCACCATACTTCGGGAAGTAGTACCACACGAGCGAGAGAATCATCACGCCGCCAAACACGACCACGGTGTAGTTCATGTCCTGGACGCCTGGCTGCGGGGTTTCTGGGAAGAGGAAGACGACGCTCATGAAGAGCATAAACACGATCGCGACAATTCCCACAGGAAGACTCTGCAGGGTAATGGTTAAAACTCAAGTGGAAATGGATGGAAACCAGGACAAACCATTATACCGAGGCTGAACGGCCCGGGCTTGAAGTCGTTTTCACCCAAGAAACGGGCGGCGATGGGGACGGCATACGCGTAATAGAGCCCAACGACCGACAGTGCAAAGACGGCGTTGATCGCCTGATCACCAGCAAAGACCAGGAAACCCAACGCGATGGAGAGGATGGCATCGAACCAAACGGTATTCACAGGCGTGCCCGTGAAGCTGTTCATGCGATATAGCCATCCAGAAAATGGGAGTGCTGAACGATCGTTAACCTATAGCCTCGACAAAAGATGGGTCAGATGTACCTCCATCTCGACTGAAAGCAAATGTTTGTCGACTCGCAGCTAAGAGCTAGATGATCGCTGACATCAGGTATTATCCAAGGAGGTATAGAGAAGAGCCCACCATGCTGGAGCCCATCATATACCTACGTAGATGACGATCAGTATACCTACCCCCGCAAAGGATCATCATGCTTACTGCACAATAACAACGAACGCCCAGATCGCGAGTGTCGGTTTCTCTCCAAAGCTATTGAAAAATATCTGAGCCATCGGCTGGTCACTATCAACCAGCGCTTCCAAGTCGGTGCCCATGCAGAAGGCGAGAGACATGTTGATGGCTATTATAGCAAAGTGTCAGGCCGACGTTTGTTTTGGACGATAAAATCCACGCGCCCCATCCCAGAACTCCAGCAATCCCGATGGCGTTGACGATAGCCCATGGCACAGCCGTAGCTGCATTAGAGGCCTCCTCGCTAATATGCACGCTGGAGTCGAAGGAACCTGTATCGACACTTGTCAAATTACTGCCTGGCGGCAACCAGATATCCACCTACAGATCGTCCACAAAGGTGCGAGAAAGCTCAAAATGAACGCATATCCATCCGTCCAGCCATTAACTACGCATGCGTTCACGTCAGGACAGAAAAAATATTCGCTGGAAGGCTAGGCGCACTATTATGGAAATCCCACAGAGCAAACTTGGCCGTGTTCTTGAACTCCCTCGGCGTAGATGCAGGCAGAGCGACGATGATAGCCAAGCACAACCTGCCAGTGACTCATTCAGCAACACAAGGCACAAAGGGCGCCCTAGTCAGAGAGCACTTACAGGACGTTCAAGATAACATAAACAGTCTGGAGCCTCGCAAGGACTGTGGTTCCCAGACAACACAGGACGGCATGGGAGAGGACGATGGCCGCATATACCCCACTGCGCGTAGCATTAACTTCGCAGCTGACAGAGCGAATACTACTAGAATGGGGACGCACAAAAGCTGAGCCGAAGTTGGCTCGAAGATCCCTCCTGAGCCAATATTGGCCGCTGCCATGACCTGCACCGCGCATCCCCAATCAATGGAGGCGACGGCAGCGATGGACCCGATGGTGTTTGCATCTAGAGTCAGAAAAGCTGCTGTCAGCTGTTGGGCTCCAAGACGGGGACGAGCACGCACACCCAACGGACCAGCACAGGACGTTCCTCCACCGCGGCGACGAAAGTGAGTAGGTCCAAAAATACAACTGCAAACCACAAATAAAGAAGTTCCTTAGCCGGTGCAAGGACTATGCAGACCCCCAAAAAAAGACCCACCCCACCTGACGTTGGCGCCGCGGACGCTAGCTCCGCCATCGAGAGTCCTATGAACAGCACGAATATGCTTGCAACGAGCCACTGCACAGCAACAGCGTGTGAGTAGTTTCCTCTAACTCAAGTGCGACCAGAGCGAACGTACCCCCCAGACCATCGCCGGCCCGCCGCCATTCGGGATCGCGTAAAACAGAACAGACGCTATCGAGGGTAATAGCCCGATGATTGAGAACGCGATACCGAACACCTGCAGAGAGCATACGAAGAGCGGTCAGATCCAGAGCGTAGGAATATGAACGGAAGAAGGATAACCGAAGGAAAGGGAGGCTGGGACGCACCTCAAGAGGCGTGAATGCCCTCTTGAACTCCTGCTTGTACCCCAGCGCTGCGAGGAGCGCTTCGTCTTGCTGCCTGATCTCCTCGCGCCGTGAGAGCCTGGGTTTCGGGTCGTCTCCTACTCCAGTGCCCATAGATGCTGTCATGAGTCTTGACTGTGGTGTTCCGTAGTTGGTGCTAGTCGTGCGGGAGTTGTAATCCCGATCGCCTTGAACAGTCGACAGAGTCCGAACGAGTTCAGACGCCAATGAAGAATAGAACAAAGCTGTCCAAGTTCAAGAGAGTCGTTCCCAGCTCCCAATTTGGGCCCAACTTGAGCCTCCCAGGCCCTTCGCTGGACGTGCGTTCCCCCGGGTGGATGATAAGGCAGGTGGAGATAAGAAGCGCCCCCAATTCCCAAAGATAGCGGGTGACCTGGAGCTTATTCTATCTCGGCTGCGGTGACACTTGAAGTGGAGGAAAGGGGATAGAAATCTATTGAGCCAAAGATAAGTCAGAGTGTTACTCGGAGCGACAATCTTGTGCCATGAAGTGGAAACGTACCTGCCAGATTGGCTCAAGCTACCGTAGGTCCGCCGGAAGCACGTCCAACCCCCTGCTTCCTCCGTTTCCGTGCAGATGCGCGCCGCTAGATACCTGTGAGGGACGAGGAGTTGCACAGTCGAGCAGAAAGAGGTCTGCTGAAAAAATGAAATCAGCGTTGCACGTGGTCGCGCAAAATCAAATTCAAAGGCCAAATAGGGATGAGATGTCCATGTCCTAAGTCGACCACACCCAAGTAAATATGATGCTGGAAATTGGAATGAGTTGAAGAGTATTTCCAGTTCGACGAGCCAGCTGCTTCTGAAAGAGACTTCTTCCAGCTCCTTCCTTGGCAGAGTTACCAATGGTTGTGGCCTTGAGATGAAAAAATAAGGTCTTCCTTCTTAAAGTAACCCTCCATGTCCTAAACACGAGCACGGCGACACTCGATTGAAAAAAGTGTTCCTCTGCGAGCATCATTTAAGGCAGATATTTCCTTCTCTATGACCGCAAGCAGGGACATTGTACATGCTTCTAAAGTCGAAGAGCCCGAACAACTTGAAAATAAGTCCAGCTTGCCAAAGGACGATATATTCCACACGTCCGTACATGCAGCTTTGAAACATTGTACAGTTCGGCGTTGTGGGACTGCCAGTCACTATGGGCGCCTATGGTAGTCGATGAACCGCCCGGCCCGCGAGGCATGGCAGACCCCTATCTGATCTCACCACATCAGGGTTTCTGAACCTCGACACGTCAATGGCCTCAAAGACGCTGCTACCACCATGACTAGCATCGCCAGCCCCCCTCAAATATTCAACAGACAGTCTGCGAACTTCATGCAGAGAACGAAATCCCCGACTTTCTCTTATGCAAGTAGAGATACATAAGTACACCCCAAACATCACACGTCTCACAACTTCTTTCATGTTTCCCCTGTTTGGATCAGAAGACTACATAGTTACAGTTTGACTTTCATGAGCAGGAGGAGGCAGGAGGTCGAGGAGATAAGATGCCGATAACTTTCGCCGAACACATAAGCATGAAATCGGCTCGATGCTTTCTTACCTTCAACCCTCTTGGGCTTTGACCATTCTTTCTTGTTGATTCCCTTTTTTTTTTTTCTTTCTTTTGGAATGTTTTTATAGCCTGTCGGATCCCTTTCGGGTTCCATAGTGGCTTCGTACATGTGGACTGCTATGCTACTCTACTGGCCACCAGTGCCAGTGCCAAATGGCTGATAGCATGGCATGTCTTTCATCGCTTCTTTGGGCATTCGCTAATAGTGTGTTTCCATGTACGTACCCGACTGCTTCTGCAGCTGGTAGGCACAAAGATTCAAGGCGTTCAGACGTGAGGGTGACTTTGCTGCAGCATGTCTTGCAAATGAATGATAACTTGTCTTTGCGAGTTGTTTGTCAGGTCGAGTCAGTGTGATGCGGGTGAAGTATGTTTTTGGATTTATGTAGTGTTTGAGGGGGTAGGCATTGGAGAGGTAGTGGGTACCCTCCGTTTCTTCCTTTCGCAGTAGCGGGAGACCCGGTGCCACGATCCAAGCAGGAAGATACCATTCTGATGAAGGCGATCACAGACATGCTGGTCTTCAAACCTGACCAGCATTGACAGGTGCTCCTTCTCGAATTCCTCTCCATCTCGACACAGAACCCTGAGATTACCTCTGATGTCCTTACTTACCACGCCTCCCTCCTCCTCCAGCATCGTCCAGATGTCATCTTTTGAGTCAGCAGCGTCAAAGGATTGCCCAAGGGATACTGCAGGAAGATCATGAATAATGATACCATGCCATGGAATGTCTATGTCTAGAACTGGGAGATAAGATGGGCAGCTGAAGTCGGGGATGACTCTGGCACAGTCATGTATCATTTGGGGATGTGCTTCATAACGGCCCACCATGGACAAAATAGGGCTTACCACGTAAATACCACCCCCCGCAATGAATATGTCACCCGAAAGTCCCAGATCGTCGACGTTCGTTGACGATCATCAACTTTTGTCAATGTTTGTCAACGATCTCCAACTTTTGTTGACGTTCTTTGACTTTTGTCAAAGATTTCCACCGAAATACTGCGATCTTCAACATTTGGCACAGATCAATATGGTAGGTTTCTTCAACTTTCTGTTACCATTTTCACTGTGAGCCTCTCATTCTTTCATTCTTTCTTTGACATCTGGCCAGAATCTTCAAGAATCTTTATATTTTTCTTCAGGAATGTGTTGGACCCCAGGACTTTGCGAGGGGCTTGGCACACTCAACTCATGTGCCAGGCCTATGCCGGCTGCTCTGCTTGCATGCTGACTAACAGTCAGGCCGTGGGGACCCACCAATCTTAGTCAGCGAGGTATTTCTGCTCCGCTGACTAAGATTGGCAGGGTCCCACAGCGCACTGACTAAGTTGTTGCTCCTGCCCTTCTCATCACTGTTGTGGACAGCAAGCTTGCTGTTCACACCATTTCTGGTCCATTTCCCTCCATTTTTTTTGCTAGTATCAATGTATGTAGTTATTAATAAAGTTATGTAACATATATACTGTTGTAAACCCCCATAAGCTGTATAAAATGCAAAAACAATAATATGAATAACAGTCCCTCATCCATACCCAGCCCTAGGCATATTCCCCAGCCCAGTAAGCATCTGGAGTGTATTTAAATATGGAGCGCCGCACATGTGGGCAAAGATATGAGGAGGGGGAGGAGGAGCACATACCTCATCAGTCACCATGTCCTCCTGTCATGAATAGCGCATATCGCATGCTCTAGGTAGACTCTACGGGTGTGTAATATGTATACCTTAATATTTTAGTAGTCACAGTTAGAGAATAGATGCTTGGGTGAGATGGTATTAAAGCAAGGAGGATATCTGCATAAAAAGCATGAAAATCGTCCACTGTCACATAAATACATCAAGTAAAAATAATATATATACCTAGGCATGTACTCATACATTCTAAGAGCTAGCTGAAAAAGAGTTTACGAAATTAGAGCAAGATTGAGGTGAGATATGGATGAGACAGTGAATTTTGAAGGGCAGAAACTTGGTCACTACATGTGACTGTAATTTGCATCTTACTATCTACCCTTCTTTGGGAGTTCCTTTACCATATCTCACCTCAATCTTGCTCTAATTTCGTAAACTCTTTTTCAGCTAGCTCTTAGAATGTATGAGTACATGCCTAGGTATATATATTATTTTTACTTGATGTATTTATGTGACAGTGGACGATTTTCATGCTTTTTATGCAGATATCCTCCTTGCTTTAATACCATCTCACCCAAGCATCTATTCTCTAACTGTGACTACTAAAATATTAAGGTATACATATTACACACCCGTAGAGTCTACCTAGAGCATGCGATATGCGCTATTCATGACAGGAGGACATGGTGACTGATGAGGTATGTGCTCCTCCTCCCCCTCCTCATATCTTTGCCCACATGTGCGGCGCTCCATATTTAAATACACTCCAGATGCTTACTGGGCTGGGGAATATGCCTAGGGCTGGGTATGGATGAGGGACTGTTATTCATATTATTGTTTTTGCATTTTATGCAGCTTATGGGGGTTTACAACAGTATATATGTTACATAACTTTATTAATAACTACATACATTGATACTAGCAAAAAAAATGGAGGGAAATGGACCGGAAATGGTGTGAAGCTTGCTGTCCACAACAGTGATGAGAAGGGCAGGAGCAACAACTTAGTCAGTGCGCTGTGGGACCCTGCCAATCTTAGTCAGCGGAGCAGAAATACCTCGCTGACTAAGATTGGTGGGTCCCCACGGCCTGACTGTTAGTCAGCATGCAAGCAGAGCAGCCGGCATAGGCCTGGCACATGAGTTGAGTGTGCCAAGCCCCTCGCAAAGTCCTGGGGTCCAACACATTCCTGAAGAAAAATACATGGTGTGGCGTCGTGGAGGCAGTTCGGGGTCTCAGAGATTCTTGAAGAAACTGGGAGAATAGGCCAGTCTGTGTCAAGGCAAATTCTCATTTGTTTTGGCCTCTGTCAACGGATCGGTGACGAGCGGTGACATTCTGCAGGGTGTCATTCTTTGATTATTGTTAACATCCTGCCAAAAAAGGTAACTTTCTGTGCTGATCATCAAAGAACATCAACATTCTTTGACAATCGTGACCGTTCCTTGGCTATCGTGACCATTCCCTGACTTTCTCCCACGTTCTGCCACAATCGTCACTGAATTTCATTTACATTGTATTTTTGTCCAGCACGGACCACCATAGTGCTTGGAGCTCTGCTGCTACTGCATCATTGATAGTGTGAATAACCATGTTACCCGACTTTGTGACAGTTGGCGGCAAGGATTTTCCTGGGTGTCTCCCCTCGGGATGCTGGGTTGCGTTCAAGGTTGAACATGCCGTTGAGGTGTCTAACAAACATGCTGAGTGATGATGATGTCTGGGGTACTGGGTGCCCATCCCATCTTGCAATGAGTCGACTGGTGGAGTGAGGGTGCGGATGACGAGGCCTCTGTTCGGCAATGGAGGGTCTGTGGTGTGCAGTGGCGCCAGCTGGTGACGATCTTGCATGGTTCGTTGGTCTCGAGGTGACTTCAGGTTGGCAGGATTTGGCCGCATCTGCGTACGACTGCTTGGGGTGGCTTGCTAGCTCTGGTGTAGGAGCTGGGGCGGTCAGGTTGTCTGTGGCGTGTGCTGGGTCCTCCAGTGGCAAGAGGGTGTTGAGCATTTTGAATACTCGTTTCGAGTGGTCACTAAGAGCGACTGCGGTGTTGGTGGCAGCCCGTATGATGACGAGTGTTGCTAGGACAGAGTCCAGCAACGATTCGAGGTGCTTGACCTGGGCCGCAACAGGCTCGGGCTGCGTCCGCGGTGGTGGTGCGTGGTGGGGTGACTCAGCGGGCAACCCTTCGAGTGGCAGTAATTGGGTGTGTGGTGGAAGGAAGGCTGGGGTTGGCCCATCCTCGGTTGCAGGTGTGTACTTAGTACGTCCTCTTTTCACGGTTCTCTTTGTGTGAGGAGACGTCTTCTGGGCCTCGTCGCTCTCCGACTCTGGGGGGGTCGTTTCCGGGGAGCGCGGTCGTCGTGTGCCCAGCGTCACGGACAGTGAGCTGGCTCGCTGGCGTTGATGGTGGTGGTTCGATCGTGAGAACATTCCTCGTTGATTCCCTAAAGCCATACAGCGGGAAACTGGTGAGCCGCTCAAAGGAGTCATGGTCAATCTCTCCTGCACTGTGTGCACGATAGCAGGCTGCGTCGAAGAGATTAATACCTCCGGCGAGGAGTGCTCAACCGCAAAGTTCAGTGACAGACCCTGTTTCGCATGCCAGGAGCTACTCTCTATCGACTTCCAGATTTTCCAAGCGCGGGAGACTCTGCTGAACCTCTACCTCAGACGCTGCGACACCAAACTCCGTCGAAACAAGCACCATGACCAGCTCGTCCGGGGACTCCCAGTAGAGGTCATATCTAGTGGTGTCGAGGTTCGGTCCTGAACTTTGGTTCGAACCTGAACCAGCTAGAACTGAACTCGATGTTCGGTCCAGGGTTCGACGAAAGTGCTGAACTGGACCAAAAGTCCAGTTCTCGGTTCAGGCCCCGCCGAACGGGTTCGAACCCGTTCGAACCTGCAAGCGAAAACCAGCAATAAAAGGGTGTTTTCGAGCCGGATTTCGAGCAATTTCGTGTGGATTTTGCAAGGGAATAGTCGGGAAAAAATGATTGCCCACCTTCATGTATATTTTAGGGTACGTAGCTTCTGTATCGGGCTGTGTAGCCGCTCTCGGCAAGCCCCGACAGCCCCTATCGTCCACATCAACCTACAGAATCTCACTCAAAGCTACACACCACAGTGTTCTACAATTTATTTAAGCACCCAGTAGTACTTATAAGTAAAATTAAAAGTGCTTTGAAGTGAATTTCCTGCCAAAAATTTTCTCAACCCCGAAAAGAGTTCGAACGTGTTCGAACCTAAACCGAACCTGAACTCCCCGTTCGGTTCCAGGTTCAACCTGTGAAGGAGAACCGGACCGAAAGTTCGGTCTCCGGTTCGGGAAAAATGTGCCTTAAACCGGACTGAACCGAACCTTGACATATCACGTATCTTCGTTCATTGCCTGCCTCCCATAGAACCCCCACTCTTGGCCCATGAAGACGACATCTATGCGATGCGCGAAAACCGTCCAGAACGCAAGACACCGACTGGTCTCATCCTTGCGGCTGTCTGCCAACGCTGGCGCCAAATCACAGTCTCTACTCCCCAGCTCTGGACCGTTGCACACATCAAGCTCGCATGAAACGATGTTGCTCAATACGCTGAGATGACGTCGGAGTGGCTAAGGCGCTCAGGGCGTCTCCCGCTGTGGTTGGACATATACGACGAGAAGCTGCGACGAACCTTCGGCTGGGTGACACGGCGACGATTGAACGAGCCTCCTGTTGAATCCGGTCCTGACCCAATCTTCGATGCCATCAATGCTCATATGTTCCGCGTGGTGGCACTGGGGGTGCACTTCGATGCGCCGTATTTCTCCCTTCTGCGTGGAGAGGCGCCAGCTCTCCGTCAGCTCTACCTATCGCCCACGCGCTATCAACGAGACTCGGGCCCCGTCCCCTTCCATCTCGCAGACACGCCGCCGCGTCCACGTCGCGTTATCCTCCGCAACACAACCTATAACTCCGTCGACATCGACTGGGCGGGGGTGACGCGTTTCGAGGCCTTTTCTCTTTCCGTCGATGATTCTCTACTCATTCTCCAGCACTCGCCCCATTTAATTCATTGTAGGATCCGGGACATCACCACCAACACTTTGCCCTCCACTCTTCCTTCTCCACATATCAACGTCCCCTCTCTTCAAACACTTGTCCTCGAGAGAAGCCGGGACGGCCCCTCGGCCTTGCTTCCCCACTTGCTCGCCCCCGCCCTCCAGACCCTCAAAACGGATGCGCACTTACATATCGTCTCCTCTTTCATCGCGCGCTCCAAATGTTCGCCGCGGAGCCTCGTGCTCAATGCCGGCCAAGCAAACCCACAGGAGCTTCTCGAGTTGCTCGAGAAGACGCCCTCACCGAGCTCAATGTGTCGCATGCCGAGATGCACAATATGCTTTTCGAGCGTCTGGCTGCGACAGCTCTGACCACAGAGAACACTCCGCTGAGTGAAGTGTTTCTCCCTTACCTGCGTTGTCTTTACATGAGTGGGTTCTCGTATTTTACATGGTCCTCCATCCCTCCTATCTTCTTTCTCAAGAGTTCTCATGAGCAAAGGAGGGATGGAGAGGATGGTGATGGCGATGGCGATGCTCATTTCATTCGGCGCCCGTTGTCCATCCTCGGGCTTAATCTCTCCTTCCCGGAGCCCGAGGAAGCTGAAGAATTGGAGGGCCTGACCTCAGGCCTCAGAGGTGATCGACCAAGACGTAACAAAGCAGCTGAATGACTTGATAGCAGACGGGAAAGAGATAAACATCTTTGATTATATGGGTCGTAATCTACTTCGGTAGTCGCATATCTTCAGCGACACACGCTCAAGTACAGAAGTTAAGTATACTTTGTGATGTGTTCATTAATTTTCGTGGAAAGGGAGGAAACACGCCGGGATTTATACGAGGCACGAGACGACTCAGCGGTCAATGCATCTCTCTTGAAATAGACCCAGTGAAAGCTACATGTCATCCTGCGCGTCCTACGTCGGAGTCGCACCCGGAGGATATTCGTCTGGTTTATCCAATAATATTCTCAAACATACAGTATGGGATTCAACATCCCGTGAAACAGAACAGTTCGCTCACGTTGTAGTTCGTTCATGCACACAAAATGTTGAAACTAACCGCATGCCAATCGTTTGTTCCATCCTTTGTAAATGGAGTTTTGTTACAATGAGAAATCCATCTACGCCTACGAAAGACTAAGGTCAACTAATAAATCAACCTCAATGGACCAGATATATAATAGAGGCTTTGCGCAAAGCCAGCTGGAGCCAGTGCTGGCTCAAAAACATTGCGCTGTGTCATGTAGCCAGTAGCGGCCAATTGGCGACTATGCTTTTAGCTTAGTCTTATATTGCGCCATGTATGTCTGGATGCCAGGGGAGTTCAATGACAATGCAAGTATCTCATCGTATTCATCCGCGCAGGTACGGCAATCTCCAGAAACTAACCTATATATGGAAACTGAGCCAGCAGAAAATATCAACCGAGATCAACCGTTGATCAACCGCCCCCACAGACTGATATCGCGTGGAGCTCTCCAGCAAATATGAGGTTATAGAGAGATGTAAGTAATATTAATATATGGCATTCATCGGTCTGGTATTCAGGTTCTGCTGGCTAAAGGTCTCAGCGCAACGCATTTGAGCCACCACTGGCTCCAGCTGGCTTTGCGCAACGCCTCTAATAATGAAGTCAGAATCAAGAGGATGTGAAGGATTTCTTCTTGGAGTAGTTTGCTACGCCCTGTTCACACCGGAGGAGTCTTAATTGTATTTCGTCGTCATTGCAACTTTAATTGACAACTCGTGGCTCGCCCTCCGTTCCTCCCTCTGTTCCTCTCTGACGTAGGTAAGGGTAAGGGGTTTTGTAGAACAGATAGGTTTCTTCATCCCCTCAAGCAATTGCCTTTGGTTATATCTGTCTGGCAACAGCACAGTTGTTAGTCAGAGCCTCACACATCCCTACCGGAATCATTTTCTGATGCCGCCAGTCTAGCTCTACATAGTTAGACAACTTCCGAAATAGATGAAAGGAACCCCATATATATAGTGGCTGCTATATTACTGCCCAAATTCCTCAGGCTCATAAACCCGCGAAGAGAGACAATTCTAGTATATTTATTTCTGGCATTCGTACTGGAACCAAGTGAGTGCCCTCGACGATTATTCGAAAAAGGGCTCTTCAAAAGCACTATGTAACACTTGCCTGGCTGTTCGTCGCCAACCTGGCAACCGACGTACATGTACATACCTTGGTTCCTATGCACTCGAGGCTGTTCTATGGACGGGAAGGTCCCAGAATCTCGATCGGAAACCCAAAACGCGACCACACCGAGTTGCCGAGACATGTCCAAGGCTGACTGACTCAATTCGCGGCCAACCACTAAGCTATAATATGGCTACCCCTCTTCCCCCTAATCCGTTTTCTAACGCGACAATTGCCCGTGAGGCGTCCAATAAATACCTCGACCTAGAGCGCCGCCACGAGCAAGTCCGACAGGAGGGTCGTCTCTCTGTCTTGGTCTGCGCGAGATTTTTAGGCCATTTGCTCCTCGAAGCGCCTACGGAAAGTGGCCACGACAAAGTTGCCTCGAAGATCATGCGGTGCGTTGATGACGCTAGCCTCCAGGACCTCGGGGAGATCTATAAGAACCACCTTATCCGCTGCTGTAAGTATAGTTTGTTATACTTGTGTGGTTGCCGCAGGTTACTGACCACCCACGCGCCGAGTTTAGTCCATTCTCCCGAAGGTGCTCATTCCTTCCCATTTCCTGGACTTCATCCGTTAACGATTTGAGACGAGAAGACGTTCAGTCGCTACCAGTCAGAAAGGCCAGCCGAGCCGTCAAGCGAATGGTGAGGAATATCTCACCCCTTCGGAATATCTGCTCGGTGTGTGCTAACCTTCCCATATCCACAGGTTTTAAATCGAGATGGCTTTCGATGCAGCCTATCTGGGGCAACTGATTCTTCCTCAATCGACGCCAAGCTTGTGGAATACGATGAGGGAGAAGCTACAAACGTCGAGGTCGCACGTTTGATTAGGTGTGCCGCCAATAAGAACCAGGTATTGTCTACCTAGCATGTTGGTGGGGCTCGTGGAACTAACCCATAGCAGCAGGCGGGTACAATTTCGTCCATCCAGGCCATTTTCGGCGAGTACGGCGGCCTCGACGAAGCGGACCTATCTGACGTCCACAACCTCCGCAACATCCTCAGTGTCGGATCCCGGTTGTTCCACCCGCTCACCCACTTGCAAGTTTGGCTAGAGAGAGACCCAGCGGTAGGTCAAGAACACAAACACAATGAGTATTTAACCTCAACTCCTGTCTTGGGGAACCCACCAGGACCCTCCGAACGTATACAAACCAGCAGCTGTGATCCCGCAGTACCTCAATGGCGTTCTCCAGCGTATCGAGTTCACAACCCCTGATCCGTCGACCTTCTCCGTCCCTGACGCGCGATACCTTGCCGTTCACACTGCATGTGCCCGGTCTGCTCATTTTTCTGGTGTTGCGGAGCATGTTCGTAAGATTCTCTACAGCCTGGAAGAGACAGACACTTTGCCGGCCAGTGGGAGTTCCGATATGCTGTATCTTGCACTCACACAGCGTCTTAATATTGAGGGGCATTAGCATTAGCTGCCCTACTCTTCCCGTCATTGACACTCTTCACAATTGAAAGAGGATTTTGGCGCCCAAACTTTCCCATGCGCCTAGCCTTATTCCATGGTGTAAAACAGGAGTGTGCTAGCTTGCACGTGGTCATTTCAACGAGATTGCGAAGGGGCTCGTGACATGGGAAGGTGGGGAACGAGTCGATAGCATTTCAACGAGGCGCAGACTGAGGCAGCCGCAAGTCTGACAGATTTATTCTCAGAAGAACGGCGGGTTTGGGAACTGTATGAGACAGGTTCTCCCCTCCAAGGGAGAGTATCGAGCCCTTCAGATTAAACTGGAGGGGCAGACCAGAGGGAAGCCGGGAATAAATTGTAATAGTGGACGGGTGATAGTGGACGGGTGCTCGAAACGGGCGGCTCACCGTTCTGTGGCGCCCCCTTCTGCACGGTGCTCATATGCCTCAAGTGTCGCACCAGAGCCCTTCACGATTCAAGAGCTTGTCCACTGCGACGACATAGCTTTTCAATTTCAGGACGCAGATCGAAAGACGGGGATTAGTGAAATGGCGTTTCATGCCAGATTGGTCGAGTTCGGAGTGAGGATACTGTCGGTGATGGTCAATGTCGAGTATCAGGTATATAGCCGGCGTACTGACAGAGGCATCGCAGCCCAGCAGAAGGCAGCACATCACCACCGTCAGTCAGGTTGCAGGTGCTGTGCAGGCTGCTAAAAATGCTTGTTCAGACCACGTTCCGAGTCGTAACGGAAAATCCGATTCGAACATCGGAAGTCATTCCCAAAGCTCTGACTTGAGTCCTGACAAGTCTCTTGATACTGTCGTAAACACCGAGGCAATGAATGACTTCGGGTGCCCTCATGCCCTGGTAGATCACCACATAAGATTCAACTGCACCGCAAAACAAACGTTTATAGGTAGCGAGGCCACTCGTATTCATAGAAGCAAATCGGAATAGGCTGACACTAGGCAGGGCTCGGCACGGTGCGAGGGTCGTACACGTATGCAGATAATGAATATGATCGACAGAGGGGAGTTTGAACTTTGAATGTATGAAACACTGAGAGGTGATGCAGATGCGCTGAGAGCCCTGTCGTTTGACGTTGAGGGGAGCCGGTAAAATTTCGCCCTACACAGGCGGTGGAAGGTCACCGTCATATGTAGGTCAAGGAGGCTCGACAAGGTTCAGGTTTCAGCCTTCGGGTGGGTACGGCCGCCGAGAAGTGCTACCGGTGATGTGGCTGAGGAGGACACGCACAGCGAGCTTGGGACTCTCGAAGAGACGGGCAGAGCAATACTTGAGGAGGTTCAGCAGCACAGGGCGATATGAACGGAGTCAAATGCGGGGTTATTGCAGGAGGGGCAGCGCAATTGAGGGGAGAGGCGAAGCGATGTCACGCCCGGGCCGGTCGCGATGCCGGTTGATAAATGCAGTCCGTGCACGCGGGGAGTGCCGAAAAAAGTTCCCACCACCAAAGGGAAAACCCAGCACTGCTGGCAGAGAGAGGCCTCTGTATTTCCCCTGCGCAAGCCAGCCAGCCCAACGGTGCAGCACCACTGCAGCGCACAAGTCCAACCCACCCAGCCCCGCTAATCAATTCAAATCCCCTGCGCACCGCGGTGAGTCCCCTGCCTCTTCGAGTTTGCACATTTTCGCCCTGCTGTCGGAGGCGTTGTTGGGAGTGGGTCGGCCGTCAGGTCGTCGCTGGCGGCGTTGTGGAGGGCTGGCACCTCACTCAGTGAGGGCGCCGCTTTGTTTGTTTGGCCCGGCCCCTAAGCGCGTCGCGCGTCGTACGCTACACCTATCGGCGGGGCTGCCCACAGCAACCTCAGCAGGGCCGCGCGTCGGAGCTCGGCGTGCACGGGGTGCTGCTCATCGTCGCCATCTGCGATCACAACACCCTGACCAACTCTCAACTTCTTGCTTCACTTCCTCCTCCGTCCTTCCTCTGCCTATGAAACCGTTATCTGACGTGTCGCCGCCCATCTAGATGCCCAAGGACGCTGCGAAACCCAAGGTGAGCGGTCTGGTTCAATTTTACACGTCAGGGTAGAGGGTTGGGCTCTCGACTGCGTCTGCCGTCCCCTGTGCTTCTGCTACACCACCTATGGCCCCCATAGGTGCAGGAGCACTGGCAGGGAGTGCATATATGCGGGTTTGGGTGTCGTCGTCGTTGTCTGGGATGTCTGAGACACGTGTACTGACCCCGAGCCTCCTTTCTTCCAGCGCAAGGCCGCCGAGAAGGCAGAGAAAGCTCCTCGCAAGTCGAAGAAGGACCCCAACGCACCCAAGCGCGCCCTCTCCGCGTACATGTTCTTCAGCCAGGACTGGCGCGAGAGGATCAAGACTGAAAACCCCGATGCAGGCTTCGGTTAGTGCTTTTCGTCTTGGCTTGCTGTGTAGCGCCGCGGTGTGCTGATGAGTCTGTACAGGCGAGGTGGGCAAGCTGCTCGGCGCGAAGTGGAAGGAGCTGGACGAGGCAGAGAAGAAGGTATGTTGCTCCCGTCTATACCTGCCGTACCCACCAATATGCTAACTATTCGTCGTAGCCTTACATCGACCAAGCTGCACGCGATAAAGAGCGGGCCGACGAGGAGAAGGCCGCTTACGATGTACGTCGACCTCCCATCGTTCCGATCCTTCTCTGACTCAGATGCCCTTTTGCAGAACAAACAGAAGGGCGAGAGCGGCGAAGACGATGAGGAGGACGAGTAAATCGATTTCGGGTCTGGGTTTAAAGTTATACCTCCTCGCGCTTCAGGGTGTCTCGGCGGCCGCTGCTTAAATCCCCTCTCCTTCGCCTTGACTTAGGTCTTCGTATTCGACGTTAAATCTCTTCTTTTTTTCCTTTCTTTTTTCTCTTAACCCCCGTACTTTGCTCTCGAACCGTGTATGACTGTATAATAATAATTATATCGCTCTACGCATCCTCTACTCCCGTTCTTTCTCTCTTTTTTCGTGGTCCGCCTGCCTTTCTGGTAAAAGCTCTGCCTCTGAATGAACGAACGTTAGTAGCATACAGTCTGGTATGATACTTGCGAATATTTACAGTAGGACTTTCCTCTGAATACTCTCGCTCCGTCTGTTATTCGTGTTGTCTGTACACTCGCATATTATCTACTGTATTCCCTCTTCGCAAAATGGATTCGGCAAGCCACCAAGTGGAGCGGTCAATGGAGCGCGTTCCTGGTCGGCAACGGCCGCGTACAAAGCTGCGGGGCAGTGTTACGTCATATCGCATTCTGAACACTGACCATGACTGAAGAAGTGGGCCAGGTAAGCGCCAGTCCCTCTGCCCTTCCCTTCTCGCTCCCTCTGATGACCAGAACACAGGCCGTACCCGCCTCGCAACGAGGAAGCTGGAGCTCGTTCCTCAAATCGTACGTCCCTCGCAGCACGCCATGAAACACGCGGCGCTCACCTCGCCCCTGCCTGCACCCACACCAACAGGATCGCCTCCTTCTCCGGGGACCTCTCCTCTCTGACCGCGCCCCCGTTCATCCTCTCGCCCACATCACTCACCGAGTTCCCAGGTGCGTCCCTTCCCCTCCCTCGCCCCTCACCCCGTCCGCAAGGCCGATGAACAAGGCTGGTAGGGTGCGGTGAGGGGCCCCATCAACCCATCGTGTTCATCGATCTCTCGCATCCCTGCCATCGCATCCGCACAGCCTACTGGTGTGAGCGCCCAGAGTATTTCGCCGCCATCGCAGACGCCAAACCTGGCCAGGACCGCGCGCTCGCCGTCCTCAGGTGGTTCATCGTCCGTGTCTCCCTTTTCTATCGCGGTCTCCTGTCCTGACATGTTGCGGTTCTTTTGGGTTTTTGCGACGTTCTTGTGGATTCGGGACTGGTAGAGCACACTCAAGGATCAGTATACGTCGAGAAATGAGGAGCTGGGGTCGGAGAAGAAGTGCGTTGGTCTCTCATTTTGGTTTCGTTGGGTTGGGCTGATTGGCAGAATCTCTGCAGACCACTGAACCCTGTCCTCGGAGAGTACGTCTTATTTTCTCCTATAGTTACTCTCCGTGTGTGAAAAACATTGCGTCGAGTGTCAATTCGAGCTTGCTCTCTCGCACGCTTCGCCACGATCGTACGAGACTGATGCCTGTCGCGTAGGGTTTTTTATGGAACATGGCCTGACAAGCACGGGCGTGGCACCACCGAGCTCCTCGTCGAGCAAGTCTCGCACCACCCGCCTATAACAGCCTATGTGATCGAGAACAAGACGAAAGGACTGCGTCTGGTAGGGCACAACGCGCAGAAGACGAGCTTCAGCTGTGGGTGACCCACTCCCGCTCGTCATCACGTTCTGACCCACCTCCAACGCGCCTACAGCCGGGTCCATCATCGTGAAACAGATCGGACATGCCATCTTGACCATCCAGTCCAAGGACGCCTCGCAGCCTGCCGAGTCGTTCCTCATCACCCTGCCAAAGCTCCGGATCGACGGCCTGTGGTACGGCTCGCCGTACATCGAGCTCACCGAGACGTCCTACATCGTCGGCGGGGGGCACATCACGACGATCGAGTACAAGGGGAAAGGCTACTTCTCGGGCAAGTCCCACTCGTTCAAGTCGACGATGGTGCCGATCCCGGGCCAGGGGGGCGCGGGCCCACGCGAGATCGTGGTGGAGGGCACCTGGCATGAGCTTAGCAAGTACGTCAAGGGCGGCGCGGGCACGTTCCATGAGGTGCATGAGCACAAGGAGGAGGTCGACCCCCTCGAATGGACGGCGGAGCTCTCGGAGTACGAGACGCGCCGGCTGTGGTTCCTCGTGGCGAAGGGTATCAGGGAGGGCGACTTTGAGCTGGCGAGCCGCGAGAAGAGCCGGATCGAGAACGAGCAGCGGCAGAGGAGGAAGGACGAGCGAGAGGCGGGCACGTCGTGGCAGCTCATACACTTTGAGCATGAGGACAGCGACCCGATCTGTGAGTCTACTTTTGCTTCGTTGTGTTTCTTTTGGACGATGTAGTTGACTTTCTTTTTTTATGTGTAGACGAGCAACTTGGCCGCGTCGCGAAAATCACGCCGCCCACAGAGGACTTTTATGTCTTCAAGGGTAATTGGCCGTCAGGGTTTACGAAACGGGCTGCAGCGTCGAAGTAGGGCTCGGGATATTGGTTGGGCGGCATGTCGATCTCAGGTGTTCTCGGCTTTATATAATAGCAGCTGCTGTTTTGTGCTCGATAGCTGGAGGTCTAAATACTCTCTTTCGAAACGTCGAGTCGAGGAGTTACTAAAACTCAGTAAATGCGAAAAACACGGAAAACCCCGAAACTCAATCAACAATACACATATGTATATGCCAATGTAGTCAAGAAGGAACGCGACCACGTACTTACTAGCTCAGGCGGTGTTCGGTAAAAAAATCCGAGACACCAACCTCCCACGGCATGTTCCACCACTGGTTACGGGGTCCCTCACCAAAAAGGGCAGGTACATGACGTCAACGTGCGATCGCTCGACAAGATAACATCGCCATTGGTGGGACGAGGTGAAAGCTATCGTACATGTGCATGTAAACGTTGGCTTTTGGATGGGGATGGGTTTCTGGACAGGCTCGACGCTTGATTGCGAGACGCAGGAGGCGGCCCGTTTTCTCTGTGCTTCGTCTGCCTCTGAGTCCGAGTCTTCGTGCCCATAGTTCTCGGGCTCCATGAGGCCGTCGCTGTTCGGAATCGCATTATCAGTTCTGTACTTCTCCGTGGCAACTCGGTGAATGCCAATTTGCTGTTCCTCGTCCATACTGATGTGTGTGTTTATGCGGAACTCTCTCGGGAAGGGAGGAAATTGACCAGAATCTGTGAGATGGTAGGTGGTGATGTGGTGAGTGAAGTTGTACTTCCAAAATGTAGTGTGTTGCCCATTCATCTCCCTTGGGCACAATGGACAGTGTAAAGGGACGTTGTTGCAGGGTGAGGACTCCGAAAAATTTGCTGCATCAGAGTATCGCATCTTTGAATAGAAATATAAGCAGTTAGACTCCACGGAGAGCGAGTCTTTCTCGGTGCGAATGAGGCTCGTTTTGCAACCCGCCACATCAGGGTCTTGTCCACACCAACCACACGGGTCAATTCCAATCTATAAAAATTGGCTCATTACTAGGATGATACAGGCACTATAAATAAATTAGACATACCTTGACACTAGGAGACACTAGGAGACACCCCCGGGTCTTCGGCGCCTCGCAAGTGACGAAGAATGTGATGCCCGACATGGTTGCGCATTACTCGGCGATGCTTCTCCGACCCACAGAGATGGCAAGGGAGCTTCGTTTTCGGATCGTGAGCATCCTCTGCAATTATCAAGCCTTTGGGTAGGTCTGGTATCTGAAACTGAGGATGGTCGTCGAGTAGATACGGAAGCGCCGAAGAAATATCTACTTTTGGTAATCGGCGAATGTTGTAGAGTATCTCGCTTTCAACAGGATTTAGGGAAGTCAAAATAGCACATACCTTCTGCCGTGGCCTTTAATAAACTTAGGCTTGCAGCAGCACGCCTCTCTTCGTCCGCCTTCCTCTCCTTACGCTGTGTTTGTTCAATTTTCTCGAAGCATCTTGCTTTCCCTCGATGGCCCTCAAACCAGTGAAGATCTCTATTAGACCCCAATGGAAGGTAGCTGAGGCAGAGATCACATTGGACGATCTCAACTCCCTTGTCTTGATCAATGTATATTTTGAGCTCCAGAATCTGAGTGGCCGAGATAAAGAATGGCAAAGTCTCTGGTGGGTTGAGCTCGATCGCATTATACTCGGTTCGTTTTCGAGGCATAGAAGATAGATGATGGAGAATGGGCAATTTTTATTGGGTATCTACAGACGTATCAACACCAGCTTGTCTGTCGCGTCTCGCGAGATCCATCAATCAGTTATTGACGTCATGTACCTGCCCTTTTCGGTGAGGGACCCCGTAACCAGTGGTGGAACATGCCGTGGGAGGTTGGTGTCTCGGATTTTTTTACCGAACACCGCCTGTACTAGCCTCAAAGATCGCTCATGGAAGCTGCCACCTCGACGCAAGCCTTCCCATCGCCCCCCTCCCATCGGGACCAAGACCCTCCGTTTTCCTCCCATCGGTGTTCTTCTTCTTTCTCCTCAGCCATTGAGGTTCGTCAAATTTTCCAACGTCAACGCCAGCTCACGATACTTTTCGAATGACTCGAGTTTAGCTCGAATATCATCGATAATTGAGAAATGGATGATCAAATTGTGAAGGTTACATAGCTTTCCCTCATGAATCGGGGCGGAGGGATTTCGAATTGGCCCATTCGACCACAGGTCAAGCAGGTCAAGCAGGTCTCGGAATCCTCCCTTTCACTTCGCCGCCATGTCTTCGCCTGAACGCATCCTTGCTGTGACGCTCGACTATACAGACAAAACGCTTCTTACGGAGCTGCAAGTGCCAGTTCCCAGCGATGCCACCATTCTCGAACTACGCCAAGCAGTCCATGACGCATGCACCCGTGACCCAGGAATTTGGCCGCCTTTATGGCAAGGGCTGGGTTTCACTTCTTCCCTACCCTTCGACCCAGCGGAAATTTCATTTGCTACCGGTCAGTATATTCTTCCAAAGCGTTACAACTCTCAGTTTACAATTTTTCAGAGCACAACGGTTTAGGGGCATTTAGAGACCCTAACGACCCTTTTTGGACGCTGCTTGTAGACGACGAAGACGAAGTCCATGCAATCATCGGGCTTCCAGCTGCAGTGCAACCAGATTCAGCGTTTGAAACTGCGACCAGCAACCACTTCAATTCACCGTCTTCCCTCAACAACCTGGAGAGTCCCTTGCTTGGAGCGATGCAAGACAAGATACAGCAGTCAAAGGCAAAGCGGGAGGCGGACATCCGGAAAGAGAGGGATCAAAAGCGAGGGTTGACTAAGAGCCTGGATGTTGCAAAGAGCCAGTTCAAGGCGGAGCAGGAGAGAGCGGCAAAGTTGGAAGCGACATTGAAGGCCGCTAGCAAGTCGAGAGAGAAGGCAAAGCTGGAGAGTACGATGGAGTCGAAGGTGGCGAAGGCGGCACAGGATGCATCAGAGGTGAAGAGAGATGTGCAGGCTCTGGAGAAGAAGCTGCTAGCCAAGTTTGAAAGAGTTGCCGACGAGCGCGACACTGCGCAGGAACGCAGTGAGGTACTCTCCAAGAATCTCGACACCGCGCTTGAGCGCATTGAGACACTCTCCAAGGATCTCGATATTGCGCAGGAACGCAGTGAGGTACTCTCCAAGAATCTCAACACCGCGCTTGAGCGCATTGAGACACTTTCCAAGGATCTCGATACTGCGCTTGAGCGCATTGATACACTCTCCGAGGATCTCGACACCACGCGCAGCCAGCTTGCTGCCGTTCTCACATGGCAAGAAGGCATCATCAATAAGCTCGACCCTCAGCGCATCGCGTCTCTGGAAGAATTGTCTGGCGCTATCGTTAATGCGGTTCTACACCAGGTAAGCTGTCAATTGCTGGCATGTTGAAGTAGAAATTTTGCTCACTGTTCTACGCTGTTGAGCACAGAACTTCCGTCCCCTCTATGCATTTCAACTCCGCGCCGCGCTGGACCACATGCAGAGCATATTGGAAAGACACATCCGATCGGCCACAAGCCAGCCAGTTGGGCACCACACCAGATATTCAAAACTTTGGAGACAGAGGCTTGACGACGAGGCCGGCAAAGAGCTTCCAGCGCGTGTCGCTCACGCCAGGTCCTTGCTGGTCAACGCTCCAGCCGAATACCAAAATGTCATCAACTCCGACGACGCAATGGCAATTATCTGTCAAAAAGCCTCCCCGATCCGCAGCACTGGCGACAAGGTTGCGCACTCATACGGAGAAGGGGCGACGGACCAAAAGGCCATCGAGCACGTCCTCACTAATCCAGCTGAACGGAGCGGCATGGCCGAGATCCTCGCCTCCCTTTCTAATGTCCATATCAAGCGGTTGGCAGCCAGAGTCTAGGATAAGCGTGAGTGCAAGGGGAAGGGCCGATGGAGGGACGGGCGTCCCACTGTGCTGACCAGTAGGCGAGGGTGGGCGGGTAAGAGAGTCTTGCCAGGCAGATAGTGTGGTGTATGGTCTTGAGGGTGAGCGCATGTACATATGTCGAGCCGAGTGGGCCCGGGAGATGGGAATATCGAAACTGATCCGTCTTCGGTTCCAACTTCCCAACAATAAACAGGAAGGATTGACGGATCAATCAATCAAGCTCAAGATCGACGCGTTCAAGGTTCAATTGAACGTTCAAAGTCAACAAAATATTCACATACGCATCAACGACGGTCAGTCGTACTACTCGGGGTCGGTGCCATCCTCGGTGTCGTGAGGAGCTCCTACTAACTCTACGTCGCCCCCTATCTTCTGAAGCATATTCACCATAAGCTCGACCTCTTTCTCCAATGTCATCTCGACAGCCAACATCGTGTCTGGATATCGATAGGCGGCCTCTATTCCCGTCATCAGCTTCACAACGTCTATAGACAGCCGCCCAATGACGTCCCTTGCGAGGCTGCTCTCCCGTATCAACGCCCCCAGCTTGGTCACGGCCTCCAATGCTGCGGGGCGGATCTGTTCGTGTCCCGCTCCGAAAAGTGTCTGCCCCCAGTCATGTACAGCTTCGGGGCCAGCATTTTCCTGTTGTTGGCCTTTCGCACGCCCCGAAGTACGTAAAACCTGTTTGAGGTGGAGATCGCAGCCGTCGAGGTTGGCTAATGTTTCGGAAGCTTGGCTGAGGAGCTCCTTGAGCTCGTCTTGTAGACCTCGAACCCATGCGTCTATCGCATCTTGTCGCAATTGAATCGTAGTCGGGAGAATCCGAGGGCGTTTCTGAAACTCGACGAGGGCTCTTATAATTCCGGCTAATGACCCAACCAAACGTATTGTGCGTCAACTATGCAAATTATCAGCGCTGGCTGCAGCAGATACGATGATAGTTTTCTACCGTGGATGCGTAACTCAGCTTCGACAGAGACCGGATCGTCGCCTTTGCCTGGTCGTCGTACTTCTCGATAGCGTCTGGCTTTCAGGAGTCCCAATGGCAGCAAGAGCTGCTGAAATCTTCCCAATCTCTGAGATGCTATTTGTCAAGCGCCCCGAAACCTGAAGCAGACAAACGTCTTGGATATCTCACCAACTCTGTTGTTTACCATCTCGGTGGGATCAGGAAGTTTGCTCGCTACAGGTTGAAGTGTGCAGCTCCCAGCTCGTCAGGACTGATGGAATACGAGTTTTAGTCTCTGGAAGGCAAATTCCCGCCCATGTCGCCATCTTGACGAGGGTGGGCCTTGGTGTGCACCAGATACCCTAAAACAGTATGGAAATGATGATGAGATCGACCACCAAATTGCCGATGAGCAAGAGCACAACATCGGCGAGCTGGCGTCCCTGCAGAAATCCGTTGCTAAAATTTCATTTAGCTGGGAGAAGCCGAGAGCGAAAAGTACTGCCATAAGGGCCAGAGGCAGTGTCGATACATGGCTGATAAGCTGGGGTGTAAGGAGACTTGTTAAAGGTGGTTGGAAAAGAGGTATCTCTTTCGCCGTTGACTTGGGATCCCAATAGCAAGGGAACATGAAGGAAACATGAGCCGCAGAACCTACCCGTGTGCATGCAACAGTAGAGTAGGCTATAGTTATTCCCAAAAGACGCACGTCTTGTGCGTGTATCAGGTTGTGAATGAAGTGGCGTCATGGAATGTAAAGAGTCCATGTCACGATAGAAATCGCTGGAGCATCTCGACAAGCCTCATTTGCGTTGACAGTGATATAGATAGGCCTGGTTGTGTCATTGGACTTGTCTGCAGAGTGAAGTATGCATGTATCGAGATAAATAAACGAAACCATGGCAGTGTGCAACAACCCGTTCAAATAACTACAGATCTTAGGCTTTATGAATGACTTACGCCCGGAACCCCAAAAACCTCCTCGTTGTATCTGTCAGCATTGTGCCCTTGCGCACCTTCGCCTTCTGTCGGGGGTCCACACTACTGATCGATCCCGAAGTTGCATCAAGCGACAGCGCCTTGCTCAACTGCGTCTCAATACCTGCACGGAGCGCCCTCTGCTCTTCGAGTTCCTTCGTCAGTGTTGCGATCCGAACCTTCTGCGCCTGAGTATCGAGCTGGAGCGACGAGCGCTCTTCTTCGGCTACGCGGCGCTGGTCCTGGTGGTCTGCGACTTCCTTCGTCAGAGAGGCGATTTGCTCGGTTTGGGCATGCAACTGGGTCTCGACGCCTGCACGAAGAGCCTTCTGCTCCTCGAGCTCCTTCGTCAGTAACGCGATACGGCTCTTCTGTGCCTGCGTCTCGAGCTGGAGTGACGATCGCTCTAGTTCGGCGGCGCGGCTCCGGTCTTCGAGGCGGGCAAGCTGAGCCTCGAGGTCGGTGTTTACCTCCTTGTGGCCTGCGACGTCCTTCGTCAAAGAGGCGATGTGCGCTGTCTGCACGTTCAGCTCGGTCTCGACGCTCGCGTGTAGGGACTTCTGCTCCTCGAGCTCTTTCGTCAGGCTGGCGAGCTGGATCTTCTGGTTAGCCGTCTCTGCCTGCAGAGCCACGCGTTCTTCGTCGATTGCCCGACGCTGATTTTCCGAGAGGGCGAGTTGACCATCGAGAGAGGCGCTACGCTCCTTCTCTTCTTCGAGGCTCTTCGTCAACAGCGCAATCTCCTCAGCTTGCACTTCCGTTTCACCGCGCAGCGACATGTTCTCTTCCTCGAGTTGCCGACAGTGCTCCTCGGCCTTTGCGCCCTCTGCTTTCTCTTCTTCGAGCGAACTCGTCAGGTCGGCGACTTGGCCATCGAGACGGTCCACGTAGCGCCGGAGGGCAGCATACTCTTCTTCGACACGATACTTATCCGCCTCTAGCTTCGCGCGCTCCTCCCGTTCACCGTCGAGCCACGTTGTAAGCTCGGCAATTCGGCTCGCTTGGGTCTGCGTTTCGTCCTCAAGGGCTCGATGTTGTTCCTTCAAGTAAACAACTTGGCCGTCGAGGCTTTCCTTGGCCACCTTCTCGCTATCGAGGGCAGAGGCGAGACGCGTGGCCTCATGTTCCTGTAACTGGACCTCCATCTGGAGTTCGCGTCGTTCCTGCTCCGAACGTTGTCGTTCTCGGTCACCTGCTTGTCGGAGAGTCGAGATCACACTTTGAAGATTTGTGACTTGCGACTGGAACACCTTCCTCGAAATCTCTGAGATCATGTTGAGGACATCATCCCGAAAGTATGCGAAAAGTGCTTACCTTCAATCTTGCTCTCTGGATGCCGGCGCTGGATCACTGGAACAACTATACTTCCCGAGAGCGTCTCCTTGGGCGACTTTCGAAATGGCGGGGTAATGTATCCCTTCTCGAACGGCGACGTTTGGTTCACGGGCGCCATATCTCTGGGTTCGGTGGACAGGACCAACTTCAGGAATCCAATATCGAGATCCTGGCCATCCCGAAGGAAGTACGAGAAAGGAGAGGAGCGGTCTGGGCCTACACCGTACCCGATCGTCAGCGTCCCGCCGTCTTTCTGCAGCGGGCAGTAGAAGGTGTCGAGGACAGACTGATAGTACGTCCCTGTAGAGTTTCATATAAGTTAAAGCTCGTCGTACCCCTAAATTTAGACTAATGAAGATATTTAACTTACCTATGCTCAAGTCGCTGTTGTCGAAGTACAGAAGACCTGGATAGAGGTCGTATGGAGTGTTGTTGATCAGCTTCATGCCGTATGGGACATCTTCCTGCACGACGAAGTCGACCAATCCATCAGTGAGCAAGTTGGGTCCAGTAGGGGCCATCCTCGGAGGGTACGATCCGCTTTTCTGGAGTCGGTAGAACTCGACCACAACACCGCCTTTCGTTGCAGTGCTCAAGTTGTTTTCGCCTGAACGAAGTTCTCGGTAGTAGTGGCAGGCACCGCGTACGAAAGAGGATATCTCTTTAGGGGTGGGGTTGATGGTGGGGAAGAGGCGATCAAACCCGCGCTGCGTAAGTCGGGTGTCCGTCACCCGGAACAGATATCGCCCATTCTCTAGCACAACCTCGAGGTCGGCCTCAGCTGGAGTGTTGGTGACGGTAATCTTGAGCGAGTTATCTTCAAGAAGAGTCCGTAATACCCGGTAGAACTCGATGTAATCCTCGCTATGGGGGGCGTAGAGGCGTAGGTCTGCCAAGGTGTCGTCGGTGCTGGAGTTTGTAGGAGATGAGACGTAGTCGAACGCCATAGCAGAGTGGTTCGTGGCGGGGGTAAGATAGATAGACTTGCCCGCGCGAAGTGCATGGTGCAGAGACTTATAGATTCTCTTGCAGACATGAGGCAGTGGCAAGTTTGTGGTGCTGAGGACTCATTCCGTCTGGCCTTGACCTAGACATGAAGAGAACAGCCGTGAAATGCGTGACGAGCGTGGATTCAGCAAGCAGAAGGCAAGGCTGCGGATATGATACCAGGAACAAGAGTTTCAAGCGTCGCGTAGAGCACAAGGCCGTTGTGCAAGTTTGAAGAGAAATTTTGTGAACAAGGGTTGACGGGATCTCCCGTTTCTTGATGCGGACCCACATTGAAGGATCTAATCTAATCGCTCCCATTTCGTAAAGCCTTCTACTTCGAACAATAGATCTCTTACTTACAAACACCCATCTTCTCGCTCTCGAGCCACCAGCGCTTATCATGACACAAACCCCCGACCCCAGCCTGCCGCCAACGCCTCGTGAGTCCGCAAAACGTAGTTTAACCAACCACATGCTGACGATTAGCAATACTCTCAGGAGCCATCCGGAAGCCGAAGGAGCTCCCATTAGATTCGGACACGGAGGACTTCAACATGGACACCGACTCAGAGTTGCCACCCTTGCACCTACCGTCTGCGAGCAGTCTACTCACCTTCTCAGGCAACGATGGTGCGCGAACGCTCTCCCAGGCCCTCCTAATGCAGATGGGTGACGCGTCTCCCTAGAGCTCTCCGATTTGACGCCGGCGCAGCTTTACGAAATGAACCAGGTGCGTCTAACGCCACAGCCCTCGTTACTCGGATGGATGCTAACACGATGACGCGTGCCTTCTCGTGTTCGTGCTGTAGCAACTCATGAACGACAGCGTCCCGACAAGACCGCTCATCGACGCCGTAGCGCCCATGAGCACCCTCCGATCAGAGTATGAGAACGGATCGGCGGCGTTCCTGAATGAGATTGACTGGTTAATAGCGAATGGGTACGATTCAGTGCGGCGGACCCGAGGTGCGCCCACCTCCGCTCTCTCTATGCCTCCCAAAGCCGACGCCACTCGTTCGTACAGGCGATGGGGATTGCTTTTATAGATGTGAAGTCACTTTCTCTTCTCTTCATCGCGATGCTAACGGAAGTTGGCGCATTAGCCCTCGGCTTTGCCTACGTGGAAAGTTTCCTTAGCAGCCTGGAGAAAGACTTTGCTGTGGCGAGCAGCCTCTCCATCCTTTCGGGCACCACAGAAATAGTCAGCAGAGCTGGCATAGAGAAGATGGTGTATGAAGACTTCTACGAACAGCTCGTCTCCCTGATTCAGAGCGTCGTCACCCCGGACTCGCATGGGCTCCTGTTGACGAGTGAACGCCTTCTTGCGGCGTTCCAGGAAGCAGAAGGTGAGAATCGTCGTCAGTGTAATGTGCCGTCTGCTCACCGAGTCCGATCATGAACAGTGTCGAATTCGATTGTGATGTACCTTCGGTTTCTGACGGTAAAACCTGCATCAATCATTTCTTGCCCGAGTTCATTTCCACTCTGTTCTACGCCAGGCAGCCCAAATCCGCCTCCATAGAGAAGACTACGAAGGATTCGTGGTTCATCCGGATACCAAGGAAATTATGGACGTCGACTCGTTCTGTGCCCAATTCGTCGAGACGATGGGCAAGGAAGCTGGTAGGACATCTGTTTTCTTTACCATTTTACCACCCCTCATTAGTCAACCCTTGTGGAATAGATAACGTGGAGATCCAAGCCTTGTCTAGTGCACTTCACCTCAACCTCGACCTGGCATACCTCAATGGCGTTAGGACGAGTGGCGTGGACTTCATTCCGTTCAGAAATGATCCCGACAACATGGCAAAGCCCCTTGTTCTTCTCTACCGGTGAGTTGTTTATACTCTATACGGACTTATTCTTCAACTTCAACGCTTCTTATCTAGTCCTGGACACTATGACATCCTCGTACACAATACCCGTTGACCGATATTCCCGGAGCCGCGTCAATTTCAATACTATTTATACATCGGATGGCTTGAGTATGTAACATCACACTTTATGATGGAACAGTGAACCTGCTGTTCCCCAGCACGTTTATGTACTTACCTTGCAGTTGGCTACCCTTCGATGAACGTTCTCGCGTGAAGGTGGACGCGGTGTATGTATCCCGTTTCGAATGTATAGTCGAGCATAGCTTATGATCATGACCACCGAAGACGATTATAGCTGGTGTAGGCACAGTAAATGTGAGTTACTGGCGGATCGATGTGATGATTTGGGATATTAATATCGGATCTCTGTCCCTTGAAGTATAAATTCTGCTACAAATTTGAACGAATGTACTTGCATGGCTCAGGAAGGTTAGGCAGACGCGAAAGGGTGCAACGGCGCTCGGCAATTTCCGGCCAACTGACGCTCATCCACATCGGTGCAATTCGGACTGGTTCCTCAACTTCCATAACGTACGTCTGCTGCGATGCGAGTTGCTTCTCTATGTCGTGCCTCATCCTCTTCATTTGCAAACCTGGATCTCCCAGAGACGAACCTCGTCCTTGAGGCGTCAGAGTTTGCGAATGATGCTACTTGCGATCTGTCCCCTAACTGCTGTTGGTCTGAACATGCCACCAACGCGGCGTAGACTCATGGGCACGCCCGAAGATAGGTATATTGCATTAATTACACTGGACAAAGGAGGCTGATGCCGTCCGCGAGGCGAGTTAACAGGCATACAAGAACCCCAAACCCGAAAGGTGTGTCCATCCAGATAATTCGAAGACGATGCCTTTCTGCTTCCCTTTCTCATTTTCCTCCAAGGATCCTCTGAGAAGTGAGAGCGATGGGATACAACTGGTAAGCAAATTCCCAGACTTTGCAAGGTGCATCTATTCTTTTTGATGTTCACGTTCGGTGGCAGGTGCCAGCACTAGAGGCTGCCCCGAGCAACCCCGAATACTTGGCTGAAACCGCAGAGAAAATCGTTACCGTATTGCAATCAGCAGCCGACTTCGCTCCAGTTCCGTTCGTAGGCCTAGCCCTCAGTGTGGGACTCAAGGTCGTGCAAGCTTGCCGCGTATGTTTTAGTACCCCTCGAGCTCATTCTTATCGACGAGACGCTAACGGCTTTATATTTTTATTTCTGCTCAGGAGATGAACATCGTGCAACAACAGGTCAAAGAGCTGCAGAACCGTGTTTGCGCGCTTATTGTTGCGATCGGGAACTCCCTTACGGGGCCAGAAGCTCAGGAAAACCTGAAGGTGGCCCAGGGCATGCAGAACGATATCGAGGAGCTTCATAAGCAAGTTTTTGTTCTATTTTCAGTCTCAGATTTACTTACAGACTTTGATAGAAACCTTCAAACGATTGTGGATGGCCTCGACGAGATCAAGAAAAAGAATCGATGGCTTCTGATCTTCTACAAGCGTCTGAACAAGGAGAAGGTCAATGGCTGCATCAGCACCTTGAGCATTGCTCTCGAGAAATTCCAGGCAAGTTATGTGTCTACTTGTTAATCATTAATACGTTTTGACTGTATTTACAGTTATCAAACGACCTGAACACCGCCAATGGACTCGGACAGTTGCAATCTCGTCTTGATCAGATCGCAATTATGACCGGAGCGGTGTCCGACCAAGTTGGCAAGATGGACAAGAAGATGGATACCAACTTCAACGCCCTCATGGACGCTATCAGAAATTCCAAGGATAATACTATTCGAGAGGCCATGACACGACAGCAGATGCCTCCCAATCGGCAAACTCTGCGTGGGAGAGAGGATTTAGTGATCGAAATCTCAAAACTGCTTGTGGGTGCATCGACCACATCCAGAGTTTGCGTTCTTGGCCCAGGTGGGATGGGAAAGACGGCGCTGGCTGTATCAGTCGCAAATTCGTCCCTCGTTCAAGCCAAATTTTCCGATCTTAATCGCTGCTGGGTCCCCTGTATCGAGGCGTCATCGACTAAATTGTTCCTCCAGCTCTTGTACACTAGCCTTCGTATCACGGCCGACACGAAGAACCCTCTAGATGACATCCTCTTCGAGCTCAAGCGGTCGATCACTCCTCGCCTCATCCTCATGGACAATTTTGAAACTACCTGGAATGCTCCTGGATGCCAGAAGGACGTTGGAGATATCCTCCGCCATCTTGTGGATATCCCACACGTCGCTATATTGATGACGATGAGAGGGCTCAACCCTCCGGCTGACGACATCCCGTGGCAGAAGCAGATGCTCGAGCCGATCAACGAAGCATCTTGTCGTCAGCTCTACCATGGTGTTTGTCCCAGCACCCCCCTCGACGACCCGCACCTAGCAGAGCTGTTGAAAGCGTTGGGATACATGCCCTTCGCTGTGAAGCTCATGGCTCGACTTGGAAAAGAGACCGAATCGACGGTGCATCAGCTACTGGAGGACTGGGAGAAGCTGGGAACGGAAATGTTGTCGTCAGACGAGGAGAGCATGGACAGAACCATCGATCTGTCGGTGGACAGTCAACTTATGAAGAATGACCCAAATGCCTTGACCCTCCTGGCTGTCCTTTCGATGCTTCCTGCTGGGTCCACGAGGGAGCATTTGGAATGGTGTGTACCCGGCGGATGCACGACCACCGCTATTGCAACTCTCGCCAGAGCGGCGCTCGCATTTCGCAGGCAGGATAACAGCAGCCCAAATACCCCCCTTTACTTATTCGTACCCCCGGTTGTCCAGTCATACATGCGCTCGAAGAAACGAATACCGGACACAGTGGGGCAGCACGTAAGGCAAACGTTCTGCAACTTCGTCCTCCGACATGAATCACGAGGTCACCGACGCACGATTCAAGGCCGATGTCGCCGAGCTCGCGAAGGAGGACACCAATATCCAAGCTGTACTCTTTGCATGGAAGGTGTACGAGGAGGATGATTCGTCCGGAGGAGTTCGGCGGTTGTCCTTCTCTAACGAGCTCCTTCGGGCCCTGGTCGCGTTCACTTGGTACAGTCATGATACCAACCCTTGCCTCGATCTGGCGGAGCACACGTTGAAAGTCGCTCAGGCAGCGCGCGACTCAAGATATGAAGCCGAAGCGAATTTCTGCCTCGGAGCGATGTATGCTAAGCTCGGTCTGGCTGAGTCTGCACGCGAACCGCTTACAAAAGCCCGTGAGGGTCTCAAAGCTCTGAAAACGGACCTGCAGGCCAGAAAGCGCGCCGCAGAATGTGGCCTGTACATGGCAAAAATACCCATGACAGACCCTGCTGAGAGATTGAAATATCTCCAAGACATTCGTAGGGAATTCGCAAGTCTTTCTGACGTATGTGGTCAAGTGCGCTGCATCGTGCAGATGGGGCGCAATTCTCCCCAGGAAAATGCTCTCCGAGTCCTTCAAGAAGGAATTACTCTTCTCGAGAACACAGAGCACAGGCTTGACCTTGCTCGCTGTCTTCTTGCGATGACCGACGTATGTCATCAGATGAAAGACTATACAAAGGCGGAGTGGTTTATACGTCGCGCGTTGGCAGTAGCTGAGCCCGTCAAGGAGGCCTACTTATATATGGATTTGGTTGAGTCACTCGCGACTGTCCTCATCGAGATCCCTGGCCGCCAGGTCGAGGCATTAGAGCAGGCAATGAAAGCACTGCTCCTACACCAGCAGAACGGTCGCCCGGTCGGCATTGCGGAGAACTTCGAGCTCATAGGATACATATACATCCGCCTCGATAACCGATTCCCTGATGCCCTGCAGGCATATGAAAGGGCCCACGAAGCATATACTCGTCTGGGCTCCTTGCCTGCTGGAAAAAAGGGCGCTCCGCGGTGCCAAAGCAACATCGAAAGCCTGAACCGAAAGATAAAGACCCCGAGCGAGACTATTCGACTCCTCAAACCGGGTGATTTGGAAGAATTCGTTTGATGCGGGAGGTCCAGTCAAACGCCCAATTAAGGGTCAATTTCCAAATCCGGCTCCGTTTGAGTGGCGCAGGCACCTTCGCTTCACGAGTCGACTCTGTATGTATTCATTTTGAGGCTACGTGATTGTGTTATCGTTCGTTGAATTTATGTAGCCTGGTGTGCTCTTCTGATGTCAGCGCTGGTCCGTGAGCATTGAAATGTCGAGGCCTCGTCAAGGCCTGAAGCTGGAGCCTGCAAAGGTAGCACAATGGCTAAACGATGGCGCTCAGATAGATGTAAGTAGCTTGACTTCTGGAAAATCTCCTGATATCAGCGCATCTTTCTCTGCGATCTTCTGCAGGAATGACATCTCTGTCGAAGAGAAGGGGGGGAAGCTGTAAGTCTCCCGGCCCGGAGGACCGCCACCGTTCGCTGCAAGCACGAGCAAACATGGCGGGCTCAGTGCGCGTCACGCCATGGCGAGCGCGACATCTGCCATCGTGTAGAGCTGTAGACTCGCCGCGAGTTCTCAACTCGGCCAATGGTACTTCCCTGTGAATCAACCATTTCAATTCGAATTCGAGGCTAGGACCACTGCTGGAATGGCTACAGTCTTATCGACAGCGGAGGTCATCGCAAGTGCCAATGAGCTCCTAGCAGCTCATGAGGCCCTTATTCTCCGGGTCAGGTCCAGACAGCAGGAGCACCGAGAACAGCTGCGAACGCTGTATTCACCACCCCAGGAACTTCTCCAGTTGTCTCCGATTCCATCTCCGGCGCCGTCGCCTCCTCCAGACGATTCTCCTCCTCTTTCACCGCTCCCACAGCCCGTACCAAGATCGGATCTGCCCCCAGCGAAGAAGGCGCGTGTTTCTCGGTACCACAACTATGTTCCGGAAGAGGAGACCATTCGAAACGACTATTCACAAAGATATGTAGACGGTGGCGAATGGCCTCAAAACTGGGTCCTTGGAGCTGAGCCAGAGCATCGGTTCGAGGAGTGAGTCGTTCTATTATTTTCTGAAGTCCATGACTCTTACAGTGAGATAGGTACCCGAAACAACAGCGTCTTCTCAATCTCAAGAAGTCGTCTGTGAACCAAGTTGCTCTCCCACCCACATATCTCCCGTATGCCGACTTGACCTCCCTACATCCCAACAAGTTCGACGTTATTCTCATCGATCCACCCTTTTCTTCGAGTTTCACTTGGGACCACCTTCAAGAAATATCCATACCATCACTCGCTGGGGATCCCAGCTTTGTCTTTCTATGGGTAGGAAGTGGTGCAGGGGAAGGGTTGGAAAGAGGGCGAGAAATACTAGCCAAGTGGGGGTATCGACGATGTGAAGACGTAGTGTGGATAAAAACGAATAATACCACCAACCAAGGGCCTGGTGTGAGTGTCTCCTCCCGATATATAAACGCACATCTTGACGATGCCTCAGACCGACCCACCAACGACCTCTCTGCTGACAAGAACAAAACAGCACTGTTTGATGGGCATCAGAGGGACTGTTCGTCGCTCGACAGACAGCTGGTTTGTCCACTGCAACGTTGGTATGCCTCAGCCTTACTTTTGCCTATCAGGCACTCAACAGTTTCACAGATACGGACGTGATTATTTGGGAGGGTGACCCAGAAGACCCAACACGAAAGCCACCCGAAATGTATACCCTCATCGAAAATTTCTGTCTGGGCTTCCGACGCCTCGAAATCTTCGGCAAACTGTCCTCGCTGCGGAGAGGCTGGGTGACCGCCCTCGCCCCAGGACAAGATGAGCGCCTGCCCTCCGACGGCCGCTTGCACGTCGAAGGGGAGGAAGGCGGCACCGCGACGCGGTGGATGCAAGAAACATGGGAGGAGGGCTTGAAAGAATTGTCCAACGGTGGCAAGCCTGTCGTGCCCATGACCGCGGAGATCGATGCCCTAAGACCAAAGTCCCCCGTCCGTCCCGGTCAGACGACCTCCACCAACCCTGGACACGCGGGCAGCGGTGGCGGCTCTGGCGGCGCTCTCACAGCGCAGGCGATGGGCATGGGTGCAGGCATGGGTGGCTTGTCCGCTCCGCGCTTCCAAGGCGCCAATCGTGGAGGCGGAGGTGTAGGAGGCGGGCAAGGACAGATGATGGGTCAAAACCAGATGATGGTGCAACCGGTGATGGGCATGGGCGCGCACCAGATGGCTGCGATGGGTATGGGCAACATAGACGAGATGATGGGCGGGTGGAACCCGATGATGGGAGGTATTGGCGGGATGGGCGGCGTCAACGCCTCGGGTGGGATGGGCAATCGCGGCATGGGGATGGGGAACGTCAATGCTGGGATGGGTGGAGGAATTAGCAGTGGCGCAATGGGCAACATTGGGCCCATGGGCGCGATGCCGATGCAAATGATGGGGCAGATGGGCATAGGCAATGTCGGCGTCGGCGGGTTCCCGATGCAAGGCGCAGGCCCCTTTGGGACGGTCTTCAACAGCGGGATGAATGCCTGGGGCGACCAAGGGCAGTTTGGGATGGGCGAGGCCTGGGACGACGGGATGAATGGGATGAATATGAACATGCCCAACATGGCTGGCGGTATGGGTATGGCCAGCATGGGCAACATGGGGAATATGGCCAACATGAATGGGATGGGGATGAACCAGCAGTGGGGTTCCGGGAATTTCTAATTCATTGCGATTCGTTGCTTCCTGTTTCGTGTTGGTCTGACGGCCCTGGACTGCTATCTTTCTCAATATATATTATACAGTCAATTGACTGCCCAGATGTTCTTTTCCGCGTTCCGTCGCCCCAATTCGAAGTGATTCGACTGTACTATGAATCTGGCATTCAATCCTTACACCGAACACGACAGTGCTTGCAGCTCGTTGACTGATTGAAATATTATGATTGAGCATGGGGATTTAGGCGCTGGATACACAGGACTTCTAGGATAACACTATGATCAAGCTTTACCTGCGCAAAAGATATGTACAACGGATGGAAGAACTCCAGAAAGCAGGCATATTAGTGGAAATTTGAGGATATAATGCATCGGAATATTTGTCAATCAATGATGAGAAGAATCGGAAAGCCTTCAATGGAAACAACATCGTACATAGTGGATCCTATCTCGCGTCCAGACGTTCTAGAAGAGATGCAACGACTCTCGTTGTTTCTTGGCTTTGTGCCAAGAGTCCTCGCAGGAGGGCCACAGTTTCGTCTGCTGGCAGGCTCGGGTCCAAGTTGAGAGGAGTAAAACCATTGATTTCAGAGGTGTCGGCATTGCCATGGCCGGGGTCTTGGGAAATGATCTGAGAGGACGCTGAAGGCGCCGATTTGGAAGCTGATACAGGCTGGTTGACTGGGGTTGGGGGCGGAGTTGGACGATGTGCTGAAAAGTTGGGCTTGGGGTGTGGGTTGGAGGGTGGAAGACCTCTTCGGCGGCGACGCGAAGTGGAGGGAGTATCTACACCGCTTCGAACAGCTGGAGCCGAGACTGACAATGAAGATGAAGACAGCGCAGGATGCGCTCCAGGAGCATTTGTGCTACCGTGATTTTGAGAAACCGCAGTGCCAGGCGCGGAGCCCGACGTTGAAGAGCCGGGATTTATTGATAGTAGCCTGTCGCGTCGGAATTGCAAGCCGGAGCGAGTACCAGTGAGAGTGAGAGGAAGGGCCGTAGACAGCCGAGCGGCGGCTCGTTGTGCGAGCTTTTTCTCCATGAAGGGGAATAAGCAACGACGAGCACCGGTCGACACCTTGCAGGAGCGGCATCTCGAGTTGCGGCATCGGCTGAAACTCGATGCATTCAGCCAATGAGACTGTAGCAGGGAGTAACCTTCAATGATGACTTCACAGTCTAAACCGTTTGCCCGGCAGTGGTTGCATTTATATTTGTCTCCCAGGAGCTTCGTCTCCATTCCACCACCGTTGGGGGGATGGTTTTGAACAACCTTCTGTTTCTTCGTAGCTGCTCTAGTCCTTGGCTGACTGGTTATATTTTCTTGTGCCTTGGTTGTCTCCAAACCACGCTTGAGTGATGTTCTCCGGGTCGAGCTCCCTTCACCGAATGATTGAAACCGATTCGGTCTGTAAGGGATCTCGACACGAACGACTAGTCGAGATCTGGGAATAGTTATCTCAGGAGCTAAATGCATTGCGTCAATATCCAGCAAGTAACTCGTCCTGTAGTTGTTTGGCTCACGTGAAGAATGCGTACACTCTCTTGGGCGAGTTTCTGGGGAGACAACCTCGGCGACATCGTCCTTGTCCACTAATTCCATCTCGCTGATCTCGTCGTCCAGATCCGTCTGGTGTTTATCTTCCTTCTTCAAGTTCTCCAGCTTGACAAGGACGGCCTCTTCTTTCTTGACACTGCCATGTGTTCTCCTAGGTCTTGAGAGCACCATAGCTTTCGTCTCTTCCTCTTCTTGCTTGAGCTGAGATTCGTGTCGGTCCTTGAGTCCAGATATCATGGCTGCCAGCACGTCAGTCGAGGTCAGATTCTCGGGGCCAGGGGTGATGGTAGTTGGATGGAAGCGAAGGTTCGACGCAGGTTCGACGGCCGAGTTCTTTTCTTTCAATAATATACTTACCGAATTTCGTCAGGGTTGCACTGATGAAAACGTCATCACATTACATAGCGAAGCAGGTAGGGATACCACTTGCTACCCAGGAAAAGATGGATTCCAACGGGCTGGATGCATGTATGCGTGCGGAGTTGTCGTAGAAAGTGTTTTAGAAAGAACCAATCATGGGACTTGGGCCGGCAGTCCGGCCCGGAAATAATTTTTTGATCGAATTATGTCAGCGACAATTTCGAGGCTTTGGACCCAAGACCGTCCTAGAGGAAAGCACATACTTTATCTCTTTACACCACCTTACAGCTAAAATCGTCTCTACTGGGAATGGGAAAGAAAGCAACAAAAGCAACGAAGAAGTTCGCTTCCAGTGGCAAGCTAAAAAAGACGATCCAAGCCCGACATAAAGCCCAACAGATCAAAAAGAAGTTCGAGAAACGGAGAGGAAACAAGGGAAAAGAACGTTTGGTCGAAGAGGATGCGGAGGGTGATGATGTAGAACAGGAGAAGGAAGCGCCGAAAGCAGGAAAGGGGTATGTTCAGCTGTTTCGGTTTCCTCCAGTTGATCTTGACCAAGGAAGTACAGGTCGAAGCGAATGACCGTAGATGACTTTCTGAAAGGCGACTTCATGGATGGAAGCGACGACGAGTATATGGAAGGTGACGACCCGGTATATATTCCGCCTCGAAAAGGACATTATGGTCTCTGATATTGAATTTCAGGCGGCCTCCGAAGACGAGGATCTGGACCACGAGGACGAAGAGGATATTGAAGACGATGACGCGGCGTCTTTCGCGTCTGTGGACGACCTAGATGGTGAGCAGCATCTATATCGTTCGGTGACAAGTTGATTTACAAAATTTCTGCCAGAGGAGGGCCAAAATCATCTACTTGAACTCTCAAAACTCGCCGAGAAAGACCCCGAATTCTACAAGTACCTCCAAGAGAACGATGAAGAGCTCTTGAATTTCAACATGAGCGCGCTACCAGGAGACGATTCATCAGAAGAGGGAGACGAAGACGGTGATGTTGTCATGGAAGAAGAGGAAAAAACGCCTGTGTTGACGAAGGAGATCCTTCGGAGTTGGCAGAGGCCTCTGCTGCAGGTGTGTCAGGCTAATTCAAGCAGAGTTTCATCATCAGTTACCCCATGTTTCTAGCAACACTCTTTGCGAGCCCTTAGAAAACTGTTGCTTGCTTTCCGGTCTGCTGCTCACATGAATGAGGACGACCAAGTGCTTGCCTGGAGTATCGACAGCGCTTCTGGTATGTCTGAGCTTCAACCATTTGGTCTTCTTATTTGACGCGACTTCCCCCCAGTGTACAACAAGCTTATCACCACGTCGCTTCGATATACACCTGTAGTGTTGGAACACCACCTGCCGTACAAAATTCTGGCGAACGGGAAATTGTGAGTGTCCTGGGCTTCGGACCCATGGTTTCTAATGGATCTCTCAGCAAGCCTCCAACCCAAACGCCAAAATTCAAGACCCTACAGAAACTCATCCTTTCCTACTTCCATAACGTCACTCATATCCTTTCGCAGCTAACGGATGAGGATATGCTCCGCCTTGCCCTCACAGAGAGTTCCAAAATTGTTCCCTATATCATTACCAGCCGCAAATCTGTCAAAACGTACCTGAAGGTAGGGGAAATAACTACCGAGTCTTTCACCCGTTTCTGATTAACTTCTTCAGAAATGTCTGGATTTGTGGTCGAGTGCGGCGGATAGCATACGGTTATCTGCATTCTTTTCCGTTCGCAGACTTGCATCTGCTTCGGACGAATCGATCCTGGACACGATTCTCAAGGTCCGTCGTGCCATATTTCGAATATGTTCGCCACACTTTAATGCAGTCTTGACAGTCGACGTATCTAACCTTGATCCGCTCCTCGAAATCTACCAGCGCCCATACCCTCCCATCTATCAACCTCATGAAAAATTCGGCTTCAGATGTCTTTTGCATTGACCATGCCACCGCGTATCAGCATGCATTTGGGTACATTAGGCAACTAGCTATTCATTTGCGGAATAGCATGAAAATCAAAACTAAGGTTAGTTGCGCTTGTCGTCTCCTGAATTTGGCTATAACTCAGGTCTGCCCTGCAGGAGGCTTACAAACAAGTCTACAACTGGCAATTCGTTCATTGTGTTGACTTTTGGTGCATCGTCCTAGCACGGGCGTGTGACGTTGAAGCAGAGGCGGCAAGTGGCAAAGAGAGCGAGTTGAGGCCCCTTATCTATCCATTGGTGCAAGTGGCTCTAGGTGCTATCAAGTATGTGCCAAATCCTGCAACCCACCTTTATCCCTGACTGACACCTTGACAGGCTTGTACCCAATAGCCGATCACATCCCTTCCATCTCCAAATTCTCCGGTCATTGCTCAACCTCACAAAACATACGCAGACATACGTTCCCATCTCCCCCTACCTTGTTCCCATCCTCGCCTCGTGTTTAGCTCCATCTTCGCGGCCGAAATCCTCCACACTGCGGCCGCTGGACTTCGACGTCCAGATCCGCGTCCCACAACAATACGTGAAGACGCGTGTGCTCGCGGAAGGCTTGACGGAAGAAGCCGTGTTCCTGCTAGCTGAGTGGCTCGGCAGCACCCCAGTGCATGGAAGCATCGCGTTCTCTGAGATTGTCGTACCCGTCGTGGTCGTCCTCCGAAAGAGCCTGAAGAATGCGAAGAACGGATCGAGCAAGGACCAGAGCCTCGTCAAGGTCTTCCTCGAGCGCGTCGACGAGAGCGCAAAGTGGATGGACCAAAGACGCAAGTCTGTGCAGTTTGCGCCGTCAAAGATAGACGAGGTGCAGGAATGGGAAAAAGGGATCAAGTCCAAGTTAGACGAGACGCCTCTCGGAAAGTACCTAAAGGTGCAGAGGAAGACCCGGGAAAAACGTCGCAAGCTCATTGAGAAGGTGCGGACGGTTCCATTTTGCTTTGCTCTCACTTTGCATGCGATCTCCCTTTGTACTGATGTTCGCTGTGTTCACAGGCCAGGGAAGGCAAGGACGAGATCCTCGAGGAGGAGGAAGAGTGATCGTGATGCACGTGCTTCTTTCACTGTGATCGGAGGTTATGACGTCTGCCGCGATGTCTGCTATTTTCTCCGTACATGCTTGCACACACGAATCGGACGCGGTGCTCTGATATCTTGTCTTCCAGCACGTTGTGATTGCAGACCTGCGAAGGTCGGATTTTTCGGGATGAGGATGATTGATGAGCCTTGATATGTGAACGCAATGAAGGCGTGGTGGGTTCAACTGAATTGATGCCCAAATGGAACGAGATTGTGTCGGTAGACGAGCCGGACTTTTACGACAGGAACGCAAACGCCCGAGTCTACCTCTCTGACCAGGAAGATTTCAGGGATTGTCATGGGATTGCGATTCTGAATCATTAAAGTGGAACGAGGGGGGATTAAACTGATGGGAGTTAGCGATGAATTATTGGAGCAATAGTTGAAGAATGGGGATGACAGGAAAGCGAACGTGCAGATGGGCGTCCCCCGTTTTCACCAGATTCCGAAAAACACCTTCCACAACGGTCTGCTGATCCCTTGTGAACTCTTCTCGTACCCCTCTAGTAGACGGTCGTAGTACTGCGGGGAAGATACCGGGTGTCGCAGTTTTTCAGGAAGGGGGTACTGACAAAAAATGCGGGTTAAGCAGGCAACTCGGGAGGAGGCGTGAATAGATTCACTTTCTTCATCATATCGTTGTCTCTTAGCGCACGCGTCGCCTCCACAGTCTCGGGTGTAAGTCTGGAGTACCCTGCGAGAGATTTCAGGAAGGTCTGTAACTGGACATTTGGCCTGAAAGGGTCCTTCGTCCAGGTCTGCGCAATTGCGCCTAGTTTCTGGGCAAGTTGTCGTGAAGATGCTGCAGACATCCTGTTCGTTGCGTATTGAATGTCGGACTGTGTCCACCGGAGTCTAAGAATCGAGGAAATGGGCTAGATGTTGGGCGCTGGATGCCGGCAGCTCGTGTGCGAGGAGAACAATGGTTGGTTGGGTGTCCATTCGGAGCGTGAGCCAACGGGACGGTGCCGAGCGGAGATCTGCGGCGTTTGAACTCCGCTCTCTGGACACGGGTGCAAAGGATAAACATGTCTTGAACCCAGACGCCTCGCCATCGTTTGTAACGTCTCTTACTTTCTTACGGCTTGACAGAACTTGTGGCTCGAGCTTCTAGCTTCTTCTCTTAGCTAACTCAGCCGAACGCCACCGGAGACGATGCCATCTTATCTGATCCCAGTTTACGTCGACGAAGCTGCTCCTCCACTAAAAGTCCCTCGGGAAGGTCTTCTGTTTTATTCGTGATATTCGTGATATATCCGTATCTTTTGTTGCTCAAGGCGCATCTACTCGGCGTTTTCTCGTGCCTCCTGCTAGGCTCTCTTGTACCAACCGAAGGACGTGCTAGGACTCACGGAACACGAAAAAATCCATCAACCTCGGAAGAACTGCCAGATTACTGTATTAACAGGCATTAGCAGCTGCTGGAAGGCCGCTCACCCCTGCAGACTATGGGAAATCTCCACGACAATCACTACCCCTGTCAGTACTGGTCTTCGCCGCGGACGAAGGCAACTGCCTACAAATTTAAGCAGTTAATAACAACTACCAGTCGGCCCTTATTCCAAAATACATGTCGTGCCTACGGTGGCTCTGCCTGGGGATGATCATTCGTTTTTTTTTCTTTCTGTTTTTTCCTTCTCCTAGTGGAAGTATTCATGGTAGCTGCCATTTCCAGAGCAACTTCTCGAAACACTCAGCGACTCCATGTGGCAGAAAACTTTTACTACCGTTCAACACAGGGTTGCTCCACCTCTGTTATTGCTGCTCAATGTAAGTGTGCTTATCTTCCTATAAACCGAAGGACCACCCGTATATGTTAAAAGGTCTTTCCCTGGCCCAGATCTTCTGGTCTCTGGAGGAAAAATCTACCTGTTTTGCTTGGGATTCGTCTCTGGGACCGTTCTGACCTTGCATTTCGCTGGGAAGTTTCAGGTTTCATTTGTTCCCTCATGATTATTGTATGCACCATTTTGTAGCTCCAGTGACACCGAGGCCGACGTAAGCCTCCACAAAAATATCTTGATTACTCTTTGGGGCCCTCAAGTTCTACCCGGACCCGCGCCTTCATTCACAGTCCCTTGTGCCTGCGATGCTCGCACGCAAGTTTGACAGACGTGAGTACTTGAACACTTATCACACTGGCGAGGCCGAGCTTACGGAAGACAAGATAACAGAAATGGACTACTTGTTGCTCAACCCCATAACGACGACGTGCAGAACTCTGTAAAGTGATGGGAAGTGTCTCATTTGAAGTAGCACTTCTCTGGGCGCCTAAATACCTTATCTCGCGCTATACACTCATGTCAACTCTGGGTCTGTGCCCCTAATATAATGCTGTAACTGACAGGGTATTGATTTGATCATCGGGTTGGATAATGAAGATTTACATCCGGGGCCGCAGTCCCGTCCTACACCTTTTCTACCGCAACCACGACCTTCAAGTCGCCCTTCTGTGCATCTCAAGCCTCTACATTTCGTCTCTGCAGGAGGATGAAGATCCCCATCAATTTATTTTCTTCCGTTCTGCTCTGCATTGGGAGGACCCTGAAATAAACACAGCCACCAGGTACGGCGACCATGAAGACGCCCGTTGGGCACTCTCTCTTCGCCGTGACACTCGGCGTTGTCCTCTATTCTCTTCCCAACCCACCATGTCCTGCTGCGGCGAGCCCAAAAACAAGCCAAGCCTCTACAACAACGGCGCCGGGCCTCAGAACACTGGGACGATCACGACGCAGCCGGGGTCCCAACCCGCCCTCGAGAAACCGCTATACTTCCAGCAGCCCAACATCTCGCCTCCGCCGGCAGTGCATGCGAACCACACGAATTTCCACCAGCAGGCGGGCCAGTCATGGAGCAACTCACCGTCACCGCCCCCGACGAACGACTTCGGTGCGATGAATACCGGTGGGGGCTTCGGGTCGCCGCCGATGCAGCCTTCGCTCGGGCACAGCTTCGGATCGACGTTCAACGGCTCCAACTTCAACGTCGCGAATGGTTTCTCGCCTGCGAACCAGCCACTCCTCCCGCCTCCTGCCACCCACACTCCTCAGCTGTCGATTTCGTCACCGTTCAATACAACATCGATACCCGTCAATCAGCCAAGCGCACCGGTGCAGGATGAGGGCAAGATGTCCATTTCTATCGATTTCGGTGCGAAGTGGTGATTATATAGGCTTGACATGCCTCCTAAACGACCTTTCCAACAGGAACGACCTTCTCAGGTGTTGTAAGTAGCGCCTGCCACGTAAATAGCGCCCGTCTGATTGTCCTTATAGGCATACGGTTCATCACGTATCGCTGGTGGCAGAGTACAACAAATCCTCATCTGGCCGGGTTCATTCGAGACGTTCAGGAAGGTTAGTGGTTGTAATCACCGATAATTCGATGCTGATAAACCAACTAGATACCCACCTGCCTTCTTTACGATGAACAAGGCTTAGTGTTGGCGTGGGGGTTGGAAGCAAAGAACGCGAGTCCAATGCCAGGAACGACCCGATGTGAATGGTTCAAGCTGTTCTTAGAGCCTTCAGCACTCCGGGATGAGTCTTCCATCGACCCTCGTCTGCCCGCACTCCCCGTAAGGGTTCTATGACAAATCGAATGGCATAGCCTTACTCTTTTTCAGCCAGGAAAGAGGACCGATAGACCTTATCATCGACTTCCTCTCCTGCCTGTGGGAATACGCGAAGGACCAGATTACGAGAGATATTGGAGCAGTGGCAGACCTAAGTGAGTGCCGAAACGCCTTGGAGTACATTTTCGTAAAGCTTTCGTCCCAGACTCTGCTGATGTATGGCTGACGGTACCTGCGGCATGGGATGCAAGAGGGTGCGACATCATGAGAGAGGCAGCCATCACCGCCGGGCTCGTTCAAAGTTCTCGAGCAGGGGATAATAGCTGGAGAGACCGACTACGAATCATCACTGAGCCTGAAGCGGCCGCCGTACACTGTGCCCAGCTAAACGATCTGCATCACCTCAAGCCCTCTCAAAATTTCATCGTGTGCGATGCAGGAGGTGGTACTGTCGATCTAGCTGTGTACAAGGTGAGCAAAGAGGCGTACATCTTTCTCCACCCAAGCACTAACAAACTAACTACTCCTGTCTCTCTTATAACTTTTACCTGCTCCTGCTCCATCCGCGGATATTGTCGCAATAGATTATCGGGCAGATGGCGAACCTCGAGATCGCCGAGATGTGTGCACGCTCGGGAGCCAATTGCGGCAGTCTTTTCCTAGACCTTCGATTCCGCGAGCTCGTCAAGGTGCGTACAGTCAGTAAGCCCACACGAGGCTAAGGTTTGTTCCACGTACTCATGCTATCAACGGATGCTGTAGACCCTTCTCGCGGACCATCCAACGCATCTGGACCCTCCTTCCTTGGCGTATTTCAGTCAGTCTTTTCACTCCTCCCTCTTTATCGTTTGATTGCTGATGATATTTGCCTGATTTTAGTGCATTCGTTCAGTGAGACGGACAAATTGAATTATGCGGGCTATCATGATGATGGTATGTGAAAAACCCAGTAGAGGTTCTGTCCTGTTGAATTATGTGTCTAGAAAATATGTTCCACTTTACGTGTTTCAACGTTGACGACCCGCACGATCCTTCTGTGGGCCTGATCAATGGCCAGCTCTCCATCCCCGGAAATCTGCTGCGGCGAGAGGTATTCGACCCGGTCGTGAATCAGGTAGGTCTAGTTCATCTATGCCTCCCTTACGCATCTTTTGTTCGCATTCAACTCAAAGCTTATTCGATTAGGTTATTCAACTTATAGAGGAACAAATCTCACAAGTCGACCAGCCAATACATGCGCTCCTTCTCGTGGGAGGCTTTGCAGGGAGTGAATACCTGAAGCAACGGGTGCAGGTCCGGTTTCTTTCAATTGTCATCTTCGTTCTTTATTAGCTCATGAGTAAATTCGGTTTCGGCGTTGTGCTGTGTAGGACCAATTCGGCGCTCGGATCCGGGTCATCGCTCGTCCTCCTGACGCTGACACCGCAACGCTCCGAGGCGCAGCGACCTATGGACTGGCTCGACGACCGCTTGTGTCGAGTGTCATCGCGCCGCGATCATATTTGATGAAGGCGAGCCTCGCAACACGATTCTCAAGTGCAAACCTCTTACCTGATATTTTTTTTCTTGCGAACAGGTCAAACTGCCGGCTGAACAGGAAGATTGGCTCAAACGTCCCGCATATATCCGGAACAATGACGCAGGAGTGCCGATCTGTGAAAATAGGTGCGTAATATCGGTGGCGTAGCTTCTTTTCCCCGACTTATTGAGCCGCCGGCTGGGGCCATTTTACGTGCAATCTCCAGGCTGCAGTACCTCGTGTCGAAAGGAGCGATCCTACGCAAAGGGTATGTCTCCTTTTCTGGTACTTCCTGGGCAATTGCGGGTTCTCATGTATGATTGAACCATAATTTAGGCAACGTCTGACCACGAAGTTTTGGTACGTGAATCCTTACATACCCCTTTCGGTTCTTGCCGCCGAGCTTACGTTTTGTTTTTATTGGAATAGCAAGTTTTCGCAGTCAGCACAAGGTGAGGGATCCCTTGATAATTTTTTGGTGTTAAGACGGATCCGGACATTGACGGCTTCCGAGTGTAGACTCCTCTTTCGTCGCGACGCTGTACACGAGTGACTCGGAGAAAATGATGCGGTATACTGACGAGGGGGAGACCACGGAGCTATGCAAATGGACCGTGGACCTGTCTTCCCTGCCAACGTTCCGCCAGAACGCCTCATTACCTCAGATGAGTGGGTTTTACACAGGTACGCTACGCATCGGGCTTCTGTGAAGAGATGGTTGGGCTGACGTTGGGTTAGAATTCGAACTCGGCCTTGAGCTCGACAGTGCGGAAGTCCGTGGAATTCTCCTGTTTAACAATCAGGAGTGGGGAAGGTCTGCCTCGAATTTATGCTGTTCTCGATGGTTTAACTAACAATTCCGTTCATAGGGTCACGTTCGATTTCTTGAGTTAGGATTGCTCCAATATCACTGTAATATACGCTTGCTCCATATGCTTTGGGTTAATACCACAGACGCTATACCTACGTCTCTTCTTTTCACACATTCCCCCGTCCTGTTTATGATGGTATTTGATCTTTTTGTGCTTTCTTCTGAACCTGGATCATTCGAGGATTCGCAGCTTTGTGTACTGAATCCCTTGATCCCTTCAGTCTAGAACGGCTTATGGCGTAAATATGGCGTTATCCTCGGCAGGCTGTCGACGTCGATATTTGTAGACGATGAGTTCTCGAGATGGTGGCGTGCAAGGTACTGGTGAATCATTTTTGCGAATGTTCGCTAATATTCGTAAGCAGATCTGTTCTCGATTTCTTCCAGTTATCGGGGCATCGGGAGCACGTATCTTTCCGGAGGAACAAAAAAGACCGGGCGCCTGTGCTGGTCGGGCTCCCCCTTGAGATTGCCTTTCTGCTTGCATTGGTATCGGTGTTCCGACGCGAGGCTTGGCTGTGTGGGCTTATCGGACGCAAAAGGCTGGGTTTGGTTCCTGTTGTCTGGCGTACCAGATGGTGAATCTGGCTCGGGGTGGATATCCGGAGATTGCCGTGCCGCGCCGGGAGACGCCGGTTGCCGAAAAGGAGATCGGAGCGTCATCCTCTCACTCAGCAGCCTCCTGAATGGGCCTATAAAGCCCCGCCCAAAAAATCATAATGTGCGTACCCATCTATCATGGCCTCCCAACTCACTGCGCGCCCCAGCGACGTCCCCCTCGAGAACCTCTACAACCTCCTAGAGCCCATCACTGTTCCCCCTGAGAAGGCGCACTTCACCAACTGGGGCCTATCGTTCACATGCACCCCGGCCACTATCTTCGAGCCAGAGAACGAGTTCCACTGCGAGCTCGTGCTCGAACTCGCCCGTCGCGAAGGAAAGACCGTTAGGGTGGCGGGTGTTGGCCACAGCCCGAGCGATCTTGCATGCACGAACGAATTTATGTTGCGCACCACAAAACTTAACCGGGTACTTGAGGTATGTTGTACCGGTATTTTTCCGGATCCGCTGGCGCAGGGAAATCTGACTTTGATCGCAGGTCAACACAGAGAAGCGGTATGTCGTCGCGCAACCCGGAATCATCCTCCACGACCTCCATGCCCAGCTTGCAAAGAACAACCTCGCGATGTCCAGTGTCGGCTCGATTTCTGACCAGACCTTGGGTGGCGTTGTCGCAACTGCGACTCATGGATCCGGTGTAAATTACGGCGTAATCTCGACGAGCGTTATGGCCCTCTCGCTCCTGCTTGCAGACGGTTCTCGCGTTACATGTTCGCGAAATGAGCACCCTGACCTATTTCTCGCGTCAATTTGTGGCATAGGCACAACAGGCATCATACTCAGCATCCAGATGGAAGTTGAACCCGCATTCCGGCTGAGAGAAGTCCAGCAGTCATTCCCCTTCGACGAAGTCATCGAGCGCCTCGATAAGCATGCGTTTTCGGCGGAGCACGTTAGGTTCTGGTGGTTCCCTTCGCGAGACGTAATTCGAGCCAGCTACTCGAATCGAACGGATGAGGTAACGTGGTGTGCTTGTACTATGCCAGAAAAGAAGGTTGATGTCCATCCAAATAGCCCAAGAACCCTGCAGGCAGCTGGTGGTGGCATACATTCCTCGGACACCATGTTATCCAGTTTCTTCTCTTCCTAGGGCGCTATTTCGTCTTCCTGAACACCTGGATCGCTAATTTCGCGTGCTGGCTCGTCAGTGGAGATTCGACAGGCGTAGACGACAGCTACAAGATTTTTAATGTGGATTGCCGGGTGCGTCCTTGCCCTTTGCTCGTCATGCATGATAGAATCTCATCACCCGCCGACCAGTATCCACAGTTTACCACGGAGTGGGCTGTTCCCTACGAGAACACCCAAGCATGCCTTCGCGAGTTCCGGGACTATTTGAGGAAAGAATACCAAGATCCCCACGGGATTCGCCCTCATTTTCCAGTAGAGATTAGGTTCTCGGCTAGCGATGATATTTGGCTGAGTCCGAGCTCTGGGCACCTCACGACGTGGATTGGGATCGTGCAGTACAAGTGAGCCCCTCCCCTTTTTTTCTGCCTCCTTTGGGCCCTTGCTCCTACCGAGTTCGTTTTTAATCATCCCGAACTCGCACCTAGGCCATATGGGTTCAACGTGCCCTATCGGAAGCTCTTCCAAGATTTTGAAGACATCTTGTTCAGACACCAAGGAAAGCCCCATTGGGCGAAGGCCCACCGCCTACAGCCAGACTCACTCCGCAAGCTCTACCCACGGTTCGATGATTTCCGCGCGGTCATCGACCGTGTTGATCCTCAAGGCATTTTCCGCAACGAATACGTCCAACGGCATATTCTGGGAATGCCAATTGACCCCAGGTTTTTCAAGAAAAGGCCATAGTCGCTTCAAGGAGATGGGGGGAATATGTAGGAGGTCCTCCGCCACTTTAAATATTATTCTTGTGACTCGTTCCTCGTTAGACTCCCTTTCGCCATCCTTCAGCGAAGTCCGCATTTGTTACTTGTATTGTTGGTCGACGGTTGTTATTGTATACACGGAGCTTCGATCGAACTTTGTTTGCTCTAAAGGCCCAGTTGTTCCTTAATAGATTCTCGCACGATGCGTTCGTATTCCTGTCGGTTGTCACGGTAGAGCTTGCAGCAATCGATATTGGCACCACTTTCAAGATTCGGTTCTAAGTATAAATTTACCAGAGGCGAGATGATCGGTGAGTACATTGCCGTGAGCGATAATAATAGGACACCATGTACTCACCAGCAAGCATGGAAATGACGCTGAGAATAACCTTCTCGACGCTCTGGACGGGACTCCAGCGCTCTGAGGCCTGTTCGTACATTGTGGGGTCATCTCCGGGCGTGTGGAGGATCGAGATGCACACATTCCCATCTGCGTAGACTGAAGGGCGCAGAAACAGAACGGTCAGCGGGACGGTGGAGACGGCTCGGCATTCTTGTTCTCACTGTTGGGATGGAACAAAGGCGGATCGAACTTCATCTTGAACGGTGAAAGCGGATAGTCCTGGGGCTAGAACAGGAAGGATGGGCGGGATTGAGCTGGCAAGTTCCATGGGTGGGTAGCGAGACCTTGCAGTGACGGCAACGTACGAAAGTCAGCTTCGCGGTGAACACACCGCCCTCCTGTATCACCAAGCACATACACAGTCAGATGACAATTACCCAACCTGCGATGAGGACGCGAATGAAAGACGAACTTACAAATGGCGTGTCTTTGGGGCCGCAGATTAGTGCTTCCCAAGTGAAGAAATCGGACTCGGAGATGGGACCTGCACACGATGGAGTCATTGGTATGAACATCTGCACTTCGAGGCAATGTCCGCAGAACGGTGCTTACCAGCTGTGAACATCCCATCTGGAGAGCCTATGATATCCCAAAAAGACACAGGATCAGAATGGGGGCGACTAACCAAACGAAAACAGGCTGGATGCGGCCTTGAACACTAGCTTATTCACCTCCCGAAGTCAGCTGCTTGTACTCTGTCATCAGGCGGCGAAGGGCGGTGGCACTTCCGGACGCTCTCGATGCCATATCTTTGGTTAAAGCGTGTGAGATGACCGTAGAGGCGTAAGTGGCAAGTGCACGTTGACAAACAAGGCGTTGGTGGGGAAATTACGTATTGTGCCCACCCGAATGCCCCTAAGTGGATAGCCGGACTTGTGAACATCTAATCTCCGCGAGCATCTTCAATTGTTGTCTACGACAACTTGCAGCTCGCAGGCTTTTACCCTTCTCTTGGTCCAAGTTCAACTTATCCTCACCCCGAGAAGAACGCTTATTAGACTTGCGAAACCGCAGCAGACCTCTGAATTGATTTCATCTTGTCATGGGCAAATCCACTTTCCAACTGGCTAAGTAGAGGAGCCTGTAAGGGTATGTAATCCTGGAGGATCCTGACACATGGTCTAGGTAGTGATGAGTCCGTATAACCCGGAAAAATTCGGACGTTGTAGGACAGCGAAACAATAGAGGTGAGATAAAGAGGGCTTGATTGCAGGTCGTCTTCTTCCTGGAGCACAGTGCAAACCAATACTCGGGATGGAGAAAATGATGTCGAGTAGTATGCTCTTTTCTATACAGATATGATTCGTCAATAGTGTACAATGAGCAGTGTGATAAGTAAACCGATATGTATGCCGAGCGGAATAGTGACCGAGGATCTTATGCATCGTCCAGCACCAACCGGGGCACCACATTCATAGCCATCAACTATGATCCATGTCAGAAATGAATGATCAAACAACAGGAATCCGGAATACGCACCTCTTGGAACAGGAGTTTAGCAGCGTATGGTATTGTCAACTGGGCCATCTTTTTTGAGCTCTTGCAGTAGGTACACCAGCCGTTGTACCCCATTAGCCCACACTCCTCACATGCATTGACTTCGAATTTATCGGACGAAATCATCAGCCGTTCGAGTAGAAGCTGAGTAGCACCGTAGCCAATTAGACAGTCACGCTCCATCTCTCCTAGACGAAGGCCTCCTTCTCGGGACCGACCCTCGGTTGGTTGGCGTGTCAGTGTCGCACGTGGACCTCTGGACAACGAAAGGCTTAGTCGACCAGGAAGAATCAAGAGAATAATGCTACCTCGCTCGAGCATGCATTTTGTCCATGACCATGTGTTCTGAGGTTCATTGTCGGGTTAACGCGGCAACGGAAAGAATAAAGGCTTCAGACTAACTGAGTTTCTAGATCCATGCATCAATAAGAGCGAGGCGTTTCAGAACGAAGATGACGCCTACCTGATAATAGATAGGACCAAAATATACGTAAGCCTCTAAAGGTTCTCCAGTAATTCCACTGGTAAGCATATCTTTGCCGGCGTAACTGAACCCATTCTCCACAAGGATACGGCTCATATCTTCAACCTACCAAAACCGATTTTTAGGACAAAAACGTCATGAAAACGGAAAAACCAAGACCTTTGAACCACCAAAGGCTGTGCCATACTGAAGCTTCCCTGTTAAGACGCCAGCCTACGTTGAAGGCAAGAGTAATCAGCTACGTCCAAGGGAAACACAGAAAAATGCAACCTTCCCGGCCAGCAGTTCAATCATCTTTCCGACCGTCATACGAGAGGGGAACCCATGGGGGTTCATGATGGTATCTTTACATCAAGATTATGTCAGCGGGAGAAGGTGGAGAGCGAGAATGAACTGGTGATTACCCGGATTGATGCCCTGGTCGTTGAAAGGCATGTCCTCCTGGTTCACAATGAGCCCACAGACGCCCTTTTGTCCATGTCGGGACGAGAACTTGTCGCCTAGCTCTGGCCTACGTGTCTGTCGGATGAGAACCTTGACGATCGTTTGGTCGTTCTCAGTGTCGCTAATCATAACCTTGTCGATATTGCCGGAGACCGGAGATTTATAAGTCAATGGGGTATTTTTGTACGGTACCGAGGCGGCTTGACCAGTGAAAGTGTTGTCTGCTGCGTTCGAAGGGGTTTGCTTATTGACGTAGACGTCGCCTGGATCGACCCGTTCTCCGACCCCAGCAAGACCGTCGAGCTGAATGATGTCATACTTTTTGGATATCTTGCCATTCTCGTCCAAAGGTGCATCCGCAAGACGGTCAAATCTGTAAAATGAGGACCATCAGTGCCGAGAGACAGGAGGCTGAGAGGTGGGACCCAGGAGGCAGTGAGAGGCTTGGACTGACGTTCCATTGGGATATTTTCGAATAAGTGTTGCATTTTTTCGCAAAACCTGACATCTGCCGTATCCTCGGTCCAAGCTTGCCTAATTGCCCTTTTCAGCTATACTCTAAAAACACAGCGAAAACAGTGCAGACTTGCCCTGTTTAGGATGAGAGCATCTTCGATATCGTACCCAGAGTAGCTCATAACGGCCACCGTAGCGTTTTGACCGGCAGGGAGTTTGTCATACCCTACCAACTCGATAGTCTTCGTCTTGACCATCGGCTGTTGGGGGTAGACAGACAAATATAGGAGTGTGTCGATACGATTCAGCTGGTTGTAGGCAATGGCGCCGATAGCTTGTTTTCCCATGGCACACTGATAGGTATTTCGAGGTGACTGGTTGTGATGAGGATATGGGATCAAACCTGCCACAGCCCCTAAGAGTGTGAATGGCTCGATTTCTAAATGAGTCGTCGTATGTACGATGTCGCTCTCGTAAAGTGCAATATAAGTGTCGTTTTCTTCGTTGACGTCGAGGTATTCAACCAGACCCTTTTTGAGGAAATCATCGAAGGTCATGGCATTCTTTTTCAATTGCTAAGCAAAGACAAAGAGTCAATATCTTTGATTATCTTTGACTCCTTGATAGCGTCACGAAGACTTACTTGGATATGCTCGGAAGTAACTCTCGGCCGACCGTTCTCCACAATAATAGCAGGTCTGCAAATGCGCCCGCCATCGCTCGCAATATGCACAGCACGATGGTGATGGTTGATGTATATGCTGACAAACTCGCTGAACCGACGAGCCCTCCGGAGCTTGCGAAATTGTGCAACGAATCGGGTGGGGTGCCTTGTCAGGCCAATAATAGTACCGTTCACGTTCACAACGAAGGTATGTGGACCATAGATCTCTGTTCCAGTTGTCAAACTGATGTCTGGGAAAGAACAAACAAAGGTTAGTTGGGACTGCATTAACAAACTTTGAACATGGGGGACTGTCACTTACCCTCCACGCCAAGCATGAAGGCAAGACGTATCATGGGCTCCTCTTCAACATCGGTAGTGATGTGTGTCATGAGCGCGAGATTCTTGACAAGGCCACATGCCTCTCCTTCGGGGGTATCACTAGGACAAAGAACACCCCACTGACTTGGTTGGAGCGCCCGAGGACCGCTGACTTTCCTCGTCTTTTCAAACTGTGATGAGATACGAGTCATCATCCCCAACGCGGAGATAAAGCTCAGGCGGCTGAGGACGTGCGTGACACCTGCTCGTTCCATCTTGAATCGTTTCAATGACCAATTGCCGGTTGAGATGGCGCGCACGAATCCGGACGTGAGATGGTCGCCTTGCATTCGCATTGTATTGAACGCATCAAACTCGCTCGTTCTCGAAGGCTTCTTCAGCACTTTGTCAATGGCGTTCTTAAGGTTAGAGTTATACGTCTTGAACAAATCCTCGAATAGCAAGGCGAGAAGCTGGCCTGCACTGCATCAAAATCAGCACATCGCTGGTATCATTCCAATCTCGAGCTAACAGATAACTTACAGTTCTAGTCGTTTGTTTCCGACGTAGTCGCGATCATCAACCATGTGTTCGTCGTCGATTGCCATTAAGACCCGCCGGGTCATGGTGGCAACAAAGATGGCCTTTGACCTGAAGTCAAGGCCTTTGACAGGGACATGTGCCAGGACAATTGTGGCGAGCGCCTCCAATGCTTCTTCCCAAGCAGGCCGTCGCGGACCCATCACGCGTCGGTTGACCTTGACACGAGTGCCGATGTATTCGAGGGCTTGGTGTCGAGTGAACACGCCAAGCTTCGCAGCATCTTCCAGGTTGGCTGAGAATGCAGTTTTGTACGCATCGGTGTTTCCTGCTGTGAGAAGGAGTATCTCCTTATCGGACTGGATTCCCAATGCCTTCAGGGCGATGACAATAGGTATGTCTTCGTGAATAGAGTTATGCCGGAGATATATTTTGCCCTTCTTTGTTGCGACATAAGTCTTGGACTTGAGACCGCCATGCGTAGACCTGTCTAGTCAGCTAAGAGTGTCGAATGTAACTGAATTCAAGGACGAGGACGCACGATGTGCAAGACGCCTGAACGACGCCCTTTGCAGGATCTGTCTCTACGATAATCCGATTCTTGCTAAGCTGCTCCTGGACAAGAATGACCTTTTCAGTCCCTTTCACAACGAAATATCCTCCTGGATCCAACGGACATTCGATCATGCGGGCCAGTTGTTCTTCGGACCTTCCGGTCAAAACGCACTTGCAGCTCCTCAACATGATTGGCAAACGTCCGATATTGACATTCCGTTGGACGATGTTTTTACCGCGAGTGTATTGGATGGTCACAATGATTGGAGCACTGTATGTCGTATCACGCAGTCGGCACTCGTTCGGAGTCACCCTCTTGTCAACAGAAGACTCTTCGTTCCGGTCAGGAAAACCAACATTGATGTCCGTGTATTTCAGCCAGAAACGTGGGTCTACGTCTGAGGTAACTTTGTTGTTCGCTTTGACGATGTTTTTGATATCGACATCGACGAAGTAGTTGAAGGAGTCGATGTGTTGTTTGACGAGTCCTTTGACTTTGAGAAAAGCGGGCAATAGAAGCCACTTGTCCTGCGATATTGCGCTTAAGCTGAATGGGCTCGGAAAGAATGGTCTGTTCACGCACCTCAACGCTTTTTATCGGATCCGTTACACCCAAGCCCTTCCAGTTCATGCGGTTGAGTTGTTCCCACTCGTTATCCTCGTCTTCTACCATGATTGGAGTGTCAAGGTTGAGGTCATCGTTGTGCCATCACGGGTAGCAAAGAGGAGTTAAATTCCGCGGCATTACGTAACCAAATGTCCTTGACACAATCCTCCATCGTCCATCTGGCCACATATTTTCAATATGGCTTCATCCTCTCGTTCAGATTAAGCTCCGACTTGAGCTTTCCAAATATCCTTGTGTTGGATGCGGTATTCTGCCCGATTCCATACTTGCTGTAGTGACACCCAGGCCTTATTGACAACCCGTAGAGTGTTTTTTGCACAGCGTCGCATACCTGATACATCGAGTCGCGGCGATACAATTTCAACTTCTTCTAGTGCTCAAGGGAGTCTCTTAAAACATTAAGACGAACGGAAAGTGGTATTTTCCTGTTGAAGTCCTATACTCTGTTGTTTCACGGGTCGTCGGTTCATCACACGACTAGATGCTGGCGGAATGTATTGTCGTCTTCTAAGTTCTCGTCAGACACCCCGGGCCGGAAAAACCCCATTCTCCCATGCAAGGGCAAGGCCTTCGTCTAGAACCTTCTCTGCCCTCCATTGCGACACCAACTTGTTCTTGATGCACTAGGGACTTTTTGGAAATGAGCGCCTTATCCTCGCTGGTCGGGCTCCAGGTTTCGTTCATTGGCTGCATTTTCTCTGGGCCCTTGGCTACCGCCGATCTAGCTTCCATTGCGCTTTTGAAGGCCCAGCCTGATAGCAGGAATTCTCTCGTCCACACAAACGGTCGTTTTTCCTGGTCAATAACTTTTCAACTGAGTGCGTAAGTTGGTACTAGCGCTCCCACCGCCACTGGATGATTTAGAGCCTCGAACGATGGTCATCGTATTCTCAGCTTGTCAAGAACTACTCGGCCGAAATTCTGGATGCCTCCAAGGGATTTTGTGCCTGCCGTTCCGCCTCGGGACTTGAGGCGACGCGATCGGTGCATGCTCCGTTATCGTGGCTTGATAGTTGCCTTGGTGCGTACGGCTTAGCGCTCATCCTTCCTGATCAGTGACCTTGAATGCGTTGACTGTGAAGTACGCCATGATACTCTTACGGTAAGTTAGTACTTATACGTCACGAATAGTTGCTCTTCAGTTGTCTGCTTGTCCTGCGATGTCGATTGATTAAGTGTCGAGCCCCACTTGCTCTGTGTTCTCCAAGGTAGGCAGGTACAAAGAAAACCAGCTTCGGCGCTCAAATCGAGTTATCGTTTCTAGGATAGACGTGAGTAATCCCTGCATTCGCACGGAGATGATTCGCTCTCGGATCTCAACCATATAGGCTTATAAAGGCGTTCGAGACCACCTCTCCGTTCATCCTCGTCCAATCCCCCGAAATCGCTCTCTAAATCCCAGGAATACGTAGAAATACCCTCAATATGGCTCTCGTAAATGGTACTCAGGTTCGCGAGTCTGTTACTCTCCTCTCCAAATTCCTCGATGGCCACAAAGACGTCGAGCGATACAGGTGTGTTCTCTATCCTCATCAGCTGCTTCACTTTGAATTCTTTATTCCCTACTTTCCAGAGACAAATACATTACGGTTGACGGAAGCTCTTTGACTACGGGTGCTATCGTTGCCGCTGCGCGCTACTCCGCCTCCGCGGAGCTCAATAACGCCAGTGTCATAAAGGAACGGGTCGAGAAAAGCCGCCAGGTCATCGTGGACAAGGTCTTCAGCGGTGCAAGCGTGTACGGTCCCTCGACTGGTTTTGGGGGCAGTGGTACGTTGCCCGTTCATGGCTTTAGAAAAACGAAGTACTCACAGCCCGGCTACTATCAATTATTAGCTGACACTCGTACTGACAAGCCACTCCTCCTAGGCCACGCGCCCCTACAGCATCAGCACATCGATATCCTACCTACTCTCTATGGACCTGCTCAACGGTTGCCTCTGCAAGATACCGCTCATTCTACGATCATGCCGGAATCTTGGGTCAGGTGAGCCGAAAACGGGAAATACGCTTCTAATTTAGGAAGTCCCGATCATTTTTTTCCTTTTAAGGGCAGCGATATTAGTGAGGATGAACTCGCTCATTCGTGGGCATTCTGGAGTGAGGTAGGTGATATAATCTATGTTATTTCATTAATAATTGGAATCTTTAGGTGAGAACTTATCGAGAAGATGGGAGAACTCTTGCGCACCGATGTGGTACCAGTTATCCCATTGCGCGGCAGCATTTCTGCTTCTGGAGGTCCGTGGTCTTCCTTTTCCATACTGAACATTGAATAATTCAAATTCATGTTCAGATCTCTCTCCGCTATCATACATCGCAGGCGCTTTTGGTACCTCTCTTCGAGCGCTTGCTTAATCAATCTCACTGACGCGACCCACTGAACAGTCGGCAGCCCTCCATCCAGCTTTTCCATGGCTCCCGGTCGTCCGGTGCGCTTATCAAATCACCCTCCAATGAAGTGTTGAAGAGCCACTCCATCGAACCCATTGCTCTCCCTCGAAAGAGTACCTTGGAATTCTGAACGGAACGGCGTTCTCTGCTGCCGTTGCTGCGCTCGCTGTCGATGACGCAGTACATCTCACTCTGCTGGCGCAGGTGTGCACTGCGATGGGTACAGAGGCCCTCAGTGGCACTCGCGTGCAGTGGCATAGAGATGATATTAAAGAAAGAGCTCATTGAGTCCTTTGACTTCTTTGCGATGCACCCCGAGCAGCATGCCAAGCTCTCTACCCAACTCTCCCTCATCGTGGGGAATGCCTTCGAAAAGACCACCATTATGGACAGCGCTGATCAAAGGCGTCAGATCGCCGCTTCGACCGTTCTAGCAATCATCCAATTCTTCGAGACGAACGGCGTCCATGGAGCACCTACGATTAGCGCTCTCTCCGAGTCCCGAAAGCGCGTCGCAGCAAGGGCTGCAAGGTTACACCGCTCGCTCCGGGGGAGTTCTTGCTTGGTGCTTGCGGTCCGGTTCCTGCTAGCCCCTATCTCGGCAAAACTCGTGCAGTGTATGAGTCCGTTAGAAAGGATCTGGGCATTAAGATGCACGGCGCTAAGAATTACGGCGCAGACGGAATTAGTGACGATGTGTCCATCGTCCAGAATATCTCGAAAATCTATGAGGTAGGGTGCCATCTTTATTCCTGATAAAGCTGAAGTGCTCAAACATAATTGTAGGCGGACTGATGCAGAACGCCGTTGTCGCTACTTTCGTTTATTAATAATATTACCCCTTATATCTGTATGTACGCATTTCAAATGAATGGAGTAAAATCTTGAATCTTGCGGCTTGGACTTTGAAGAAACATGATAGTAATCGAAGACGCGTCGATCGCATCGCGTTAATATTTGCTCAGGGGTCATATTTCCAAACTAGGACACCACAATTTGCATATGCGAAGAGCCTACATACCTCCAGGTTAAAGTAGCTAGAATTCTGTGCCTGGGCCAGAGAAGATTTTCTGCGATCCTCCACGATGCCATCGATAATGTCCTGATGACGATCAGCCAGACCTTGGAAGAATGCGTGACTCCCTGTTGAATTGTAGAATTGTAGTGCGCCTCGCAGTTTTGTGTCGACTCCGCGACATGTTTCAACGTGTGGTTCAGGCAATAGTACCCCATCATGCATTCGAACTAATTGTGCAGTCGGAACCAGTTTACCAGCCATAACCCACTGCGTCCCATTGATCTATATCGGACTGAATTCATGCAACTAAGAGATCTGGCTTCAGCTGGTGGGGAGTCGTAGTCCAATCAACCCTTAGCTCATGAGCGCCTGTTGAGTACCCCGAGAGTCATGGTGACCCTTCGGCGTCAAAGGCATTCAAAAGGAAGAAGGCGTGCGCCGATCAGTCACGTGTGGAGGGGTATAAAAGGCTCTAGGTAGACTCCGCTGAGGAAACCCCGGCAACTGCCTCTTTTGCCTCCACCACCGCCACCACCGCCTCCGCAACTCCGCCTCACGATGTCGAAGACAGGCTACAACACCCTCCTTCTCCGTCGTCAACTCGCCGAATTGACCAAGCATCCTGTCGAAGGGTTCTCAGCAGGTCGGTGGCCGATCTCGCCTCTGATCTGGAAGGCTGATGCAAACTCATCTGAAACTAGGTCTTGTAGACGACGACAATCTCTTTGAATGGGAGATTCTCATCATCGGGTGAGTTTGTCGGCTCGTCGTCTGCCCATCCTCGTTCTCATCGCGTTTGTATCATAGCCCTCCCGACACCTTGTAGTGAGCCTCAGCTTCCACATGCGTCCTGTCCAACTCGAGATTCACCCGCTTTTTCATTTCAGTGAAGGGGGTTTCCTCAAGGCTCGGCTTACCTTCCCTCCGGAGTACCCTCTCCTACCGCCGAAGATGCGGTTCCTGACGCAGATGTGGCACCCGAACAGTATGTCCCATTGCTATCGATGATTGAGGTCCAACTAATCCATTCCGGTAGTCTACCCGGATGGAACTGTTTGCATATCAATCTTGGTATGGTATATCACGCGCGTTGGATGCCTTTTGTCTCATAGTGTTTCTCAGCATGCCCCCGGGGACGATCAATACGGGTACGAGGATGCTGGTGAACGATGGATGCCAGTACACACAGTGGAAACTATTGTGAGTGAAGATGCTGCCATGACATGCAACGCTTGCTGTAACAGCCCTCTTTCGTAGCTCATCAGCGTCATCTCGCTCTTGTCGTCTGACACACCCAATCTGGACAGCCCAGCCAACGTCGACGCTGCGAAGGAGGTGCGAACTAATCTAGCTGGTATGCGAAATCCCCGTTTCCACCTTCGCGTCTCGCTCTAATAATCCACACTAGGCTACAAGAAGAAGGTCAGGAGGTTGGTGAGAGAGAGTGCCGAGGAAGCGTACGACTGATATTTTCTGTATTTTAACGGTCGCTATCGTTGATTTCCTTTCTTTCCTCATCTTTTGGAGACATTATCGGCCATCCCCCGAACGTATTCATTGTATATAGCTGAAATACGGAGTAATCTTTTCATCTCATCGTTCCGTGCACCCTGAGGCCTGAGATCTGAGATCTCATCATCTTAACATCAGACCGTGGGAAAGCTAATTAGCGGCCTGCCCGCCACTGTTGTTCACTCACGCGTCTTGACTCAGCTCTCTTCCACCGCTTCCCCTCTCGCTATATTGCGCCAGAATTCTACTTCCTTCCGAAAAAATATCATTCTCTAGTTGAGGGCTCTGGATATACCCGATAACCACTACCAAGGAAGACGCGTCACCTTCATACCCAGAACGCGTTTTATTGAGCGGCCCGGTCTACAACAAGCCTCCACTAGTGTGAACAGGTCATAGCGTCAGTATCTTCGCCTAGCTCGCAAAGACTCAATTCAACGGCGGGATGCCTGCCCAAAATGCATATTCCAAACGTAACGACATTGTCCCTCCGCTTCGACAGGTCACCGCAATTGTGGACTGATCTCTCACCTTAATCCAGGTTCTTCCCTCTCAGGCGTGCCCGCACCTATCGGTATGTGAACCGCGTCCATAGAAGATACAGAACTAGTCGCAACTAAATCGGATAGAATTGGACTCCGATTCTGACTTCAACCCTGGTACTTACATACCTGAGCCCAAAAAGAAGAAGCAGAAGACCAAAACAACCGTAGCGGGACCTTCACGCAAGAGACGACGAGCGGACGCTCTCGAAGACCCTGGGTCTTCTCCGAAGCGTCGAAAGCGTCGGTCTATCCTCGATATTGTGTTGTAATGGAATATGCTGACAATTCGTGCACCTTCTAGGTGTGCGGTCTGTAGGCATCACGGATCCCAATCCTCTCCAGAAATATTTTGGTCAGTGTATATCAGCGAAATCACTCTTCCTGATATTCATTTTTGCTCTTGCACAGGCGATGACCTTGACCTACACTCAGAGTCGGAAGGAGAGGACTCGGATGTCCCGAACTTCGCCAAATCTCACTCGGAGTCTGAGGCCGAAGAAAGTGACGGAGACGAGCGAAAGCGGTATCTGGCTGCACGGAAGGCTAAAGCTTCCAAGCCGCGGACGCTGCCTTCGTCAAATCCAAGTGCTAAGCCTATTGTTGTTGCTGACGATGATGACTCCGTGACAGGTGAGGACCTTCGCCTCGTTGTGTGTAGCCTGCCCCAAAATTGAAATGGATCTTCGCTCATCCCTACAGAGCCGGAGTCAGACCCCGGGCTTCCGTCCTTACGGAGCATACCTCAGCCAAGTGGCTCAAAAAGCACCGCCCCGCTGAAGAATAGCACTATACCCCCGTCAAATGGTCCGAGATATCTTTTCGCTTTAATTTTCGATGTTATTCAATGTACCTCTTTCCAGCCGATGACTCTGTAACAGAATCTGAGACTGAACCCGAGACGGAATCCGAAACTGAACCGGAGTCAGACGAGGATATGGGCAAAATTTCTATTCATGGTGAGTTCTAGCGCGATACCATCAGGAGACCACTGGTTGAATAGCGCTTCGAACGACGTGCAGCAGGAACGGCGCAGAAAGTCCTTCAGAAACCAAACCCTCCGGCCAACGAGCCGAATTCCGAAACAGAATCCGAATCTGAGCCGGAGGAACTCAAAAACGTCGTAAGTTCCCGTCCACACTCTCGTACTGACGGCGGTCCTGATCTTTCTTCCTTTACAGAAACTCCGCCCGCGACCCGGTTTTCCTCTGGCCCCGAACCAGCGACCCGGCGAGGCGCTCGTTCTTGATGAAGAGCAGGGCATCAAGATCCCAGTACCCATCAACACGTACCTCCGCGATTATCAGCGGGATGGCGTCAAGTTCCTGTGGAGACAATATAATCAAGAATGCGGAGGACTTCTTGGAGACGATATGGGTTTGGTAAGTTGCCATAAAAACTCTGTCGTCTACGTAAAGTCTCTAACCCGATTGCATTTTAGGGTGAGTGCTACTTATCGATAACCTTCGGAGGCGCCTCTTGAGACGATGCTCTTTCACCACCTAGGAAAGACCATCCAAATTATCTCGTTCTTATCTGCCATCATGAAGAAAGAAGGCACAATAAGGGATAAACACCGTCGGAGAAATTACGTTTCTAGACTCCAAGACGGAAAGGCATGGAAGCAGAGAAGGGAATTACCACCTGCTAACGCGAAGTGGCCGACATGCTTGATCATCGCACCAAGTACGGTTGTACACAATTGGGAGCGAGAATTCGAAACGGTACGAGTATATCTCTTCACGTACGGTAAATGCTCAACACCTCGAAGTGGGGCCACTTTGAGGTCGGGTTATATAATGGTGGGCCTAAAGACCGTGAACCCGTCCTACAGGACTTCAAGCTCGGTCGATTGGACGTAGGTAAGGCCTTGAAGTCGTTCAAGGTTGTGGCTTATCCTAACTCTGGGATGAACAGTAATAACTACATTTGACCTCGCCCGTCGGGAGATCAACCTGCTCGATGATCTCGCATGGAGCTGTATCATTGTTGACGAAGTCCACCGCGTGAAGAACGAAGCCGCCAAAATCACGTTGGCATACCATCAGTTCAAGTGTCTACGCCGTTTCGGCCTCACAGGAACGACCATCCAGAATTCCTACAAAGAGATGTGGACCATACTCGACTGGACAAACCCTGATAAGTTAGGAACGGTAAAGCAGTGGAACGGATATGTAGTCAAACCGTTGACTATGGGACAGTCGGCGAGTGCCACTGAGGAGGAGAGGGCGAAGGCATTGGTGGTGGCGGTTATTCTGAGAGATAAAATTCTGCCAGAATTCTTCCTTCGAAGGTAGGCCGCCATAATTTCTTACTGTCTGCCATTATAACCCGCTTCATGACCAGGACGAAGGATATTATCAAAGACCAGGTCAGTGAAAAAATAATATAGCAGCCCGGATTGCACTTGACGAGTAACCTCACCCACTTGTAGCTACCTCAAAAGACGGACCAAGTTGCTTTCTGTCCTTTGACGGACAGACAAATCGCTGCGTACAAGCACCTCCTCAACATGGAGCCGCTGCAAAATTTGGTGAATAGAGATAAACCATGCCCGTGTGGTTCTCACCAGTCGTGAGTCATTTGTCTGCCAGGTATCTCACTTTTCTCTGATTAACATTCTAGACGGAAGAGCTGCTGTCACCCATTTGTGGTCGGAGACGTTTTCAAATTCATGTCGATTCTCATCAAACTGTCCAACCACCTTGGCCTTATTCTACCCGGTGAGAGGTCTCGACCCTGCTTGTTTAATTACTTTCTAATGTCCCTGAAGGTCCAAGTGATACTGCGGAACAAGTAATACCTTCTCCTTGGTTCTCGTCTGTGACTTACTGTGCTTTCCTCAGACTGCTAGGAATCGAGCACTTGCAGAAATAGCATTCCCAGATGGGAATATCCCGAAATACGGGACTGCCATGATGCAGCCGCAATATTGCGGAAAGTGGGGGGTGCATCATGTCATAGTCCGAGTATTTGTCCGTGAACTGACGACTGCAGCCCAGGCTTTAGAAGTGCTTCTCAAAGAATGGAGGAAGGACAAGTCAAATAAGGTGCTCATATTCACCAAGTCTGTCAAGCTTCTGGAGATGCTGGAATTCCACCTGGGAACGAAGGGTTCGTTGTGCGGGATGTAACCCTAGATCTCGCTGAATTATTCTGCCATAGGCTATGGATTTCTCAAACTTGACGGGAGTACGAAACAAGTCGACCGTATGTAGTTCGCTCATCTTGCCAGACGTCCCTATTTACCATTTTTCGTCTAGGTATGCCGATGATCGACCAGTTCAATCACGATCCGGACGTCTACGTTTTTTTGATCTCGACCCTGGCGGGTGGAACGGGACTGAATCTCACTGGTAAGCTTTAGTTGCGCTTCGATCCATGTCTATCTCTTGAATGCACGTAGGAGCAAATAAAGTCGTCATATTTGGTGAGTGCGCACCTTTCTATCGAGTGTCAGCTTCTGACTCGAGAGATCGAAGACCCCAATTGGAGTGCGTATCAAGGTCCTCTTTAAATGGTGGTTTCCCTCACGTCGCGTCTGCAGATCCTGCACATGACTTGCAGGCCATGGATAGGTGCGAGGCTCGCTATCCTCCATTGCCGTCATCCTGACCTTGGCGTAGGGCCTTCCGCTTTGGACAGACACGAGACGTCGCCGTATATCGATTACTTGGAGCCGGCTCGGTAGAGGAGCTCATATATGCGAGGCAAATATACAAGCAACAGCAAATGGCCATAGGCTACGACGCCAGTGTGCAGACTAGGTTCTTTTACTTGTTGTCTATAATTGTATACGGGTCTAACGCGACATATAAGATACTTCCAAGGCATTCAGGGCGACAATGCCAAGAAGGGAGAACTTTTTGGTATCGAGAACATCTTCAAGCTCCACGAAGACAAGTTAGCTACCAAAATGGCGGTGAGTCGAGTGCCAAAATCTCGCGTACAACCACGTAATTTACGCAAAGCAAAGATTGAGAAAGCTAACCTGGCTGAGCTGGATTGGGCTCTAGCAAATCTGGATGGTGGACCTCGCGGAAAGAAATCCGCCAAACCAGCCAATGAACTCGTTGAAGCTGATGCGAAGATTGGCAAGGAAGAGGTAGCAATCGGTCTTGTTGTGGACTGAAAACTTACCGGTGCTTTTCCAATCATAGGGCAATCTCAAAGGCTTAGGCGCTCTGTTGTTCGACGATGCGCCTCCTCCGACTGTACCGCGTGAACAGGACATCATTCAAAAGACCCTCAACGCCATCGGGGTAACATACAGCCATATGAACGATGAAATCCTGGTACCAAGCAAGATCGAAGCAGAACGTACAAAGCGAAGTCTCTTGGTTTGTTGTCTTCTCCTTTTCATGCGTGTCTGTACTCAGACAGTACCCTTTACAGAATGTCAGAAAGAGGAAGAGCAAAGGAGCGGAGAAGGAGAAGGAGAAGGAGCCTTCGCCACAATTCCAATGGCCGCCCAAACGGCGCCATCATAAACCTCAACCTACCCCAGAGCAGCAGTACGCCTCCCCGCTTCGATATACCTACCTCGCAGCCATCAGCTCACGAATTTAAATAGACTTGCCTCACGACATAAAGCCCTAATTCGTCTTGGCATGATCAACAGCCCGGACGACGTGTCAAATTTTGCGCACGAGTTGTGGGTCCTACAGGGATTACTCTATAACCTCCGGGTACTAATCTAAATGTCTAGCGCCCGTCAATCGCCTGACGCCCAGCGCAAAATTATCGCAGAACTTGATCAGTGGGCCGCGGAACATCCTATGTCATCAGATTCCGACTGATCTGCATCAATATCGAAATGTTTATAGCTTTCTCTTTATTATTATCTATCGATCGCGTTTTGTATTTGCTGTCGTCTTTCATTTTGATCCATCGATGCAATCACCACATGTGTACGAAAAGCGCCACAATGGCGGGAATTGGTAGCTGAGTTATTCTTGATGAAGTGGGGTGATTGAGATGCCAGGGGCAAATTGGTGACTGCATGTTCTCGTAAGTATATCAACGAGCTGGGCGTAATTTCACGTTTGGCTTTTACATGCTAGAACGTTGATGACTGAATTAAGCGCCGCCTTGTCTCCTATCGGACCCTCGTGTTATGGGACTCCTTGCACCTCCGAAGCGAAGCCTGTCTACGCAATTGAATTAGGCTTCGGCGATCGTGGCGCCCCTGTCGTCATCAAAGTTCAAACAACAGCCCTTGCGTGAGAATTTCGCTTTGAGGCTCCTCTCCAGCTCACCACCCCAGCGAACGCGACGTTAGACGCGAATCCGTTTTTAGGCGTCGAAAAAGGTGAGTGGCATAAAGATCTACCGTCGGTGCTGTTTTTTTTTGTCGCGAAAGTTCACTAAATGTCCTTTTTTTACAGGGGCTCAGTCGTGCACGCGTTGTTTCAGGTCTACCGTACACCCTATGCCAGTCAAACGTTCCATTGACGATTACTCTGAGGGCGAAGACACGACATACGACACCAAAAGGGCACGCCGGCAGTCCGCCCGAACGCGGAGAAAATCTGGCATTTCGTGTGATTCCTCATTTCCATCACCCACGTCCTCAGACACCACTCCCGGCTTTCAGACTCGTTCGGATTGCTCCGCTGCTCGACAGTCACTCAGAGAGGACTCAGAGGAGTCATCTGACTCGGAGATAATCTTCGTGGAGGCTCCCGTCCTCGTGAAAAAAGGCAAAACCGTGGAAAAGCACTTCTCAGACTCCATTACTATATCTGGCAAGACGCTTCATCCTACAGTCGCGTTTGATACGTTCTGGAGGTTTGCAGCGGAAAGGAAGGCCATCGATGATAGACGTCGTGCTGGGCTTCCCGCTCCGTGAGTCATTTAATTCTATTTTTTTATGAAAATTCTTCATCTCTTTGTGTAGCTGGACAAAAGACATAATTATGCAAAAGTATTTCTTTTGCAACACATTTCGCGTCTTGGATAAAGGCTGTCAATTCCTTATCAAGGAAGTCATCGAAAAAGGTTCCCAGGATCCCGAAGAGGTCGTCTTTCGCGTCATACTGTTCAACACTTTCACGAAGATAGAGACCTGGGAGCTCTTGGATCGTGAGCTTGGCCCTCTCAAATGGTCAACCTACAACAGAGCGGAATATCGTAAAGTCCTCTCTCGCGCAGTCGCCTGTGGCATGACGTTGTACACCGGCGCCTACATCAAGCCCGCTCCCCATTTCGGGGAAAGCACGAACTATGCCAATCACTTATGTTTTCTTGAAACTTTGATGGATAGCAAGCTGGCGTCAAGGCTGCTCGTCGCACCTTATATGGCCGACGTGTACGAGTACATATACTCGTTTCCAAGCATGGGTCCTTTTTCGACCTATCAACTCATGCTTTGCCTTTCCTACACCAATGTCTTGAATTTCAACAGTAACGATTTTGTTATTTCGGGTCCTGGTTCTATTTCTGGGCTCAAAAAGATTTTCGGCAAGAGCATGGATGGCCACCGTGACGATCTTGTCTTTCATCAAGACGTGATGAGGTATTTCGTCGAATCGCAAGATTTCCATTTCAGGCGGCTCGGGCTGGAGTTCTCCGGCTTGGGGCCGAAGCGGCTGCCCATGGATCTCGCCGATATTGAGCACACATTGTGCGAAGTGGATAAATACTGCCGTGCAGCCCATCCTCAACTAAAAGGAAAGCGCACGAACATGCATCGCCTCCACCAGCCGTCGTCCCCACCGAAGCGTCACCCAGCTGTGCTACCGAAGGCATGGACGCATCCAGCTCGTCGCACTCCCCGCATTCGACCTCAGAAAGTGCTCGTGCTCGAGAAGAGGTACGAAATCGAGCGCATAGCGGACGATGAGCTGGTTGGTGGCGTTCGTAAGTTCCTGGTGTACTGGAAGGGATACCCAGCCAGCGATGCGACTTGGGAGTTTGAGAGCTCCCTCGTGCATGATGCTCCAGGCGCGGTGAAGGACTACCTCTCCAAGCCAAACAAGCGTTAGGCAGACGTGCCATATCGTCGGACTTCCTTTGCTTTCAAACTCTTGATTTACTATCTTTCTTGCTTATAACTGTATTACCACCTTTAATTCCACTGATATTCCCTTGTACATATTTTAACAAGTAGTTGTAAGAGTAGTGATTGACGTATTGTATCACTTAGTACATCTGCAATTCGTAGCCCTGGACGTTGTAATAGCCTCGTCGTCGCAAGCCCTTTCAATGAAAATCAACAAAAGTTTGTTGTTTGACCGTACGCGCTCTAATTTGTCTGGAAATGGGACAATGCTGTGCCGCCATATTTGCTCATGCTAGGTAGGACGCGTTCAGGTTTGTGCCAAAGTCGCGTTCACTTCTGCAACCTCCAGGTCGGGATTTACGACAGTCCTCTGTCGCTCGCCTCTCTTACCCATGAACACTATTCACCGCCTGCGGGAGGCTCTCGTTAGGGCGCTATCCCCCAGCTCTCATGACGTCCACCACGATGAACAAGAACTTTTTGACGAATTAATGATCCAAAAGCCCCGACTGTTGAAACTATTCGAGGTTGGACCAAGGAACCCCCAGGAACAGCGCGAGATAGAGTCAGGTGAGTGCTTAACTATATCATTTTGCTTATAACTAAGAAGAGATATAGGAAAGACTACAATCAACCAAAAGTCAACTGCAGTGAATGCCGACTTCTCTCGACAAGCGGTTTTCTTATCCCAGCAACTCGACTGTTCCGAAAAATATGTGGCCGAAATCCTTCACCATGTCATGTCGGAAAATCCGAACATTGGTCCCGTCGCCTGCATGGAGATGACGGTGGCAACGTTCCACCAACGAAGGCGATACCTCGTCGATTGCTTGAGGTTTCTGCTCGAGGCTACGGAGGCCGCAGATCTGCCTGACGCGTTGCCGAACTACAAACGGATAGCAAGATTCGTCCAAGTGGAGCTACTTCCTGGAATGCGAGCACCCGCAGGCGACGCTACTTTGGCGAGCAAGGTGTTTAAGGAGATTGAGCAGCTAGATGTGATACTTGGAAAGGCTGATGCTGCGAGGAAGAATGCTGGAAGTAATACGGTGCCACCGACGGGTCAAGGTGCACTGCACGTCCAGTCAATCGCTTTCTCGCCTAACGTATCATTCAGGTAACCCAGCTTTAGGCCTGGACATTCTCAACGCGCGCTACGACTCCCTGAAATATGAACGCCGGTACCTCGCAGTCGTCCTTTGCTCAATATCACGTCTTGGGTATCTAGGGTCGAATGAACTGAAGCTCGCGGTCGAATGGCTCGCCAATAACTCCAACCATCCAATGACCTACTACCTTCTCACTGCCGTCCTTCTCGCTTTTGATCCCATCGATCCTCTGGATCCAGTGACCTCAACCCGACAGGTCCTTGCGACAGAAAACGCTGTCCTCAATTTCATGACGAAGAAATTCGAGCCGTCATCAAAATGGAAGGATGCAGGTTTGAAGGCCACAATCCTGCTGAAGTGGACACTATTTTTAACGGAAGCACGGCACAACGATGCTAGTCTGGAGCTTCGTAATGGGTTCAAGACCGAGGAGCTGGAGACGCAAGTGTGGAATGCTGTCCAGGGTGACGCTTTCACCTATCTTTCCCTCTCGTTGCTTTGCTTGCCGGGGCGGAACAGTGGCGGCCCAGCGGCGTGTCTACTTGAAGGTATTCCTTCAGACCAACAAGATCAACGCGAAGTACCTCCTCCCGATTTCTGCCTCACTCTCCTCGCCTCACTAGACTCGCTCGTGCGCTCTCTGATCACCCATGCTTCTTCTGAGCTCCGCAAGATCAAGCAACGGCAAGAGGATCTCGTCCTGGCAAACGTACGGACGGATCGTACAAGGACAACTTCCCGCTTTTCATCGACGCTTCCTCCTGAGCCCGAGAAGAACGAGCCTCCTCCCCGTCACGACATCGCCACCTTGTACTCATTCATTGGACTACTGTATGCGACTTTGCCGCCAGAACGGGCACTTCAATTTTGGGGTGCCGGCCCGCAGCAACAATCATACCGTCCGACATACCAAGAGTCGCTGGAATCAACATCTGGTCGCCTCCCAACCTTCTTGCAGTGGGCGGTATGGTCAACACCGACACAGGATTTAACCATGCTATCCTCCTTGTACGACATGCTCTGCGGTCTTGCCAATGGGCAGCAGTGTAGCGAGTTGGCCTACAATTTTATGGCGAGAGGTGGAGGTGAAGTTTTACCGGGAAGTCTGCTATCAACGTCTTCGACAACAGGTCCTTCGGTCTCTTGGAAAGTCATATTTGGCCTGTTGGAGTCGTGGGCTGTCAATGCTGCAAATCCACGTAGCCAACCCCAACCCAAACCAATGAATGGGCCATTCAGTGGGTCTTTGCAAAATCTCGCCCCTCCTCAACCCATATCCCATCAATTCGTGATTGGGCCCAAGGACGTCCTTCTTGCTCGTTCCTTCCTGCGAGTTCTTTCGACGGTTGTTAGCCATTCAGTCGCCGTTCGAACGACCGTAGCTGGGCATATTCATTTCAAGGCAATCCCAACTTTGTTGTCGTTAGTTCCGTTAGGGATTCCGCTAGAGTTGAAAGGGGCTATTTTCGAGACATTGGCAGCTTTCTGCGAGCCTGGTGCAGGGGTACCGGGAGTGGAGATATGCAAAGCCGTTTGGACGCTCATGGAGAGATTGGAAGTGATCAATGTGCGGGTTGGCCCGTCAGGGACATACAGCATTTCGTTGGCTACGGGTAAAGGCGTAGAAGTCGAGCTGGAGCAGGTCGAAGCTGCACACCAGTTGTATCCCGCGACCATTCCGTTTTTGAAGCTGCTTGGCACACTAATTCACACACCAAAGCAAATCTCGATTCAAGACCGTGCGGCAGGCACCGAACCTCTCAACACCATCCCAGAGACGCTGGGGCAACCGTACCGTTTACCTGGCATCGGTCCTTTCACATCTTTCGTCATCGACAACGTCTTTGCGAACATTCCCAACCGCGAGTATTCTCGTCCCTCTGATAGGTGGCAAATCAACGATCTCTGCTTAAGCTTCATCGAGAAGAGTTTAGCAAGCTTCAACCTGGAAACTCTCGTCACAAGCCCGGACGATTCACCCTTGAAGTTGGAGTCACTTGTTCCTCTCCTCGTACATCCCGGTTACGATGTCATGAAGCGTCTGTTGACGAACTCGCCTCTCCAAGGAAGTATTCTCTCGTACCTGGTTGAAGGACTCTCAGGATTTGAGAAGGGCTTCGCTGACGAGGAGCCGTTCTTCCGCAACACCATCATTCGCGTCCTCCGCATAGTCCTCCGCATTCTGGAAACACAGGACATCTTCCTCGACGTTTTCATCCCTCTCCTCTCCAACTTCGATAGTTCAACGTTCGTTGGCCAGGTTCACTCTCGATCTTTCTTCACCCGATTCGACCAAGCGTTGTCCTTTGGGCCTCATTTCATTCCTTCAATAGCGGCATACATGTCATATGCTTCCCATCCCGAGTTGATCCTGTTATCCGTCAGAATCATCTCGCGACTCTCCTTATCCACTTCTCCGTCAACCTTGGTTACGTTGATCGAAAGAAGTTACGACTCGGATCGGATTTTGGGAGGATTCTTACAGATAATGACGACGGAATCGATGGACGATGTGGCGCAAGCAGAAGAGTATGCTGAACAAACGACAGGTGCGGGTTCGCCTGTAATCAATGCAACATCAGACTCGCTTGAGCAATCCACTCGCCTCGCTGCCCTTGACCTCTTGGTCCAAGACACAGACACCAACCGTCCGTACCCTAATGTTGCCCACTTCCTCCTCTTTGGGGGCAAAGGCAGCGACCAAATCATCCAGGATCCCCATGCCCTCGGCTCCCGGCAGACAAGTATCCACGTACTTCTCGATCTTATCAATACCGGTGTTCCGAGGCTCAAGAGCAAGCGCAAGGAAAAGGAATATAGTCAGGTCGAACCTCTCTTCATGAGTATGCCGGTGTTGGCGGAACGTTGCTATCGGGTTATATATCAACTTTGTATACATCCGAGGACGTCAGAGTTCACGACGCGTTACCTTCGGACTCGGGAAGATTTTTTCGGCCGCCAGCTTGCAAAGGTACCGTCTGCTACACCAGAGACACTTCAAGAGCCACCCATCCAAGTGGTTTACAACGACGGTTCACGAGTTACGACGACGGTGCCATCGTTGAGCTCGTTCCTCCGTTTGAGGTCGTATATCTTCGACCTCGTCGCACTCGAATTACACGTCCTGACGAGCAAGAACCATTTCAAGGCCGTGTCTGAACTTCTGGAGATCCTCTTCGGCACTGATGTTGACTACGAAGAAGAGCACAATTTTTCGACTTTCCATGAGCTCGGTCAATCGCCCATGCGCATTATCGACTTTTTGCAATCGCTATTGTTCGATTGGGCTGACAGCCTATCGGTTCAGGCCGTCGAGGTAAAATATCTAAATCAGCTCAATCTCCAATCATGCGTCCGCAAAGATTCATCTGGCTGCGAGGTTGTGGATCGCACGGCGTTACTGTATTTGCTTGCAACTGCGAGGAGGTCGCTGCTTGCCCAAGGTAGCATCGCAACGCAGGCGCAAAACGACATACTCACAACAGAGGTCTCATACATTCTGGAAAGCTGCGCTGTTGAGAACCATCGACGCAAGGTGGCATATGCACGGGTTACAGGTTTCGAGGCCTGGAGGCGGCTGCTGGACCTTGCCCTTACGAAATGCTTTGACCGACTCCCCCATACCCGTCGAGAGAATATGCTCTTCGACCTCCTCCACGTCCTTCCTGCTGCCATTCGGTCCAGCAACATAGAGGAATCTACCGCGATTCTGCTTTCGGAGACTGTGCTTTCGTCAATCACCAAATTGAGGGAAGACAGGCGGCACCAGGTTATCCTCCAGTCGATGGGTGGTGATTCAGAGTCCGGTTCGCTGCCAGCTGAGCGATTGTACAACATCCTCCGCAACATTCTTGAAGGCATCTTGGACAACAACCACGTCGAGCTCGTTCGTGGAAATCTCTACGCTGCCTTGATCAACTTTATCCACCTCGTACGCTCGTCATCTTCTGATGCAGCTACAACTCCTGAAATTGGCCCTGATCCATTCACGATGTCTTTGTCGTTGTCGACCTTCCGTGATACCACCGCGACACGTAGAAGCCCGTCTCTGTCAGCGTCAATATCAGGAGAGAAGCTTTCTTCGACTCCAGGCACGGCTCTGGAGTTGGGTTGCCTCGTCGTCATGAAACCCGTAGTAGAACGATTGGTGACCACCATTTCGAGAGATGCGATCGATGGCACAGAGGTCTGGAAGACTGTTGCCTTCATGCTTCTCGATGCCACTGTCCAGTTATCGAGCTTGGAGAAGCAGCATGTTGTCCTCTCTTCTCTCAACCGCCATGGGATTTTATCAAATTTTGTACGGAGTATCAAAGATTCGGATGTGCGACTGCAGTCTGTACTTAAGCCTGATCCCGGTAAGCCCATTCAGCGATCTCTTGAACAACGACTCAGGCTTGCTTCTATCAGATGACCTCAATTCACTATACGTCTACGAGGCAAAGATGTCTTTGTTCATCAGAATGGCCCAAACTCGTGCTGGTGCCGAACGCCTTCTTGAAGCACGACTCCTGCCTATCCTTGCACAGTGCGACTACCTCGACGCCAGGCCAGAAGCTGATCAAGCTTTCATTGGTAATTTGCTCCTCTTTTACATTTGTTCATTCTAATAATGTGATGCAGACCAAGACTCTTTCCTCCCATCTGCGATTCAGAGATATCACCAGCTTTTCATGCCTGCCCTGCAAGTCGTAGATGGCATGCTTGCGACCCTTGGTAGCAGACATACTACGGCTACCCATCAGGTCAGATTCCGCCTACCTAGATGTGTATAATCTCTAATTTGATAAGCCAGGCTTTGGAATTCCTATCCGCCCACGGTGCCACGATCGCCATCTTGCTGAAGAACGAGGCAGAGCAGGTCATCTTACCAACGTTGGAGGAAATCCACCTGATCGTGGCCTTGTGTACAAGCATCCTCCCATCCGTTCCCAAGACGGAGCTGGTCAGTCATTCTGGAATCTCATTTCAGTATGCATTCTCAATATTCTCGCCCTCCTTCTAGCTGTCTCCTAATTCCGGATTCGGTGCCATCCACCTTGCCATTCTCGGTCTGTCAACGAGATGTCTTGCGCGAGGCAAAACCTTTGGACAAGTCGCACCAATCACCGAGTCAGACGTCAAACTAAGCAACGTATATGCGTTTGGTAAGGTTCTTTTCTCTCTTGCTAGCATTAGCCGCGCAATTTGACCGCGATTTGTCTGCAGGCCATGGCAATCAGACCAAGTTCGACGTCAAGGTCCAACGCCAGGAAAGGCTACTGAGGAAGAGTGTCGTGTCATACATCGGGGCCTCGAGCGAGTTCACAGAGCCTGAGATTACACTCGTCCTCTCTCCTGTGACGATAACACCTCGAAACGAAGAGCGGGCATCCCATTTTGCCGGTAGGTTTGCACGGGAAACTTATAAGCTGCACTGGCTAACTCGTTTTCAAGCCACTGTACCCACCGTTGGGGATACCCTTATTGCTTTGGATGATATCTGCAACGACCTCGCCGAGACTCTGAAGCAGATATCGAGGATCGGTGCTGAGCTAGCCAACAAGGACCAGATTGGGTTGGAAAGTGCACAGGAGGTAGGGTTTCTTCATTCCCTCCTAATAACTCTGACTGATCTCGGTCCTCAAAGATTCTGCGCGACATCGACCCCGTGCTGCTGCGCGACCTCGAGATCGAGCAAAAACGCGCGCTGCTCGCGCAAGAGCTCACACACACCCTCTCCGCTGCTCACCACGACGCCAAGGTGCTGCTCGCGTCGCTCGAGATGGTGCTGCTGGTCATCTGGCGGCACCTCGCGTACTACGCCGAGCCGCGGCATATGGGGCTCCCGCCGGCCAAGGCAACAGTGTCCAATGCCATGCGCCTACTTGCGACGAGCGAGCCGGAGGTGTTTAGGAAGGAGGTCGGGGTGAAGATCCAGCCGGCGCTGACGCGGCTTGCGGGGCTCGAGCTTGACCGGGAGACATTTGGGAGGGAGTACCAGGATAATCAGGGCTATATTCAGATTATGTGTCGAAGGCTGAGGGATAGTGCGGGCTTGCATGACGAGTCGTCTGTAGGGGATAGCGAGTAGGATCAACGTTGAGGACCGTGTCCGTGTCTGAAGGAGCATTTGCTATCGTTGTTGTATTAATGTAATTTCCGGATATGCTTTGCTATCTGCACTTCAGGATGAAGGTGCCTGGAATCCAAAGGGGCATTAAATTATGGATGGCGCACGACCGCGACCGACAAGAATATAAATAACTGAACCTAACGATACCTGTGATTCGCGTTCCCACTCCTCTAGGACTAACGTGGCAAGAGGCTGCCTGCACCACGAAGTGCCAACGAGCCCCCAAGTCGTAGCGTTTGAGTGCCGCCGGGGAAGTACGCGAGGACGTATGCTACTAATGAAACTACCTGGTTGGCCGAGTTAGTGTTGGAAATGGGGTGAAAGGTGTGTATCCACGTACCTGTACAGCCCCGCAAATTAGAGAACCGAAATATGAGTGTGCCTGTTCGAAGATCGTTAGGATTGGGTATGGATGTGGGGGAAAGAACGACACGCACTCCCAATGAAAAATACAACGTCAGCCCGAGGCTTGAGAAGTAGATGAAAGAGAACGGTAGGCGTTCTTTCGAGATGAGGTGCTTCACGTGGTTTAGTGGGCCTATCAATACCGAGAATCTGGAGCACGCAAGGGTGAGCTAGGTATGAGGAAAGGCGTCGTGCATAGAAACGAGACTCACCCGAACATGACCAGCAGGCTTCCCAAACTACGATGACGCAACATTCAGCCATTGAACAGATATGAAGGCAACCCGGTCGATGTACCTGAAGGAAAGCGCGAATTTGGCTGGTCTTGGAGGGATTTAGAGGGGTGTTGAGTGGGTAGAGGGATGTGACGTACCGGATCGCGAGGAGCGGCAGCGTCAAGAACGCCACGAAGAAACAAACGGCTGCGCCTATCAGACACCCTCCAAAGCCCAACAGTCTGACAAAACATATTACATTCCATTTACCCCTGATTGAAAAGCACTAGAAGGCACCTCTCCCATCTCGACAACGCGAACCAAGCCTCCTCCTCATTGGACTGGTCGTTCGACCGCAGCGGTATGTAATCGCCCGCAACTGCGTTGTAAAAGCGGGAGAATGGGTTCCCAGGCTGTGATTGCTGGGGTGCGGGTTGTGAGTCGTTGGTATTGCCCCTTGCCCAGCGGAATTGGGAGAGGTTGGCGCGGAAACTCTGTTCTGTCGGTGGAGGCATAACTTCAAGGAGCAGTGCACAAGTGTAAACTGAGCATAAACAACCCTAAATGCATCAGACGCGCAGCTCCCGGCCCGGACTCTTTCCATCCTTCCTCACCGGAACGTTCGACCAGCCTTTATTCGACTCGATTCATCAAACCTTGTCTCTGTCACACTCGACCCCTCTCGACAGACTTTTCACTGGACCTGACGCGTCAGATGTCTTGCATCTACCACAAAGGGACTCAGTTTATCAGCGCTAGCACTCGATTTATTTTGGATCATACTCAAATCATACTACTAGTCTATCACAATAAGTTAGTGCTCCCCTACACCTCTCACGCGACGCGATGACTGAGTGGGAAACAAGTTGAGTAGGGTTGATCATGCTGACCAAACCCTTTGTTCCGCCCTCCTTCAAGTTCATCTGGGACATTGCTCATTTTCTCGACGAGCTCATCGGTCTCGTTTGCGAGCACATTTGTCACCCGATACTGTGTCTCGATACCACCTACCACTCTATTCCGCTCCGGATTGTCCACGACAGCGCGTTTTTGTCCGTGCGCGCATCCTGAGACATTTGATCCCCTCGCTGGATATCCCACTAGGTGATGTGTTCTTTTCGGGCGTCTACGACGGTGACCGGTGACTAGGACTGCTCACCTCTATTTGTTGCTACTTAAGAATCGACTCTCATTGGCAATGAATGAGTCGTTCAGATAAGCCACACGTAGTCCACAACGACAGCTTATCTACGACCCAATGTCACGAATTGAATATTATCGGGTTTCCCCTCTCCGACCACCTTTCTTCGCCCATGACACCTCTCCACCACTGTGTCGACGCCCTGGCAATCACCACCCCGACCTCGTTCGCTTTTCACTCGTTGCCCGTTGTCTCTCGCATCCGAGACGCTGCTCTACCAACCCCTTCTCCATCCTTGCACGACCCCTTGCTCATCGTGGATGGCAACAGTGTGTCGAGGCCCTCACCCAACCTCATCGGAACCCCCCCGACCCAGCGTCCGTTGACATCTACCCAATGACATACTCGACGTATTCACCCCTGCGCGCACACATCCCGCTCCTCCATAACGTCATGCACCGCCCTCCATGCAGACGGCCCAAACATATATCCTCGCAGGAGACGGCAATTTGCTATTACCTTTGGTCGATGATTGAAGGATAAAGGGCAGGTCTCGACGAAAAAGTCGTGTTTCGTTCTCCCACCTGCTTCACATCCAGATGCGAGGCCCACTCCGTCGTCCGTCGTAACTCGTCCCTCCAACCATTACTCAAAGCCTCATACCCGCACCCCTCGCCCACTCTTGGCCACTACCTTCTTCGACTGCCACAATGTCATCGGACATTTGCGCGCTTTCGTTGATTATTGGGCATGCCTGCATCCAGTGTCTTCATTTTACTATGCATCGCAGCGACTGTTGTCGTTGTACTTCCCTTCCATTGTCCCGCAAATCCTTAGAGCAGTGTATTATTATATTATGCTGATTAGATTAGATCGGCTATTTTTTACCCAGCACCGGAAATTTCGTAGCGTGACTCGACCAATTACAAGCCACGAGCTGGTGAGGTCCTTTTACTGATTTACTCGATACAGAACAACCACGATAGCCGGTCTTTGGTGCATACCAGCGATTCTTTCGCGTCCTTGTACCTCCCGCTCACCGTTACTCTTCACCAGAGGCATGGCACAGACCATCGAGCTCGCGCAGGTCGGTCCTTCCCGCCCGAGCTTGCTATCGTGCTTACCCTTTCTCCCCAGACGGCGAAAAGAGATCATCTGAAGACTCTGGAGAAGAAATACCAAGAACGCTGGCAATCCGAGAAGCTCTTCGAGGTCAATGCTCCACCCGCGGCCGACATCACAGGCCTTTCGCCAGCCGAGGTCCAGCAAAAGTACCCCAAGTGGTTCGGAAACTTCCCCTTTCCCTACATGAATGGGAGCCTGCACCTGGGACATGCGTTCACCATCTCCAAAATCGAGTTTGCTGCGGGATACGAGCGGATGCTGGGCAAACGTGTCCTGTTCCCCCATGGTCTACACGTCACCGGGATGCCGATAAAGGTGCGTTCGATAGATGCTTCATTGGCGCCAGGCATTTATTTTCGTCTCTAGGCCTCTTCGGACAAGATCATTCGCGAGATGGAGTTGTTTGGAGCCGACTTTGAGCGCTTCGAGCAGGTGCAGGCGGAAATGGCGGCGGCAGAGAGAGAGGAGGAAGCAAAGGCTGGCCCAGAGGACAAATCTAAGGCGAAGAAGGGCAAGCTTGCCGCAAAATCAACCGGCCTGACCTACCAATTCCAAATCATGGAGTCTATCGGCGTCCCGCGTGCAGACATCAAAAAGTTCGCGGACCCTCTGCATTGGCTATCCTATTTCCCACCGATCGCGGTTGTAAGTCTCTCGTTTTCCTTCAGAGTGCTGCTCACGGACGCGATTTAGAGTGACAACAATGCATTTGGCTCGCGAATCGACTGGCGGCGGACCTTCCTGACGACTGACGCAAACCCCTTCTATGACTCGTTTGTGCGCTGGCAAATCAACAAGCTATACAAACTGGGCAAGATCAAATTCGGAGAACGATACACGATTTACAGTCCCAAGGATGGCCAGCCATGTATGGACCACGATCGTCAGGATGGAGAGGGATTTGGACCGCAGGAATACACCGGCGTCAAGATGGAGGTCCTTGACTGGAGTCCAGCTGCGAAGGAAGCCATTGGGGACAAGGTTGGAGGAAGGAAGGTTTTTTTGGTTGCCGCGACTCTGCGTCCGGAAACCATGTGTGTTGGCTGTCTTCTCTTTCAATGACCCCTCTAACCCGCACTTAGGTACGGTCAAACCAATTGCTTCGTGGGCACAGGAATCAAGTACGGAGTCTTCGCCGCCAACGACAAGGAGGCGTTCGTGTGTACCCTACGTGCGGCACGAAACATGGCCTTCCAGGGCACCATCACACCTCGCGGACACATCGAGCAACTCGCAGAGCTCGATGGCTCCAAGATCATCGGCACCAAAATTCACGCGCCTTTCTCCGTCAACCCCCAGGTCTACGTCCTACCCATGGACAACGTCCTCCCCACCAAGGGCACCGGTGTCGTCACCTCCGTGCCCTCGGAATCGCCGGACGACTACCAGACCCTCATGGACCTACGCAAGAAGCCCGAGTACTACAAGATCGACCCTGCGTGGGCTGCACTCGATCCCGTGCCTGTGCTCTCGACACCCACGTACGGAGAGATGAGCGCGCCTGCGCTCATCAAGCTGCTGAAGATTCAGTCTCAGAAGGATACGAAGCAGCTTGTAGAGGCGAAGGAGCTCACGTATAAGGAAGGGTTCTACAACGGTACGATGTCGATCGGCGAGTTCAAGGGCGTGAGTGTGCAGGAAGCGAAACCCAAGGTTCGTGAGGCGATGATCAATGCCGGAGTGGCTTTTGCGTACGCAGAGCCAGAAGGGCTCGTCATCTCCCGCAGCGCGGATGAGTGCGTGGTTGCTCTCATGGACCAGTGGTACTTGGACTACGGCGAGCCAAGCTGGAGGAAGCAGACCGAAGAGTCAGTATCTTTCCTTTCCTATACAATCGCGGCGTTCTCACCTTGTGGTGTATAGTCTATTGTCAAGGATGAATACGTACACTCAAGAGACGCGACATGGATTTGAGAAGACTTTGGATTGGTTGAACAAGTGGGCCTGTGCACGTACCTACGGATTAGGCTCAGTCCTGCCTTGGGATCCTCAATTCTTGATCGAATCTCTCAGCGACTCGACAATTTACATGAGTTACTACACCGTTGCCCAGCTCTTACACGGTAACTATGATGTTCTCTCTCTCAGAGTCCATAGCTGATCCAGATCGTGCAGAAGGCGACATAGAGGGCAAGAAGCCGGGCCCGTTGGGCATTACCCCGGACCAAATGACCGACGAGATCTGGGAGTACGTCTTCTGCAATGGTCCTTTCCCTGATCCGTCGCCCCTGTCCCGTGAAAAGGCCGACGCCCTCAAGCACGAATATAACTATTTCTACCCCTTCGACATCCGCTCCTCTGCGAAGGATCTCGTGCCTAACCATTTAACATTTGCCCTGTATAACCACGCCGCAATTTTCCCTGAGGACAAGTGGCCCTTGAGTATGCGCACGAATGGACACCTGATGTTGAACGGGAAGAAGATGAGCAAGAGCACGGGCAACTCGCTGACTCTCCGAGAGGCTATCGAAAAGTTTGGTGCTGATGCGACGAGGTTGTCGTTGGCGGATGCTGGAGATGGTCTTGAGGATGCCAACTTCGAAGAGAAGACAGCGAACGCGAATATCCTAAGGATACACACCTTGTTGAGTTGGTGTGAGGTGCGTTGGTGTTTGATTCTTTTCTAGACCTTCTGAGAGGCGATCCCACTACAGGAGATGGTCAAGGATCAAGCCAGCCTCCGTCATGGTCCGCGCAACTACCATGACCAAGTGTTTGAGAACGAGATGAAGGACCTCGTCAACACCACCCAAGCTCACTATGAGGCGTATGCACCATCACTCTATCATCTTCTCTTCTTGCAGTACTAACGTCGTTGTAGAACGAACTACAAGGAGGCTCTCAAGTTCGGCTTCTACGAATTTCAAAGCGCCCGCGACTGGTATCGTGAGGTCACCTCCGATGTCGGTATGCACGCCGACCTCGTCCTTTCCTGGATTCGCAACACTGCCCTGCTCGTCACGCCCATCGCACCACACTTCGCAGAGCATATCTGGAGCACGATTCTCGGAGAGCCCAAGTCTATCCAGCTCGCTCTATGGCCGACGCCCTCGACACCCGTCGACCCGACGCTCGTCGAGGCGGGCACCTACATGCGCGGGACGATCAAGACCATTCGTGACGCTGAGGCGTCCCTGTTGAAGGCGCTCTCCAAAGCGAAGGGGAAGAAAGGTAGTGCTAAGAACGATAGTACTTTCTTCGACCCCAAGAAGCCCAAGGCGGTGAGGATATACGTGGCGACGACGTTCCCTGAATGGCAAGACGCCTGTGTCGGCATCGTGCAGGAGTCGTATTCGAAGGAGACTGACAAGGTTGATGACGCGAAGGTCAAGCAGTTGTTGACAGACAAGGGCCTGATTAAGGACAAGCGGACCATGCCATTCATACAAGTATTCAAAGTACGTCGATTTCATTACCTCTGACTTTTTGCTCATCGCGGCTATAGAAACGGATGGCGCAGTATGGGGCAGAAGTCGCCTTCCGACGAACGCTGCCTTTCTCCGAAAGTGCGGTATTGAACGAACTCCTGCCTTACCTGAAAAAGACTCTTGGGTTAATCAGTGCAGAGGTCCTCTCTGTCGACGAGGCTCGCCAGAAGGAGCAGCAGCCCGGTTTCACCAAGAGCATCATCGATTCCTCGGAACCTGGCAGCCCGGCATTCGAATATTATAATGTATAGTAGAATTAAATCTTTCCTCGGGTCTTGGCCATTAGAGATGCGAATGCACGTACAATCTTTTATTCCTGTCCCGTGGCCTGCCTTGTCCATCCATGCCATCAAAATCCGATGCGGCTGCGAGTCTTCAACATGTTCTCCGGAACAGTAATTGACACCCACGGTCCTTTCCTTTCATGCCTGCTGATACTGAGAGTGTAGGAATTTCCTTCGCCGTTGAAGAGCAACTGAACAAATGCTAGTTGCAGTACACGGCTTATGGCCTAAGCGCCGGCCGAATTGTTGGGCGCCTACGTTGCTCCGTCCTTCTGCATATTGAGATGCACTATCACGAACAGGGTCATAAAAAGTTACGCTTAACCTTTGTTGGGGTCTGGCTTACACCTATCGATACTTCCCACAGTCTGCAAATCAAATAACCTCATTGCCTACTCAGGATTTCAACTTGCTGGCTCATACCGCTGAGAGGAAAACAAGGCATCAAACGCAGCCTTGGCGATGTCCTCCGTCCCGACCCACGGAATGCGACCATCCTGGGTTACCGAAAAGATCTCGTTATTCTCTCGGATTCCTGGAGCGTGATAGCTGCCGAAGTTTTCTGCGGCGAGACATTAGCGTTGTTCATTTGACCTAGGTGCTTGCTAATACGCACCATTGAACCAGGTAGGACGGAGGACAGTACTTGTACTCAACACCAAGACCGGCGTATTCGTGGATTTTTCCGACATATATCCCAACTTTGTCGACCTGATTCACACTGAGCAGTATGAACCTCTTCAACCCAGTTCCTCCAGTGACTAGGGTATCTATGACTGTACCAGTTGCTAGTTTGCGTTGATGAACGAGGAGGCTCCGAGGCCCGATACAGAAGGCTGCTATCGCCTTGCGCGATCTTCTTCACATCTATGGGATGTCTATCTGACCCTCAGTGAGTTATCTATGCTGGTGTCTTATAAAACGCTGCCTGATATTTGCGCTTGCACATGCTCAGAGCCATTATTTGATTTCCTAAGAATTTTCTTAGGTTCGGAGCACGCCCCACGTGCTCAGCCACTTGCGGCACCTTCGCAGGTCCCTAAGGTATTACTAAAAACGGAGCTGCTTGGCGCAGCAAACAAGGACCGGCAGAAGACTCAACGGCGGCTTGGACCGAACCTATTATTTCCTGTCTATGAACACTTCATCGATTCGTTCTCTTCTTGAACTAGCTTGCCCGTGAGGAGGCCGAGAATTTGAGCATAACAAAAACTGAAACTTCACTCGAGCTCGACGGCGCTCGCCTTCGCCCCTCGTCCCGCGGGACGCGTCACCGGGCTGAGCGACTCCCGTAGGGCTTGACAGAAGGGTCGACTTCCGAAAGTCAACCTCGGCAACCTCTGGGTAACAACCTTGGTTTTAGTAAGTACTGAAGAGGTTGACATAAAATTATAGCAGTGATTCTAATCAGCCATCCCATTATTTAAGTCCCCAACGTCCCTCTCTCTTGGGCAACCGCGTCCCCCATCACATTGGCTCTCCCTTGTGGTCCAACCTGGCATAAATGCGCGTCCTCATCTCTATCATCTGCTCTTTCACACTCTACTTCCTCCTTGTGACGCCCGTCTCTGCTCAGGACACAAATCTCACAGCAGTCAAGCAGGCTTTTGATGCGGCTGGGGTGAGTCCCCATTACGACAGTTCTCCGATTATTCAGGTACTCACTAGCCGTTGCTTTACAATGTAGTTGCTTCATGATGTTCCGCTCGGATTCGATCCCACTGTTCTGCTTGGCGTCACCTATTTCTCTCCCGAGGCTAGGCCCAAGACGCTGTATTCTGGTATCCAGATGGCGATGAAAGGTGTGTACATTGTACATACATGCATACCTTCACCGAATGTGAGCTCTTCGGCGAAGCCCCACTAAACACCCTCGCCGGACACAGAAACCTACCCTATGCCAATTTTCAGCGTTGTCGGCAACCCAGGCCTCGGTCCGCTCGTCCTCGCCATGATTGACCCGGACGCGAGCTCGCGCCCGACCCCCAACATTGCCGAAATCCGCCACTTCCTGCAAGGGGGCTACGCCTTCGATCCAATTTCTGGATTGCTCAATGCACTTCCGTCAGTTTCTGGGATGCCGCCGTACCACTACCCTCGACCGTCCGTCGGATCTGGTCTACATCGGTGATTACCCTTTTTACTTCGTAAAATATTAGGGGTGAAATACTGACGAACGGTTTCACATGCTTCAGTTATGCATTTTATTTATACAAGCAATCCGTCGAGTTCGTTGAACAGACCCTGATCAATAGCTCGTCCCCCACGGCCCATTTCAATTTGACCGACTTTGCGCTGAGGACGAACCTGGGAGACCCTATTGGGGGGACGTTCATGTTGGTGGGGCCCGATCCTTAGAGGAGAGCATGCGCCATACATACCTCGATTGTAAAAAAAATAGCAATTCTTATTTTTGGGGTTTTTAGCGCTTCCTGCAGGAAATAGACCTTTCTCCAACCTTTAAAGAAATCTCGGCTCGTGGCCCGGTCTGATCCGCAAGAAGTGTGGCGCAGGTACTTGCGCGCCATCGTTACGTCAGCGCAAAAAGGCATTGTGAAGGCGCTAACCTTGTACTTCGAAATTAGGATACTGGAGTAACAGCGACTTTCGAAAAGCAAGAATTTCATAGACTGAAGTACTTCCACAGAATCAAACTCGGTACAGTACGATCGCCGCGAAGTATTCGGAATTCATAGTAATGTGGCAGAAAATATTTACTGGCTCTAGATGAGGATAGAAGTCGCCATGACGTTGGGATCCAGAACGGCGTACTTGGTTCCCTGGTCGTCCATCTGAGCGCTGATTGCCTTGAACGACTCCTCGAGAGCCTTGACATCCTCCTGCAATACCTTAGCCGCCTGGCTGATGGCCGGGTTCCAGCTCTTCGAAGCGTTCTTCGCATATGACACAATATTGTTCTCTGGCTCGACCTCGGCTGAAAGCAGGTACGGGACCTGTGCCATCAGAAGCCAAGTGTTGCGCGACTGGAGAGGAAGGGCCTTCAGGACGTCCGCTTCCTTGTACGCCGTCAACTCCCTAAGAGAAGTGGGCGGCGGCGCGAAGAGCGCGGAAGGCCTGCTCGGGACGTAGGTCAGGTAGTACTGCTGAAGGTAGTTGATGGAGGTGTGCTGCGGCGCCGCGATGTGGATGCACATGGTCACGACGTCAACGAGGTCCGCGAGGGTCTTCACGGTGGGGAACTGCGGCATCTGCCCCCCGACGGAGGACTGCATCTCTGCGCAGAAGTCCGCAACGTACTTGTCCGCCCTGACCTCCGCGTCGCTACCCTTGTAGTGCGCGCTAAGAGCGGAGCCAACGAACTTGTGCATTACGTCCCACATTTTCGCCATGTCCCGCGCGTAGGCGTAGTTGTGGAACTGGCCGAAGGGGTTGTCAAAGTGGGCAACGTCGAACCCGCGATTTTTGAGGTCCTCAGGGATGTAGTGGCCCGCGAAGTCGAACGAGTGGTACGTGTAGTTGCACAGCGCCTTGATTTCTGTTAACTGGAGAAAGGATAGCAGAAATTCAGTGATTGTATAGGACATTAGAGGCATCAGGGCACATACCTTGAAAGGCGCGAGCGCGGCGATCATATCTGGAACTAAAATCATACGCGCCATGGAGTTGAGGGAGAGGGTCCTGAGCCAATGAGGACTGAGCAGCGTGTGCACGATATGGCTGTCGGGAAGGCTACGCTGGGCTGCGACGATAATGGCCTCCTCGACGAGATGTGTGAGCGTAAGGTGGACCCCAACCTCATGGCGCACCCAGTCAGAGGCCTGCGCGCACATCTTAGCATAACGCCACGGCCAATCGCTCGCTTCCTCCAGCAACGACACTGCAGGGATTAGGCTGGGGCTGAGGCGCCGGTTGAAGATCGTGACGCTGACGTTCGGGTCGATACTCCCCTTCCAGTCAAGGATGATGGCGATCGGATGCAGCTTGCCCGTCGGCAAGAGGTGGAAGAGGGAGACCGACGCACAGCCGTAGCGGTGCGAGCTCTTGTCGTTCGAATATATGGCCTCAGTTGGAGTCATACCCGCCGCTTCCCTAAAGTAGCTGCAGTCTTGAACGTAGAACTTGTTCGTTGAGCTGGTGAAGAGCTTGGCGGCAGAACGGTTCCCTTGGTCTCTGGCTGCTTGGGTGAACGCTTGAATCCATGACTGGGAGGCCGCAGTGATGGTGCAGGGATTGACGCCGGTGAATTGCTGCTGGGCGAAGACCGCGTCCGTAAACCAATCCTCGCGGAGACCGACATTCTCGGCGGTGTACATGTTTCCGCCAAGCGGCTTGGATGGGCTATAGTGGAGGAGCTTGTTGCGAGTGAAGAGGTACTGCACGCTCGCGAATGAAGGCGGGGCCATGGATTTGAAGAAATCGAAATCAGGGATGAAAGGGAAGAGGGCCTTGATAGTATCAAACAGCCTCGTGAATTTGAAGAGGTGGATTGAATCGTGCGCAAATTGCCCGACAGGGACGATGAGCAGGTGAGGAGGAAAGTCGCCATTGTGGGCCCAATTGTAGCGGACCCGCTTGATAGCGAGATTGGCCTCGTTGACAGCGGTGGTGACCAAGTCGCCGACCGCGTTCACAGGGCCAGACGATGGCTGGAACTCGGCGATGTCGAAGAACCAATCGAGCCTGTATCAATTGTGAGTCCATCACAACACGAATATTTTTACCGACGTCACCTACAGGTACCGCATCTGCTTATAGCCCTCGACGGAATATTCGAGAGCGTCGTGATACGTCGTTGGAAGATTCCTCCTACCCATGTAAGGGAGTGTCGCGAGCCGGGCACCAAGGTCGACAGCATCGTGAACCGTTGTCGCCACAATTCCCGTACCTATTGCAGCGACTGTCTCGACGGCATCGACGGCATCGTGAACCGTCGTCGACACAATCCCTGTACCTATTGCAGCGACTGTTCCGATGGCATCGAGGGGCCTGGGCAAACCAAAGGGCATAACCATTGTGTGAAGCAAGAGGTCGATGAAGCGTTGGATAACTTGGGTTGTTCAACTTGTGGTGAAGGACACAGAGCGCGTAGGGCTCGCCTTTATACCCTGTTTCTGCGCCACCGGGATCTTGAGAGAAGTTGGTAGATGTTGACAAATGGTTCATCTGAGGGCATCAGCAACTCTAGTGAGGTCAGTTCCGTCGTTCTTTGCAGAGTACGACAAGAGCTGAATTAAAAAATCGACAAGGCTTGACTAAATCCGGTCAACTCCTTCCTGTCTCAATCGAGAAGTCGTCAGCCCATAGAGTGAAATGAGGTTCTCGCGCACGGCAACCAGAGGGAGACTGGGAAGTTTTTAACTGAGGGACACGTACCATACTTCTAAATGAGCCTGAAGGCAGATGTAGCTCGGAGGTCCGAGTCTGTCGCGGTCACGTCAAGCTTCCTTCTCTGATCTCACTGAGGACCTTGTACACCGAGAGGCCCAGACCCAGGATCTGCTTGGAAGCGTCTTCTTGAACCAAGCGACGACGACTGGAACGGAAGTGGAATTTTCGGCTTGTTTATAAGTACGAGCTTGGACGAGGCCGGTACTGAGCGCTGCCGATTCACCGTTTTGCAGTCAAGGTGCGCACTTCCACGTCGCGGAAGAGCTTGTTTCGGCAAGGCTGATGGTTGTAAAGGCTAGTTGTGAAAGGATTCTGGGGCGTTTGAACATAGTTGGTCCGAGTATGTGGACAGATGGATAAACTCGGGTGACTGGATAGTACTCACTCACTGCTCAGGCTGCCTTGTCTCAGCTTTCACATATTGGTGCTATCGCATTTAGCCTTCTTCTTCAAAACGATCTGGTACTTACATAACCGAGAGCGCTCACTGAGGGTGAATATTGCAAAAGGCAAACGGAGTTGAGCGATGTGCTCATGGGTGACGTAGTCATACATACCTCGTAATGACGTAAAAAAGTTCCCACGGAGGTTTGCCAAGCGCGTATCACGAATTTGTGATTGTAAAATCCACAATGCCCAGCAAGCGCGCAGCCTATCATTCGATGCCTTCTTCCTTCACCAACGACCGATAGATGACGGAGCAGAGGATACGCCCACAAGTTTGACATGGCTTTTAAATACCCTATCACCCCTTCTCTGAACCAGAAGCGCCTCATTTTCTCCTATGCTCCAGACTGGTGAGCTCTGTTGTACTCGTGGCACACGACCACATTGCCTGACGACCTGCTAGGATTCTGACCATCGTACTGGGGTATGCTCTATTCTGACGGATACTGGGATTTCATGTGTTGAAGGGGTCACAGTGCGATATTCTTGTCTCTTGACAAAGTGGATGGATTTCGGAGGATGTTTTCGTTGGAGGACCCATCGTGAGTGCACTCGCTCAGTCTCCGTTGCTTATGATCTGATAACGTGAATAGGATTCGATACCCGTACGTTCTTATCTTCGCTCCCTTCAAGGACTTTTCTCAGGTCCGGCGATCCCAGTTTCGCCAAACATGTTCGGGTTCCTGTATGTTACTCTTCTGTCAAAGCGGATAGCTGCACATCGATTTGGCTGACAACGTCGTCAAGAATGTCCCCCTATATCTCATCTCTATCCTTGCTCCTCTGTGTGCCATGGTCATCACCAATTTTCTCACCATTAGGACTTGGTGGGACCTGCACAACAGTAAGTCAGAAGCCCTGCACTTCTTCCACCTTTTTGAACCATCTGGCGGGATATAGGTACCCTCGGTTGTATGTAGAACCCACTATGTGCGCCTCCCAAGACTTATCTGAATTACTCTTAGTGCTATTATCCCATGCCTTGACTGGCACGTTCACGCAGGTTGTGAAAGTCACGGTTGGGCGACCGCGACCAGGTCTGTTATTTCATTCTTTCTGCGCAACTTCTTTATTCATGTATTGCAGATTTCATCGACAGATGCCAACCCCCTGCAGGTCTAACCGACCCTCCGTATGGCCTCACAAGTTGGACTGTATGTACCCAAACGAATCCCAAGATTCTGCGTGATGGATTCAGAAGCTTTTTCTCGGGCCATTCAAGTTGTGCGTAGTCTCTTTTGGTCACTTCCTTCCATCACATTGACACCCCTCCAGCTTCTTTTGCCGGCCTCGGTTTCCTAGCTTTCTACCTGGCAGGAAAGCTTCATCTGTTCGACAGCAGGGGACATGCAGTACGTGGCGTGATCGCCTCTCCTACCTTCGGTCCAACCAACCATCCCCTCTTCATTTCTTTCTTCAGGGAAAAGCCTGGCTGTCTCTCTCGCCATTCATGGCAGCTGCGCTCGTCGGCATCTCTCGTGCGATGGATAATCGGCACCACTGGCACGACATTGCCGTCGGCTCTGCCATCGGCACCCTCTTCGCCTACTTTTCCTACCGACAGTACTACCCCTCGCTCTCTTCTCCCGTCTCTCACTTCCCATACTCCCCTCGTATCAAGCTCGATGACGACGCGGCGCAGACGCTCCCAACGCATGCCAATGATTCCACCGTATACCCATTCACTTACCCATTCACTGCTCGTCCTTCGTCCTCGCAGGGCCACGACGATTCAAGCGGACCGGGACGTTACCCTCATACGAACAATACCAGCGGGCGTTTCGACGTGAATGATACCACCCAGATTCCCGGCACCGTGCCACGACCAGGCCCCAACTCGCTCCAGGCCGTGTGGAACGAAGGCGGCGAGACCGTGGATCGAAGTAGAGGCATGGACCACGATTCTGCGTACGGCGGGATATCGGAATCGCATAACCCTCGGGTGTAGGTAGAGTACTCCCAGGGGCTAATTTGTTGTTCGACGGAATCCACGCAGACCGCGGATATAGACCTAAGGCATCTGGAACGGAGGACATATTTTGTAGTACGTATAATAATTTGTTGTTTGACGGCTACACTACGAGAAAGCAGGGAATAACCAAACGAGAAGCAGGTGCGGAAAGCATTATGTACGACAACCAGAGTTTTGATATGCTGTAAAGTGCTTAACTTAAGTTCACAGTGAAGATATTGTTTGATCGGACAGTCAGCATCCAAGGACCACTCACCTTGAATAAATAAACCTTGACGTGTCTAACGCGTCACGAATCCGATATTGACAAGGAGGCCAACTCCGACTGCGCAACTTGGAGAAGCGACGCTTCCTCAACCCCAAAGCAGAGCTGAGCAAGACCCAAATCATGAAGTCTCGTCATCCTCACGAGCATGCCAAGCGTTCGATTGGTCTCATTCTCGGCGACTCCGACCCCAGGTCCATTGAGCAACTCCCATGTCGAATCATCCATCTCGTCTGCCATCCTGCCCCATGCCAACTTGATGGCGCTGGGGTAGTTGAACGACGCGAGGACGAAGCAAACCGGAGAACAGAGCCCGCTAATTTCTTGCTCCAGGAGCAATTGGGGTGACCGTGGTTTGTCTGGCTCTGGATCTTCATCGACCAAGTCTTGTAATGCATCACCGAGGCGGTATAGTCGTTGGCAGGATGGGCATATTCGACTTTTTGAGCGGCTTTTGTTGTACCACAAAATCTAATCGTGCGTTAGATACAGTAAAAAAGAATAGAGGCAACGACGCACCAAAGCAGTCTCTTCCGGCAACACTGTAGACAACATCTGCAGAACTTCATCCTGGGCGAACTCAGCACACAAAGGATCCTGGAGCACGATCAGTCTTCTATTCCTCCAAATTAGAATAGGGGCAGACTTACGTCTAAAGAGGGCGGCTGCGCGAAAAACGAGCCCATAAATGCGCGTGCATCGCGGACACGGGGCCCATTACCAGGGTCATGTATGAAAGGTGGCTGAGACATCACCTCCTCCACCGTTCGCGAGACCTCCTCATCAAGAACTGGACACAACTTCTTGTGCTCATAGGGTAATTCGAACGCCAAGAGGGGAGGAGGAGTCTTGGGGGAAGGTGGCGATGGCGATGACGGTGGGCTGGGAGTGGTACTGCCGTGGAAGCGTGTAGGCTGTGGCTTGGGCAGATTTGTGCTCTTGCGTTTGTAGTTATTGGCGCGACCGCGGGCTCTTTTCTTGTTGTTGGAGGGCCCAGGCATGATTCTGATCGTCTGCTCGTCGTCGGAGGCGTTGAGGGCAACCGTGCGAAAAGAAACGCGCTATGTCACGGCACGTCACGCGACCGTGATTCTTCAAATTGGGGCGGCGCTCAAACCTATTTCGACTCGTCCCTCCTGGCATGCAAGCTTTGGAGCTTACTCAACTTGAAAATACTTATACTGGAGAGCTCACCGTGCTGTGGATCGCAATTCCGTACACCTGTCTGTCGAGGCCGGGAAAGATGCCTCGAGGCGTAACCGCAAGCGGGAGAACCCTGAGTGTCAAAGACGGAACCAAATGAAGCAAGGACAACTGGTCATTCAACATTTTATTTCTCTTAGTCCTCCTTTCCACCAGGCGATTCGAGGATCATGGCAGAGGCGGCTAACACTGCGGGAAATGCTGCTTACAAGGAAGGCAAATTTGGCAAGTAAGTCGTGACTGACCTTCTAAAATCACTGCGTTTCTCATTATCTTTAGGGCCGAAGAACACTATCTCGAGGTGCGTAGTCCAGCTACATGTGCTCTGGATGAGGACCGATTTCTTTCTTTCAGGCGACCCGAAAAGATGGTGCAGAACCCAAATACCCATCTAATGCAAGTGCCGCTCTGTTTGAGCAAGGGAAGTACGTGCCATGTGTCGAGACGATCATAAAGGCCTGGCGACGACTTTCCGACAAGAACAACTCTCGGATGCCGACCGCGTCGGACGCGTTAGCCATCAAGCCCGCTACTAGGCTAGCCAAATGCAATCTAAATGGCTTCACAAGACGTTTGATCTCACCGCATGCCACACCATCAACGGCCGAGGAGCAGCAAAGAAGCGAGATCGAGGCGCGGATTGAGCAGTTCGTGTATCTTGGCCGGGAGGATGAGGACTCAAAGGTTAAGGAAATGTTGACAGTCTGGCAGCAGTGGCGTGCCATCCGGTTTGATTGCGCCCAACATTCGACCAAGGAGTGCAAGAGAAGGATTGCGAATGCAAAGGAGCGCTTGAGGGCCTTGAAGATCATGAAGTCGCAGTGGTGAGTGCTTCGCGTTCCTTTCTTAACAGTGCGCTGAGCATCCTGTAGCATCCCTCTCATGGAGTACTTCAGGGTATTTTCAGACCCATTACCTCGGTTTCTTCTTGAGCTGATGTCGACCTAGTTTGGACATGATCCAGTTATATCATTAATGGCCGGGCCAAACGACGGAGATGACTACGCTATGGATCTCAGGACGCCAACAGAGATGATGGACAAAGACGGCAACATCGCTTTGTACTCCTTCCTCTTCGGAGGATCTGGCGATTGTGAGCCCCTTCCCGTCCGTTCTCGCTGAGTATCCACATTCTAAATCTATTATAGCTCGTCACGTCTTCGGTACTCTGATACATTTCGCCGACTGGGCAAACGAGACTAGGACGAACCAACAGGTGGAGACTTGTGCAGGTCTATTCACGTTGGTGGATATCCATCCCGCAACATTGGCGAGGACGCTTGTTATGCTGCGCCTGTTGCAGCTCATAATGGGATTTAGAGGCTCCCGGGACAAGATTTTGTTGGCCGAGCTTCACGCGACGCTTTTCTACGTCTTCAACGCGATGGTCATGCCGGAATACTGTCGCCGTATGTGTGTTTGCTCTTCTTTTCGTTCGCTGCGACAAGTGCTCATGCTGTCACAGCGTCATGGAAGTCTCGAAAGCCCTCATCAAGGATCTTCCACAAGGCCCGGATTACTCTTACCCCAAACTTTATATCAACGACCAAAGCCTTGCTGAGATCCTGGGTGTTCTTCGATACTGGAGCACTCCGCTCAAAAAGAGCGCCAAGATCTTCCTGACGAGAAATGCGGGCGTGTCTTCTTCCGCGCAGCGCGCATTAGAGCTGCAGGACCCGTACAGCAGCAAACCGAAGCCCGGCGCGGAAGAGCTCCTCCTTCGGATGATGATGATGCAGCGGGATGTGCCCAACCCGAATGAGCGGCCAAAAGGTGCTGAGACATGCGATGTCCCATACGAAATGTCCACGGCGGAAGGAGAGATTTATGACCGCACGAAAGCTTTATTGCCTCCCAAAGTTTTATTGTCTCGCACTCCTGCACCGCAAAAGCTGGTCAAGGGATATAAGAAAGCAGGGAAGGATTTGTTCGACGCTGCTGCCCGCGAAGTCGAAGAGACGTGGTTACCCAATCCAACACTCTTCGTGCGTACCTGTATCCACCATTCAGAGCATCTTTAACTCAGACGACATCGTAGGAGTTACACTCGACAGAAGCACCCGAATTCGGGGGTGGATATCCTCAAATCAACGGCGGTCCATATGACACCATGCTGTCCTTTGCCAGGTTCACGAAACAGTACCAGCGTGGGCCTGACAGGTCGAAGAAGACAGGGTACTCAATCATGAGTCAATTTTTCGAGGTCCTAGCGGAGGCGCTTTGGTCAGTTAGCAGGATGCTGAAATTTGAGATTCTGGTTGGGGATGTGATCACTGGAGTGCCGAGACTGGTCGCAGGTGATTTTGGGAAGCGGCCAAAGGAATTTCCCAGGACGTACTCTAGAATTTGGTTGAGCAACGTCCCGTGAGTTTTCTTGACTTCCAGCGATACAAGACCAATTTACGATTTTCAACCCACTGTTAGCGATTACACCCACGGGATTCTCAACACCGCCGTTCATTTGACTCCTCATATCAAACCCGACTGTCTCATTCTGTCCAACTGCCTGTTGAATACCGGCCTTTTCAAGACTATTCACGACCTTTGTTACAAGTGCGCAGCCCTTTCCTCTCGCCTCAGCTCTGCCTGACTTGTACCAATTCATAGCTATGCACTTGTATGCACCCATGCATTACCCTCATTCCTTGGTTGTGAAATCGTCAACGACCAAGCTTCGCCCTATAAAGACAGCGTCATCGCGCCTTTCGACCTCCCTCTTCCTATGAAGAACCTCGCCACCAAGAAACAACTCCATTCCTGGCTTTCTCAAGTCCTCCTGACCACGTTCATCAACGGCAAACCACCGCCGCCTCCCTTGCGCGTCGAAGTCCCGAACAATCTCGCCGCCTTCATCCATCTCCTCAACCATCTGCACCGTGTCGGCTACCCCGGGCATTGGCTGGGTGATTTCCTTCAGGCATGTCTCGAGGATAAATTGGCGACGGATGCCGTGCCGTATACAGAGTCGCTACGGACACCTCCCAGCGAGCGCATCGGCGCTCATGGAGAGGTCGCTGGCAACCTGACCGAACGGAGGGTGCGCGTGGGCGCATGGCGAGCTGAGTTTGAGTCTATCCTCGCTCGAGTAAGCCTAGCATTACCGTTCGCAGTCTCGCTGCCCGAAGGCTGCGCCAAATTTGATGACGTCGGCATGTATCGCGCGAAGGTCAAAGCCGGAAACGTCATGCGTAACCCGCACATGTTCTCGCTCTCTTCTCCTTTGGTTAGGTGCGCCGCTCTGGTATTTTATCGCCCTGCGAAGGGTGGTCCGGATCCTGACGCAATTGTTGCGAAGGTGCTTGACATCCTCTATGGGGATGCAGCCATGTCGAGGACTGAGGTGCAGTTCTGGCTTGGTACAGAGAGCGTGGACACACGGTCCGGCGATGTCGTGTGGAAGATGGGGAAGACGTGGATGCAGAAGATGAGGCAAGAGAAGTGGAAGATGGCGATTTATAGGACGGATACTAGGGTGACTGGTGTGTGCCATTTCTATCACTGTTTCTCCGTCCTTATTGATTGCTTGCGCAGTTAGTGAACCCTTGGAAGCGGATAAATGGGTGGAAATCCCCTGAAGTATCATACTGTGCATTCCATGTTTGCAAGTTCCGACATCCATTGTGCATACTTATCTTTAATCTGGACCTCTTTTTACAGCCTGACTCGCGGAGAGTTCGCGGCGTCTGCTTGGCCGTGTACTGACACCTCCGGCCAACTTTGTCCCCAAGTTTGTCCTCTGCTGGGACACCGATACTTGTTTCTGTCCTTTGCTCCCTACCTTGCCTCCAGCGCCCCTTCCGTTGCAGGAACAGTTCATTGAATGAACTTGCGAAGTAGCGAAGACTCGAAACCATGTGACAGAGTCGGAATTAAGAAAGAACGAAGTGCTTTTTCCATAAACTCTGGCTTCGCATCGAATACACGATCCATGGCTAGGATGGAGTGTCAAACAGGTCCTATGGCTCTCGAAATCAACGATGGGTTATACAGAGCCTTTCCTTCGGGCGAAGATGTATTACGTAATCCCGCTCCCGAAGACCCGAAAAGGGAAAGGCCAGAGCCGAAATGCGCAGGCCGAAAAGCCAAGCCGGACGGGGAAGCCCGAACCAGAAGGGAGATGGTGGGTGGGTCGAAAAAAAGAAAACGGACACGAAAAACCTCAACGACAACGAGGACAAGGGAAGAGAGGGGGAGGAGGGGAGGAGAATCCTTTGCGCGGGATTTGCCCGTGTGTGGCAAATGCGCGGCGGCCAATCCGTGTATTTGGAGTTGCACTTCCCTTACCTTATCCTAGGGGCAAGCCCCTATAGCTAGCTTTTCTCGGAGAAGATTCAACGATGACATAATCACGATTCTAACGCCGAGATGGCCGAAGTGGCTTCTGAACATTGAACTCTTCCTTCTCTCATTGCTTTTCTCCTCTCATTGCTTTCTCAGAGTAAACGGCGGCTCCTCCTGTGGAACCTGCGATGAAAACCGAGATATCTGAAATCCCTCTGGAATTGCTCGATCTATCCTTGACAACCTGAGCGATGACAGAAAGGCTCTCCAGCAGGGCTGTCAGGTATTTCGACACTTCCTCCCTTATAGCCAGCAGCTTTTATTCGTCACCTGGCGGCCTATATTCACATCCGGCGTCGAGATTATTCGAAGCTTCGAGAAATTGGAAACCACCCTCAATTCCTCGCCCCATATCGCAAGCTGACGACGTCAACATCGCAATTCGACCCACGGATTTGAGGACATTTATGAACTCGACAAGAACTTATTTGCCATCGCCCCGGAGCGGACGAGAAGGAAGAAGGATGAAAGCTGCGTAGGAACAGTAGAGTTTGCCTGTGATACGTTCTGCGATACGATGGTCGATTCAAGGATGGTTACCTCTGGGTTACCTGATGCTGCGAAACGTTTGAGGATTGCGGCAATTTTAAATGCACGAGGCGGGTCGTAGTTCGCCTCCTGCTTTACAAGATCCTTCCCAGCAATTCAGCTGTTGAGTTTTCGAGGTGTGATGTGATTCGCCTGCCCTCCCACCACCGTTATTGATATTCATGATTAAACAGGTCAACTCTGGGTGGACTTGGACAGCTCCACCTAGCCCACCTCGATTCTTTGAGGAGGCTGCTCAAAAGCAACGGTGACACACTTTGGAGTGGATATTTCTCTTCGGTACGTAATGTTACTTTACTTTCTGGCTTCACATTTGAGTTGCCTTGATACAGTACGCCGTGTTGATGGACGTTAGACAACTCGCTGGTCTGCTGTCGATCCAATCGACCCGCAACGCTAGTGCATACGTGCATCACTCGTGTTTTTCCGCGGCGACTTCGTACTTCTGTCTAGTGATCGTCGACTCGTTACTTTTATCAGACTCCTTGAGGCAGCGAGGTTCAGATTCACAGCATGTCGCGGCTGTGGCAGGAGAGCAGTGGCGTTTGCTCTCCCTCATGCCTGCGGCATGCACACAAGCATCGAAAAGAAAGGGCTCAAAGCACCAAACCCTTTACATGAGGCCTGGTAGCTCAACGTCGAACGTCCAAACCTTTGAACGCCATGGCAGTCAAGCCCGCCTCACAGGTATGTAAACCAAATTCTCTCGTGCCAAATTTCTCTAATGTGCAGACATCCAGATTCCTCGACGCGATACAGCTGATGACCAGCCGAGAGATTCTGCAGTCGACAATGGTCAAGAGGAAAAGAATCCTCGAAGATATTCGTCCACTTCCTCAGCTTCTACCCAAGCAGGCGAAGCGCTTCCTTTGTATACGAACAGCGCTGCTATACCCAACATTATCATATTTGGTGAAACGGGTACAGGGAAGAGCTCCCTCGTTAACATGCTCGCTGGTCGAGAGGCTGCGGTCACATCGAACGGAGCCACAGGCGGTACATTCTCCAGCAAACCTTACGATATCGTCCTCCGCGGCAGACAGTACAGAGTCTGGGACACAGCTGGCCTGAACGAAGGCGAACTTGGCAGCGTTCCAGCGGCTGCCGCCCTGCAGAACCTGCGCACCCTGGTTGGGACCATGACAGAGGGCGTGAATTTACTCGTCTACTGCGTGCGCGGGTCACGTTTCCGCAACGTCCTCAGATACAATTATGAAGTCTTCCACAATATCATCTGCCAGGGCGAAGTGCCGATCGTCATCTTCGTCACGGGTTTAGAGCACGAATCGTCAATGGATGGGTGGTGGGATGCAAACCACGGCGAATTCGACAAGTATGGGCTACACTTTAAAGCACATGCATGCGGGACGACGACCAAGGGCAAGAACGGGGACTTCGTAGAGGAGTTTGAAGACACCAGGAAGAAAGTCGAGGAGATGGTTGTGGAGTATTGCCCGCAGGTGGCGTGGGGCGGCGGGTGTGAGCAGTGGTGGGAGAACATTATCCGAAGCATGACGGATCACCAACAAAGATGGAAGAGAATGGAGGATGAACGCGCAGAGGAGACCAACACCCCTGAGCCCCAACTCAAGGAGGAATGGGGGACCTTGGTAAAGACCGCCCAACAATGCGTTTTCCAGGTTGGTAGAGTTCTCAAAGCCAGTACGTCCGTCCTATGGTTCAGGACCAAGGAGCCAACCGTCCCTCCAAGTTGAAGCATGCTTCCAAACTTCTCATGCCCTAATGTCCGTCGAAATATGTAGTCGGCGTCTCAGGTTTTGATATTTATTCGCCCGTTTGGTTTCCCCGTTCCCTCTTTGCAATTGTACCCCACACGAAGTATATGCATGTTTTCTATGATACACAGCACACTGGTGACATGGATTCGCGACACTGTCGATGACAACATCCGAAGTATTAACATTATTTTTGGCTCTAAATATCGCGGGACTACTCATTCGAAAGGAATGTCGGAAATGCGATACCACTAACATTACTACACTGGATCTGGCTGCTTCAACGACCTTCCACGAGATCCGCACATCCATAAAACCATATTTACAGCCGCATATACAGCATACGTGCCCACCCAGACTACGGCGCCCAAAAGAACACAGCCGCGGGCGCGGAGATCCGTAACAAGGTGTCGTCCCACTGGATTGCTGGACCCGCTGGGGTAAGCCGGTGTTACGTCCTCCTGCACCCTCTTGTTGTATCGATCTTGGTATTCCTGCATCTTCTCGGCAACCTGATTCCAGTGTTGGCGGTCGGCTTTCCACGGCACTTCCGAGCAATTCCTCACAATTAATTGCTCTACTTTCTTCTTCGACTCTTCGAACTCTTCGTCGAACATTCCGTCCTTTCCCCTTGTGGTTGTCGCGCACGCGCAAGCTTGGAACACCAACCCGTATCTCCCAAATTCGGTGCGGTTCGCTTCCCACCAGGCGTCCATCGGCGATTCGTGCTCAAGGCCCGTGACAACAATGACAATCGGGACCTCCCCCTGGCAAATTATCTTGTAGAAGATGTCGTAGTTGAACTTGAGAATTTCGCGGAAGCGCGTCCCGCGTACGCAGTATACCAGGAGGTTGATGCCTTCCGACATCTTTCCGACCAGGGTGCGCAGGTTCTGCAGAGCGACGTCCGCCGGTACGCTGCCATGAATGCCCTCGTTTAGGCCGGCGGTGTCCCATATCTTGTAGGTGGCAGCATTGAGGAATATTTCGTGTGAATCGCTGGAGAAGGTGCCTCCGACGGCTCGATTAGAGACGCCCGCAATATCACGACCCGCGAGCATGTTGACGAGCGAGCTCTTGCCAGTACCTGTTTCTCCAAACACGATGACGTTGGGTGCGAGATCGGGATAAGGCCTAGTAGGTAAAGGCATCGCGGGTCCCAATGAATGTGCTGTTAGAGGTGTACAATAAGCGTAAGGTGAAGCAAGTAGATGAATATTACTCTTACTGTCTTGGTCGTGAATTGTACCTGAGAAACTGTCTTGAATCAGCGGACGTTGCATGTAGTCTTTGAAGGGACGATCTATCCAATTTTTTGAAATGGGACTTGAGAACTAATAAATGAGGTTGCCTACCTTGTTATTCCAACGCTACACTTGACAGTGCGGACTTGAAACGAGTTTGGCGTCGTGCCAGTGTGCGCTGTACACCACTCATGATCACTATGGCTGGCATGTAGCACGAGTGTGAGAGAAGCCGTGAACATGCATGTCAGGCGAGGCCTTTCACCTTTTCGACGGTGTGCAGCCGCTGCTTCTAGAAGCTTCATTAATAGATCAACCTTGCGCAGAAACACTGCGGATCGATTTGTAACTATTTTATCCAACATTTATAGATGAATAAAGCTCGCTACCCCCCTAAAAAGAAATGGGATAACGGCCCGAGTCGCCGCCCCGCGGGTGCCTAACTGCGATTGATGACACCAAGAATTACTAGATATAGCATTAAACATACCCGATTTGTGCATAGGATCATAGGGTTGGATGGAGATCCATCTACTGAGGGTGGCCATAGACCTGGGGTCAAGATGTCGAGCTGAAATCTTCTCCTCCTTATTGGACCTTCATGACGAAGCCGATCAGTGCGTTCTGTGCCATGATCTGATGATCATGCCTGCCGCAGCAGAGGACCTGCACGATTCGGCCACCTCTCCCCAGGCCGTCCATTCACGCTGTGTCATGACACATGAAACATGTCTGCGGCACACGGTTCTGTGTCTCTCATTGGTGACACTTCCCATTTCGGAAGTCCCAAGACGCACCCTCACGTCTCTGTAACCGTGATATTATGCGAGATGTCGAACGGAATCCTCCAAGCGTCCAACCCCAGAACCTCATTTACTATGGTAAGCCTCTATAAATTATAGTATATATCAAGACACTAATGATAGTCTCCTCTGCCACTGGACTCAGGACAGGCGAAGTGGCAAAGGCCGCAGCTCAACGACCCCCTTCAACGTCGTCCTATTCGGAGAGTCTGGAGCTGGAAAAAGTTCCATATTAAACATGCTCTTGGGCACCAACGTAGCTGCTGTCTCCGGCGGGGCGACGGGATGCACGTTCGAAAGTACAGGGTACGACATCTCCATTGACGGGACATCATTCCGTGTCCACGACACGGTAGGCCTAGAAGATGGCGAGCATGGGCGAATTCCAACTTCCAAAGCCATCGTCCAGCTCTACTCCCTGCTGCGGCGCCTGGAGGGAGGCATCAGCCTGCTTATATTCTGCATGAGAGCGCCACGAGTGAAGGAGAGCGCCAAACACAATTGGATCCTCTTCTATGACATCATATGTCAATGCCGAGTTCCAATTTCGATCGTGGTGACGGGCCTCGAGCAGGAGCGGGACATGGATGGGTGGTGGAAAGGAAACGAAAAGACATTTCGACAGTATGGCATGCATTCTCATGGACACGCTTGCATCACCGCAATTCGAGGGAAGAAGAAGGCGAACGGCCAGTACTCCTTGCAACAGGAATACGACGAATCCATGCTCAAAGTCAAGAATATGATCAAGACATGCTACCAGGAGCAACCGAGGCCTGTAGAAAGAGTTCACTGGTTCCAAAGGGTGGTCTACGAGACGACATACGAGCATCATTGCTGGGGGACGGAGGTGATAAAAACGAAGGTTGGCGACATGAAGGGAGCTGTGGACGAGCTCGTTGATCGCTGTGGTATGCCAAAGAAGGATGCAGAGGCGTTGGCCAAGGAGCTCAATAAGATTAAGTAAATTGGTAGCTGTGGGAGCGTTTTCCTCTTTCTATGTATTCGCAAAATCATTCATCCTATAAGGCCCGGCGCTATATGTACAAACTTTTGGCACTTGAAATATCCTGCGATGAGTTCCTGCAGCCAAATATTTGGCGATCAGTACCTCCGCTAAGACAGACTGAAAGAACCGTTAAATAAGAGAAAGACCCAGTATGAGGGAGGACTGAACGATTAAATCAGAGAAAGGCTCAGTAGGAGGGGGGCGGCCCTCCAAAGGACGGACAAGATGGTCGTGGATGCTTGGAGACCCGCTGACGAGCCAGTAGACTTGGGTACAATTGCTGTCGCTATGAATGGCCCATTTTCACACTTGAAACCAAGCGTGTCCTGTTCACCCGGTGCAAGGGTGGTCGGATCGCAAAGGACGGTCGTCGCCTCGGCAGATTGGTTGAAGGGGTGAATGGTGACGTTCTGAACGGAGATAGAAAGTGCTGGGATGAAAATGACTGGTTGAAAATGTGTTTGAAAAGCAGAGCGACGAGCGCACCTGTTTCCGGGTATAAATCAAAAATGATTCCTTTGGTTGTGTCGATACCCGGAACGTAGTTCCAGCAGGGGTCGCTGATGCAGCTGCCGTCGGCTGTTTGTGAGAGGTCAGTACGCGAGACACCTCAGAAAATAGCTAACACACTCCAGTTGGTAGTCAAGCTTCCTGCAAAGTTTCTGAAGGTAATATTGGATATGTTCGTGCTCGATTTGTTGACGTTGTCAGGGCGAGGACCTTTATCCTTCAATACGTCATCAGCGGGCAACGACGTGCCAGATGCTCGAGACCCACTTGATCGTAATAGCTGTATCGAAATTGTGAGTACTTCATGAATAACTAGAGGGCCGAAAGGAATTCACTTCTGGGTGATAAAAATTCCTGTCGAGACATTGACCAGGGTGATGTCCTCCCAGGTAATGTTATCCGCCCACCCCCTTCCGCCCGTCCAGCTCTTGAACTGTTATGAAGGCGCGAGATCAGTTTATACGTCGAATGAGAGAAAGTTGACAACGCGCCCGAGCTCCATATACTGCACCGTCCATCGTCCAATTCTTGAAGAGCACGTTTTGAACGGTATGTTCGGCTCCGTTTCGTCCAAGAGAGCCTATGGAAAGGCCGTGCGACGAGAACCCACAGTATCCGTTCATGGCGACGATATCGCGGGCACCGTTGATGACAGACACGCAATCGTCTCCGTTGTGGCCATAATAGCTGAGAAATGCGATGTAAAGATGTGGTTTGGATGGACTGGAAATATCTCCTACCCATCGATGGTGATGTTTTGGCCAGACAGGTTGAAGCCATCTCTGCACAACGCCAGACACAATACAGTGATGGTACAGAAAGGAGACAGGATGGCCGTACGTATTGAATGGGAAACTCTGGAGATGCAATTAATAATGGGGTAACATCATATATTAGGAGACTTACAACGGTGTCGTCACGCGTCCCATTATCTGGCTTCGCGTCCACGAAATGATTTTCAACGCGGATATTCTTGCCAGGCAGATTCCAACCCCATGCAACGGGTTTGATGACTTTTAGTCCGCGAAGCAAGCCGTTTGTGACATTGAAGGTGGCGAGTTGAGGACGAAGGGTCTAATGAACGCAGAGACCATCAGTGAGACGAGACGGTCTTGAATTGCAATGACGTGCTCGGTTTCCGATATCCCACCATTGCTGCCCATGGCCGTAGAACCTTCCCCATTCGAAGTCGTCTGAGCCGATGATCTGGACATCTTCACCTACAATGTAGAACCACGGGGTGGCATATGTCTGCGAACCAAGATTCCAGAACGATGATGCGGAGACAGAACGGCTGCTTACACTTGGCTGATTGAGGGTGGCATTAATTGCTTGCTGCACCTGGGTTATGTTGTTTGGAAGGTTGAGATTACCTTCAATATGAACGGTGACGTTTTCTAAGGAAGAATATCAGCTTAATGCCGAAGGAAAGTTTGGGCCTTCATACTTAGATTTGCCAGTGTCACTGGCGTGTAGACGCTGTAGTTAGCCCGCTCGAAGAGGATGATTGAGTCCAAAGCACAATCAGTGAAGGCTTTGAGCAAAGCTGGGGAATCGTCGATCGCGCCATCATCACTGTGCTCGACTGTGCACTCAGCTGCGTTCGCCCTCTCAATGGCACCAAAGACAGATGAAAGCAAGAGGAAGAAGGGTGCTCGCATGGCTGGAGTCATCCTAGCGGACGGAAGGGTGAAAAAAGCAACGGCCAAAACGCCAGAGCATTATAGGTTCTGGAAGATGTGGGCTGGCGGGTTCGTGGCCCGCCTCAAGGGTGCTTGGCTCTGCGAACATGCCGTCATGGAGGTAAGGCGCGAGAGACTTTACCACAACAGAGCATCACATGGGCAGCCTCGCTCAGGTGAAGCCAAAAGACAGGACAGCTATCCGATGTTTATCCTTCGCTTGAACAAGTTGTTGAGGTTCATGTTAGGCAACAACTGTCATCGTGGAGTTGAAGTCGCACGGCGGAGTGCACCGGCCCGACCGGCCCATCTGCCAACTCGCCAACTCGCACCTGATAGTCGACAGGGCGTGTACTTGAAGTCGGTGCATATATCAACCATCCACCACGCAGAAAAGAAATGACTTTACTATAGCATCAAAAAGAAGACAATGAGGGCTTTTGAGACACAGCTAGCAGCTTTAGCTATACCTCGGCACTCTCCACCCATCGCTCTACAGAAATTGGGAACGTTACTATAGGAGTTGACTGATGTGAGGCGATAGTTAACCCACGAAAAGAAATGAGACACACCGGGACTCCTGGTATCAGTCCGGAACACTATCATACTCCAGCCCTCTACTTTCATCTTCCTGTGCCACTTTCGACTAATTTTCCAACTGACAGCGTTTTTCTGGTATAAGTCAATTTCGTTCTGACCGAGGAAGATTTGGAATCGCGCGTTCTTCATCCTGGAGTTACCGTTAAGGACGGCTGACAAGTTGTTGATGATCCCAACGGGGTGATAATCCTGTGAGGGATCGAAGAATAGCAAAGCGTGTATTTTGCCGATGTTGCATTCGGCCCCCGGAAGGAGGAGCGCATCGCACTCGCATCTCATTATGTCCTCAATCGCGGTGAACTCAGGCGATATCCCAACGGAAAAAGGGACAACATCCGCAACCAGAGCCAGGATTACTTCAAGCTCAGCTCGCCATCCGCCCAGGTGCACTTTCCTCCGAGGTATCCTTCTGTCGATCTCCGAGACTGGAACGGGAAGGTGTCCGTTATAAGGTTCCACGTCACAGAACAACGTATCTGACACCACGGATTGCAAAAAGTCGCCCAGCCAATGAGAGGGAAAACCAACACGGTGGAGGTGTGTAAGAAGGTGGATGAAAGCTCCGAGATTGTTTGGCAACGCTATCCATTTCGTGTCGGGGATCATCCGCTTGCCATTAGACAAAGTGCAGAGTAGGAGATGCGCGAGCCATCGGTGCAAGTCGTCTTTGGATGCCAGCTCATGCAGGGCACGCGGAAGAGGGAGTGATTTGAGAGCCATATGGTTACCAACAGGGAATGTATGAGAGAGAACGGAGCAGCCTAAAAAGCGAGGGAATTGATCCGCTCGTAGAAGGACATAGCTAGAAGTGCAGTAGATGAGCGAGCACGATATCCCTCTGTGATAGGGAGCTTCTTACTTGCAGCAAAAGTGATCCATTGATTTGTAGTGGCCCATACTAACGAGACAGTTGGACATAGCCAATGAATCTTGATCCAAGAAACGCGTCAAATGGATACCCGTGTTTAAGAATCCATGCGTATAATCCCTATAGGAGTAAGATGCGTAAGACAGCATTCCGGCCCACCAGAAAGAGTTTACGCACGGGACATTGCTCAGCCAAATCGTCTTGTATTCCTCTGGAGGGTTGGGGGGTCGATGTCCCAGATCGCCAGCCATCAACTTTGGCACACCAGTTATCACGTCCTCAGCGAGCAACTCGATCTTCAAGGTTTCTCTGAAAGGCTCCAGCCCCTCGATTACGAGCTCGAAGAACCGGGCGTAGGTGTCGAAACCCGACTTGCGCGTAATGTCAGTGTCGCATTCCATTGAGCGCGGGCGTGGACGAGCGAACTGCCCGAAGGACATGAGCGTCGAGTAAGGCTCTGCAAGGACTTTCGGGTATCCGTGTGGGCCGCCAAATTGAGGATTGGCCAGCGTGTGGATATCCTGAGGGAGGGAGATGTCAACAAACGTGGAATGGATGAAATGATTGCATAGGATCCGCACGAAAATGACAGGATTGGGCTGCCAGGTGTCTTCAACCTCCCTCCTGGCAGCATTCCAAGCATCGGCCGACGTATTGTCATCGTCGTAGGCCTTTACAAGCTGGTATACCGCTGGGTGTCGAGCTTTCAACAGCACCTCTGGAGGTAGCAGGATCTTGAGGCGATGATAGATTACAGCCTCCACATGTGGGCTGTAATACGGATATAGATACTCTGCCGGTACATCCTCCGCTTCATACGGTCGATAATGTTGGTCTTTGCGAGCGACTTCCATTTGACGGTTGTTGAGCTGCATTTGATGGTGATTTAACCACTCCTGGCGATTCAGGGGTTTATGTGACTGCAAATCTGAGAGGTCTTTTGAAGCCTTGTCCGCGCCGATGTTCCTTTCAAGCAGTGCCTTCGTCGTTTTGAGGAGTGGCACTGACCAATACCGGAGAAGCTCCAGGGTTGCCGGAAGTGTGCGCTCATTAATGTAGATCCCCTTGGTCAGAACTTTTTGTCCGCCCTCAAGCTCCGATACGATATTCTTGACAGTATCCTGGAATCTACAGGGCTGTAAGCACGACCGTAAATTGGCCACGGAATAGACTTGGTCGACTCACATCATGCGACAATACTCTGGAACAAGGATCGAAGTTTGAAGGAAGAACAAAGTGGCATAGAATTCTACCCGTCTTGCATGGTGTTGTACGCCTCGAAGCTGGAGCACCTTGCGGAAGAGACCGAACATGACAATCGTGCGCGCCAGCATTGCTGGATGAATGTCTACAAGCGTGAAATGGACATTCACCGAGTCAACTGGAGTTTCGTGGAGTTGTCTAGTGAATATGTGTCCCAAGTCTGCCAACGTTGCGTAGACATGGCGCGCTGTAAGTCATTTCAGACATGGAGTCAGAGAGTAAACGCAAGATGTACCATCGCCGGATCCTCCGAAGAGAAATGACCACTCTAGAATGCCATTGTCGGTGAACTGGAAAAGTCTCCTTCGCATAAACTCGAGGTCGGCTTGGGTCTGGTCTGAGAAGCCGTAGGCCAAGGAGCGGACCTTGTCGTGGCCGAACTATCATGGCATCAACGTGAGTGTGCAGAAAAGTGGCAGAACAAAAACATACTTTGAAAAACTCGAGTGTCGGATCGCTAGGCAGAATTGTGTTTGCCGAAATGCGAGGATCAAGAGACAATCTACTCACCTGGACGATTTGAAAATTGCTAGATCCCTCAATCGCTTCGCAGCAGCCAGGTTCTTGCTGCACCAGGAAACGTCGTGTTGCAGGTACGTATCACGGACAATCTTCCACTGCTCCCAAGCAGCTTTCATCTCCTCTACCTTGGAATCTCCTTCGTCGCGTTTCAAAAAGGCGAATCGCTCCATATCGAGTTCATAAATGTCCGTAAGGCGCTTCTGAGTGTCATGCGATCCATTTGTTGATGTGGTGACTAGTGGAGTAGGATGTACAGGGACCACCCTACTGCGGAATCCATGCAACTTTGCCCTGGCTAATCTTGTTGCCAACTTGATCGCAAGAGTATTGGAAGCAGGAGGGCTTGTCGGTTTCCCGTTGACGGTGTTTTGAGCGCGGAGCATCTGCCATGCTCGAATGGTGGCCTTGACGCAGGAGACGTATTTTCCTCGCTCGTATAAAGCTGCGCTTTGATTCGACGCGTATTTTGGTTCATGAGGGTCAAGTTGGGATGCCTAACGACAATGGTTATGAGTGGGAACTTGAACCTGACACGTCTCTGAGCTCTCACCTCTGCAAAACAGCCTTGAGCTCTGGAAAGTAATACCGTCAGGTCACCTGGGGCTCCACGAAAGAGTTTGGAAGGAGATTAAGACTCACTTTAGAAGGTCGTTAGCTCTATAAAACCCGTTTCCCTTGCTGTTCAACGCTTCGGCAGCCTGTCGAACTTGCTCTGGAGACATAGCAAGGTCGCTTGTAGTCAACGCTCGAAGTTCGAAGGGTGGAAATGCGCAGAATTTGAATGAAAGGGAGACAATAAATGTGGCATCTTTGTTGGTGGTTGGGCCTTGGAATTGTGGACCAGGACAAAGACAAGATGGCCTCGCCAGATTGGGTGGCTGATCAGTCGATCATGGCCGAAATCGGCATAGGCGTACATAATGTGATTGGCTGGTCCTTGATTTCGTCAAAAATAGTGCTTCCTGTGCGAAGTTGCTCGGCGTCTGCTTTTTGGAGACTACTTGCCCTCCAGGTCCCGGTCGTCGTCCATACCCGTCCTTCGCTCCGCCCTTGCCATCGTGTCGCTGTCCCCCTCGCCGTCCCGCCATGTGCATGACGCAAATGTTCCCATGTTCGGCACCGAAGCTGACTGCCACTCTTCAGAGTCAACAAGCCTCAAGAGTGACTTCCATCGCTACCATTGTTACCCCCTCGCATTGAATGCCAGTTGCAAGAACTCAGAAACATAAGCCAGCAAGAGCAACAAACAGTAAGAAGCTGTTCTAGTCTTGCAATGTAATAAACTAATCCTCTTGACTCTCGAGGTCGCACTCGAGGTCGCACCAGCACAAAACCTACACCCTCAAAGTCCTTCCTCAACTCTCTTCCAACAGCGAGAAATGCCTCACTGAACGATTCTTTGCTTATCCATGGAGAACCAACAGCGAACCAGTTCGGACTCGGAACACGCGACAGGGATCAGCTGCGAGAACGACCCGCGGTACATAGAGTGGTCAAGCAGATGATCCAGAGAGGGGAGCTGGGTCCAAATGGAATAGAGCAAGTCGCAGCTGGTGGAATGCACTCTCTTATCCTTGATTCATTAGGAAGGGTGAGCCGCAGCCTGCGAACGTTGCTCGTTGACTAAACATGTGCTGATGAGAATAGGTCTGGTCCAGTGGGTGCAACGATGAGGATGCTCTCGGTCGCAGAGTGGAGGTTCAAGGCGAAGATGCAAGCGAACTAGAGGCCAAGTTTGCCCTCGTAGAAGGCCTAGAAGGCTTTAGAACTGTGAGAATCGCGGCCAGTGACAACGCCAGTTTCGCCCTCAACGAAAAAGGCGAGCTCCGAGCTTGGGGAACATTCAAAGCCGTGGGTCCGTTTGTGTTCAAGCACCAATCAGTATCATTTGAATTTCTTTGCAGAAGAAAAGCGGAGACCGAGGGTTTAGCTATGAGCACAATCTCGAACGCTCCTTGAAACCCATCGCCTTCTCCGTCTTCGTCAAAGACCTCATTTCGTCAATATGTTGCGGGCACAATCATGTGCTCGCTCTGACGGCCTCTGGGCGTGTCTATACATGGGGCACGCCAGAAGATGGCCAACTTGGGAGGAGGATTCTCCCCCGGTTCCAATCCTGGACATACCGGCCCACACCCATAATGCGCAACATCGTGGCCATCGGATCTGCTGCCTCCACGTCATTCGCAGTGGATAAGGTTGGGAACGTCTATGCCTTCGGAAAGAATTCAGAACGGCAGGCGGGCGTTGACGGCGAACGTAACATCATCGACGTGCCAACACCGATATCCGCCCTTCACCCGCTGCAGCACGGTGGTGCTCGCGTTGTACAGATTACAGGCGGTGACGAGCATTCCGTGTTCCTGTTCGACAACGGGCAGATGTGGACCTGCGGCTGGGCGGATGACTTCCGGCTCGGGCTCTCTCTTGAGGCGCTGATGAAGTACATGGCTCCAGGGTCGGACCTAGCGACTCGCCGCCCGTGCGTCTCGTTGTCCCATACGAGGCAGGGCACCCCGAACCACGAATCGTGGCAGTATCCGCTGGTCCGCGATATACGATCTGTTGTAATAGCGAGGGCGTCCCATATTCGTGGGGATGCGGGGTTTCGCACCAGCTTGGGCTACCTGGAGCATCAGAGATCGCAGAAGTGCCTACGAAGATCACGAGCGAGGACCTCGAGCAACGGCGAGTACTCCAGATAAGCGCCGGCGGCGAGCATGTTATGTTCATGTAAGTCATTGCACTCTCTTTCTCTACCACAACACACTGACCTGTGTTCATCGGCTCTAGAGCTCGGCCTACGTGAGGCTAAGGTGCAAATATCAGCGGATGAGAGAGTAATTATCTTCGTCGATGCCTCGTGTAAATTATCAGTAAGAGTAAGGTCGAATTCTAGTCTTCGAGGCATCAGGGTGAAGACGGCCAAAGGTTCCTTGTTGGACGCATAACCCCAGCGCGCAGATGAAGAGTCTGTGACTGACATTTGCGTTGACTACGAGCCGTCATAAAGGTAGCATGGGCGTTCGAAATTGCATCGAGCATTCGATCATCGTTCAATGTTACAGCATCGACTAATTCAGGCCATCCCCGTCGATCCAAGGTGTTCGAGGGACGCATTCTGGAAGCTTGCTGGAATCCACAGCCTGCTCTCTGCCAAGCTCATGAGTGTCATTCGTCTATTTCATAGTTCTGGCGCATTCATGCCTGTCGTTCGGCCCAGCTTACACCTTTCTGGATCCGTCGAAGAACGACTTTCGATCACCTGGAGAACCGGAGGCGAGAGATTTGACAGTGAGCCTCTCCAACCGAGGGATGGCATCGGCCCATGCGGAAGACGATATCTCCGTGGTCTCTCCGTGACAGATCAGCAATTCGGAGGTGTAGAAAGAGATTGTGTGGTGTGCAGGAATCTCCGGAAACAACTCCCTAACCGCAATGGTGGCCGACTTTCGAGCGAAAGGCCCGAGATTCAGTTTGAAGTGTTTGCGAAGGCGGGTTTTATAGGCACTACGCACCAAATGCGATGCAGGGCGCTCTGCCAGCACTTGTTTCTGCTCGTAGGTGTAAATGAAAGTCTTCGAAGGTCCCGCACCCATCGTTTGTCTGAGTCCACTGTCCAGTATCAGCGGTAGGCTTCAAACCGGAAACAGGAAGACTCACAGCTGAATGTGGAACTGCTGATAAGAGATGGTGAGCGCCCAACGATAACGGTGGTGGTTGTAAGCAAACCGATGGCCCGACAAAGTCCCACGCACGTCCCGCAAACGATGTGCCGAGCTTTTAATGGACTTTTGATTAGGTAATCCACCGGCGCTTAATTTACGTCAGGCATCGCTCTCATCGACTGAGTACTGCTAGAAGCAAAATAATCACGTTCATCGAGGTAAAGCACAGGAAAGGCATATCGGACGTTGAGACGATTAACAACTACTGTGTGACACGGCAGCTTCGGTTCCAGATGAGGATCATTGGCACCTCTACCGGGCCGACTGGCATGTATAACAGAATGTAACAGACCGACAGATCGACAGGAAAGGAAACCTATCAGCCAACGCAGGTATAAATACGTCTGCCTTAGGGAGTAGAATCCTCATTCCAAAGACACTTGCCAGAACATAACGAGCAACCGCTTCAACACAATGTCTGACAAGGACGACAGGGCCCATGCTCAATGGGTCGTCATCGTCCTCCACAACGTTGGCTCGCAGCCTTTCAAGATCGCAAACCTCAGCTTATCCTGGGGAAAGCTATACGCCGACGGTAAGCCGCTTTGTCGCAGTCGACCTGTGGGTAGCACTCACCGTTGTCCTCGATAGGCAACAAGGACGCCGAGGTCTATCCCGACAAATACAACGGCATGAGTGTTGGTCCCGATAACAAGGTTCAGATCAACTCGTGTGGCAGGGCGGACTCTTCCTCCGGCACCGAGGGATCTTTCGACATTGTCGACCCCAACGACGGCAACAGGATCATACGCAGCTTCTACTGGGACTGCCCCTGGGGAAGCAAGGCCAATACATGGAACCCCACCGGTAGCAACACCAAATGGATGATCGAGTGGTCTGGCCAGAACTTGGATAGCGGTGCTCTTGGCACCATCAGCGTCGATGTCCTGCGCAAGCCGTTCTAGGTAGGTACATCCCGGAGTTGTTCGCTATGCCTCTATTGACGGAAAGAATAGATTCAAACCTGTTGTACGCGAGGAGATTGTTAGCAGAAGGTGACGACGATAAACGAGTAAACACACATAGTTTTGCGTCTTCCGAGTCGTAGTAGATGTCTGAGTAGTAACGGAACGTATTTCGTGGTTCGTTACATTTGTTATCCTGTGGAGACAGATCAGCGTCTGCGGTACACTGGCAACTCCAGCACATCTGCCTCACATCTCCCTTGGAGAAAAGGTATGCAGATGGCCAGGCTTGCCTACTTGTAGAGTGCGATGAGGTTTGACAGCACATACAGCGAATGCTAGACTACCCCTTTGGCAGCGAGGACAGTAGGATCTGAAGTCCAACAGCTTCACCTTATGGTGTTTATTCTCAAGAATTCCAAGTACGTTCAGAATAAAGCCAGGCCAACAGGAACGACCTGCTAGTGCAGAAGAATTCCTGGGCTTGACACAGATACGCTTGCAGCGGCAAATTGCACGGGGACGCCTGGAGAGTCAACGCATTCCCGACCATCGTCCTCTTCGCTCGACAGGTGTCAAAGACGGGGATGTCGACGCCAGCGACTATGAGGACGCGGCCGATGGAACCAGCGCAGGGTTTGATCTTGTCGTTCTCAATAGCTAGAGAAGGACATTCGACACTTCTACTGCCCGTTGAGAGGCAAGTGCAACACGTAGACTGTCGGAAGGTCGAATAGCGTATGGTTTGTTGATTACCCTGGCCAGAACTTGGAGAATAGCACATTCGTTACCATCATAATTGCGATCCTGCTTGACGAAGGACACGAAGGGCAAAAGGACCTGAGTCAGCCAAAAGGCGGTCCGATTAGGGCCAATAGAGACGAAGTTGAATGATAGATCGCGCTCGAGCTGAGCATTGGAACCATGAGTCTTCGCAAAGGTAGGGTGAAATCTATATTATAAGCGAACCGGGGCACCAAGAGTAAAAATGGGTAAGCGTGTATTCAACAACATATGGAATCTGTTTGGAATAATCAACCAGGGGTTGAGGGCGAAATACGGTAATGACGCACCTCATGACACGACTGCAGGATCACTTTTTTGATTTGGGCTTTGGCCGCTCCCTCTCCACAATATTCTCTGCCTTCATCACTGTAGACATGTCCTCCATCCATTGCGTATCATCCAAGTCCGCCCCCAGCTCCTCAAATCTTCTGCTGAACCTGCCCATGCGACCAGTAGTGCTGCTCTCCTCCTCAATCGACCTGTCACTCGGATTTCCCGTGTTCCAGTATGGGTTGTTGGTAGTATCACGCGTCAACCGAACCAGGGACTTGGGCGACGTCGTCCAGTGCGTGAAAGAGGTGCCGTCGGAGCGAATGACCTTCTGCGGGAACTTCGGGACCACGGGATTTGGGAGAATGGGTGCCCGCCGTTTCCAGACGTGTGTGCGGCCATATGGCGAATTGGACACGGAGCGGCAGGTTTGATGTTTAGGTGGGCATAATATCCGGGCTTTTGTGCCCATTAGGCGCCGCCATGACGTTGCTAACATCGTTTGTCGTTGCAAAAGAACATTGGACGGGAAAAGCAGGCGTTGTTGTCCACCAGCTTTGATGACAAACATTGGCCAGCCGGGCCGGAATTTGATTCTCCTGCGCGAGTGGTCAATCGAAACGATCTAGAAATCATGGAACGACTATGAGTCCGACAAGGTAGACAGATGGTTGCAATTTCATGGAAATAATTGCTATTGACATCACATGAGAAATGGGGTTAACATGGACGCGAAGGCGATAGCAGCAATTGTTGGCGCAGTGGTGGTGGTAAGTGGTTAAGAGACGATTCATTATTTAGCGCCCGTCGAGAGGGCTTATATACCTACGTACAAAGTAGCTAGAATATTCTGATAAATACTATACTAAGTAAATTGTCCATAAAGAAATAACTAGAATAAACGAGAAAGTACACGACGAGTCGAGGAGCGACTCATCGAGGTGGAATGTCCGAGTACGGACTGCCGGCGGCCCGGCCCGCCGATTCCAACACTCCCCCTTACTCGGACAGAACACCGATCCTATGAGTAAGGTCTTCATGCTGTACCCTAGGTAGTCCCTTTGTAAATAGATCGGCTAGATTGTCCTTGGTATTGATGTACACGAGATTAAGAGTCCTGTGTTGTACGAGGTCGCGCAGGAAATGAATTGCAATGTCAATGTGCTTCGTCCTCGCGTGAAATTCGGGATGGTGCGCGATCGCAATCGTGGCTTGATTGTCCGAGAAGATGGTCAAAGTCTTCTCGAGTGGGAATTCAAGTTCTTTAAATAGTGATCGATGCCAAAGAACTTGCTTCACCATGTGCGTGGCAGAGACATATTCGGCTTCTGCAGTTGAAAGTGCTACGGTATGTTGCTTCTTCGAGCTCCACACAATCGCACCGCCAGCCATCGTGACCACATATCCGCTGATCGATTTTCGGTCCGCGTCAGATGCCCAATCAGCATCGCAATAAAAGTTGAGTTCTTCATTTAAAATTTCGTCGGATCCGCCATAGGTAAGCGCGTGATGTTTCGTTCCTTTGAGATAATGGAATACCCATTTCACGGCGGTCCAATGCATTGGTTTCAGGTTGTGCGTGAACTGCGCAAGCTTATTTACAGCATAAGCTATATCTGGGCGTGTTCCAATCGCGAGATACATTAAAGATCCAATGAGAGTTGCACAACTATGCATGCCTCTCAGATCAGGCTCCTCCTGTTCGTTGGACTCGTCCTCCTCGAGTTCTGGATCATTCAGCTTGACATTTGGGTCCAGTGGCATCGTTACTGCATTCGCATTCTCGAGTCCAAATTTTATAAGGAGTTTCTCGATAAAATGCATCTGGCAAAGCGAAATAAGATGGTTCTCCTGGTGTACTTTGATGCCCAGGAGCATTGAGGGTCGTCCCAATGATTTGACCTTGAATTTGGTGTGTAGTTCTTCTTCTACATGGTTGTTTAAGCTGTCAGAGGTAAAAATAAAAATAAAATCATCGACCCATACAAGCAGGATCGTGAATTTGTCGCCATTTCAATGAATATAGCAACAATAGTCAGTCTTGAGTTGAATAAACCCCATGTCTGCGAGCACTTTATTCAGCTCGTGGTTCCAGACATTTCCTGCCTGTTTGAGTCCGTAGAGTGAGCGAATTAAAAGGCATACGAAGCCTGTACCATCGTCATAGCACGGCGGCTGCATCATATATATAGTTTCGGCTAAGCGCCTGTGCAAATAGGTGCCCTTCACGTTGAGTTGCCGTAGCTTTAAATTGTGGACAGCCACGAAAGCGAGGATAGTGCGAAGTGTTTCAAATCGCATTACTGGTGCGAATGTGCCATCCTCATCGTAGTCTGTGCCTGGTTTCTGAGAGAAACCTTGTGCTACGAGTCGTGCCTTGTATTTGATGACGTTTCCATGCTCATCTCGCTTTTTGGTAAAGACCCATTTGCATCCTATTGCTTTTCTTCCCTCTGGCAATTTTACTGTATGTAATCAGGAACCTGGTCACACCAGGAAGCTGGTCACCTTGCATTTTCAACGTCCACGACCACTGCTACCTCCATTCTTTTTGCATAATTTAAATTTTTGAGGTCACAACATGGAGTGTATAACATTTTTGTGAGAATTAAGCAAGTTGTATGGATGAAAGAGCTGTATTTCTGGGTGTGTGAACATGTGACAGAGGAATTTCTTATTTTGGACCTACTTCCCTCAGATGAAATGGCAGCTCTCTCGTCGAAGAGACTAGCTACTCACAAAATTCTTTCTGAAATGTAATTCTGAGCTCCTTGCCTTTATTATTCAGCACAAATAGTCTTTCTGTCCATCCCTTATTCTCTGTCATCTGCCTGCCAACAAGATGTATCAAATTTGGGACCTCATAGAAACAACAGTTGACTATGATCTCATAGATATCTTCTGTCACTCAACGGGGTGTTAAAGCGATGGAAGATTAGTTATGTAACGTATTCCAAGTATTAAAGTAATTTTACGAATTTATCTTGGGCTTCAATTGACTCATAAGTTGAGTTTCTGCCTTTTTTGACCACTCCTGTTCTCGGTAAGAATTTCTCACCTATCGGTGGAAATATAAGTATATTAACTGTAGAAAGAGCTTTGGGGTATGCCGAATATTGTGTATCATGCATTTTATCTGGAGTAAATTGGACAACTCAATGTCGAGAACAATTCTACGATGGTGACCAGGATCCTGGTCACCATTTATCTTATCTCCCGCTTAGGCAGCACTATTGAGTCCAGTCAGGGTCACTACAATTTGGGATAGTCTTGGGGCCTGACCAGCTTCCTGGTTCGGCATCGGTTCGGCACACTCTTCAGCAAAATATTCGTAGAATGTGAGGAAGGCCTCCTAAAACAATGAAATTTCGTACATACATACCCAAGATGTTTATCTATAGGGCTGCATACACTTGATAACGAGAAAGTGTCTACTTCGAAGGCAATTCTAACTGCACTGTAAGGTGACCAGCTTCCCCATTACATACAGTACTGTAATGACCTGAACAGAGGGGGGGACTTGGCCTCAGCATGCTCTTGTGCTGTGCCCCTACACATCACCTGGTTGTCCCCAATTTACAGGAACTGCCTTGGTCTTGACAAAGGAGAGACAAGAAGAAGTCATCCTGGCCAAGGCCCAGGAGACAGAGGATGAACAACAGAGCAGAGGGGTTGTCAAGGTTGAGATTCAAGCTGGGGAATCCAGTACACTACCTAGCTACTTATACTATTGAGAACAATGGAGAAGATCTAGGTTATGTAATGAATGCCAGCAGAACAATGACAGAGAACAATGAAGACAATAATGAATGAAACAATGAAAGTAAAGCCCATTGAAGAACCAGAACAATGAACAATGGAACAATAGAACAATGGGTTCAGGCATGGGATGTGACAAGTACCTTCTTCCAGGTTTTCATTGCTCTCAGGGTGGCCATTTCTTCGTCCATGGCTGCCTTCCATTGAGGAGCTTCGCTTCCTGCAAGTGCTTCCTCCAGAGTTCTTGGTAAGTCTGGTTCTTGAGCTGAATTTGAGAATTCTGCTTCCTCCAATAATGCCTCCCTTAACTTTTCTATGGCTATGTTGGCTTGTTCTTTTGCCTTTGATTTTGCTTTAGATGACTCTGTGGGTCTGCTGACATCAGGAGGTGGTGAGGGAGTTGGAGTATAACAAAGATCTAATGATTTTCTGGCTGCAGGCTTTCTTGCATCAGGATTATTGAGTTTCTTGTAGTCAATATCCTTGTCTCTGGGTCGCAGCTGTCGTTTATCTTCATCTGAGTAATGCCCCTCATTATCTGAATCATCCACCTCAATTATCTTGGGCTCCCCGAGCTGTTTCTGCAGTTTCTTGGGCTGTTTATGTGGCGCTGTTTCCATATTTGGCTTGGTTTGCAAGTCCGGAATCATTCTCAACTCCCCCTCGGGCCGCAAACCGGGAATTTTCGTGTTGAATGGATCTTTCCATGGTTCTTCGTTCTCATTAAAGACAAAATTTCAGGTGACTTTGATGTTCCGGTGCTGTGGGTCATAATACCGAATTGATTTAGAACCATCATTAAAGCCTACAAGAATCATTCTCCTTGATCTGGCTTTAATTTAGATAGGTTTTCGGTTTTGTCAAGTACCCACACATCAGATCCAAATTCCCATAAGTGAGAAACATCTGGTTTTGACTTGTGCCACACCTCGTAAGGGGTTTTCCCTTTAAGCACCCGTGTTGGCGCCCGATTGCGAAGATAATTCGCATACACCACTGCTTCGTTGATGAGCTGGACCGCTCCCTGACCCCGGTAAATCCCTTTTTTTTCGACTTTCGTCATCGCATTCCCGTCCTTCCCTCGATCCCGACACCTTTCCCATTGAGCCATATGATTCCTCGACGCACCCGGAGACCCTCAGCCAGAACATCAGCAAGCCCCGTGATCGGCCCACATGGTTCCAGTCGAAGCGAAGCCTCGACGCGCCACCCTTGCCATATCAAGACCATCAGCGCAGTCGTCCGTTGCGTCCCCTCGTCATTTGATTAATTTTTATCATTCTTATTTATTTCTGTGGAAGATTTTCTCTTATTCTTTATTCCTGCAGCCCGGTTTGGAGAAATACCTCACCGGTGCTCCTGTTTTACAAAATGTCTGTACTTACTCTTTTCCCCCAATAACATACAGTTCCTCGTCTCATTTGCCCACTCAGGGCACTCGTACCTTGCCCTCGTCTCCCGTACACCTTCCCTCGTCACTCTCAGCCTCGTTTCGACCCGCCATTTCGACCCACCATAGCCCTGTCTTTCGATCTCGCCCTCATTGTCATTCCGTTCCCACGCTGAGCGCCCACTGTCATCCCCCGTTTGCTGGTCATGTGTGCCCACTGGTTAGAGCCGCACAACCACGGAACTGTCCTCGCACCTCAGAGCCACTCATTGCGGTGTTTTGGGTGTGTGTTTCTCCTTTCCCTTATCCACACGATCACCCCACCGTAGGCACATCATCGTCCCACAGAAATAAAGGCATATTTTTGGCAATTAGCATCGCACATGCTAATTCCAACATGGTGTGGTTAAATCTTTCCGCAACTCCGTTTTGGGCTGAGGAGTAGGGTGCCATGGGTTCCAGTTCTATCCCGTGCTCTGCCGCCCAATCCTTCACACATGAATTCACAAATTCACGCCCGTTGTCAAATCGCATCCACTGGGGATAGCGCCCAAATTGGCGCTCTACCTTCATGCAATGCTCTTTGATGTGCGAGAAGGCTTCTGTCTTGTCCTTTAAAAATAGAACATGACTATGCCAGGTCGTGTTGTCCATGAACGAGATATAATATTTGAATCCCCCTATTGACTTTACTCCTGCAGGTCCCCACACATCTGACATTACCCGCTCTCCAGGGGTCTTGGAGCGATGTGCGGCCTCCTGGGGAAAAGCCTGGTGAGCTTGTTTGGCTTGGATACAAGCTTCACACAATGGTGATGGGATTGAACTCTGGTCCACGGACATGCCGTTGACCAGTGCTTCTTGTTCTAATTTTTGCAATGATGAGATCGCGATGTGCCCAAATCTTCGGTGCCATTGATCCCAGGTGAGTTTTGTTGGCGTTGCTAGATTTGCCTTCTCCATGCCGGGTAACTCTGCCCGTGCATTCATTAAGTACAGCCTATTTGCTGTATGTCCCGTGCCAATTGTTGTGTCATCCTTATTCTTCAGGATGACCTTGCCTTTCCTAAAAATAGGGTATCCACCTGTTTCGTCAAGTCGGCTGACTGAAATAAGTCCGTTCAGTGCTTCTGGCACATGTAGAACATCACGTAATTGATGTCGGACATTTTTGCCTTCTACGGCAAAATTAACAATTATGGTTCCACGGCCCTTGGCTTGGGCTGGACTCGAGCTGACACCTTGGATAGGTGAATCCGTAAGGGGTCGATAGTCTGAGAATGCTTCACGGACAGGGAAAATATGCGACGTAGTGCAGGAATCAAGGAGCCAATCATATTTTGAGAATGTATATGTAGAATTTGCCATATACAATGTGTCGTTCAATGAATTATTGGCATCCTCGGCTGCTTGGTGTGTACGTCCGGCCCGATTCGGCCCTTTCCGGCCTTTCGGTCCCTGTCCCTCGCGTCCTCCCCCTTTCGCCCAGCAATCCTTTGCTAGGTGTCCCTTCTTGTGACAATTAAAGCACTCTGTATTCAGGCTAGCCTTGCCCTTGCCATTTCCCTTGGCATGCAGTGCCACACCACCTGAGTCACCTCGTTCCTTCCTTCTTCGAGCTTCTTCAATTAAAATTCCCACGACTTCTTGGGACTTGAGATCCGGTTTATTTCCGCTTGATCCCAGGAAGGACGATGTGTAATTATCCCAAGATTCCGGGAGCGATGTGATCAAGATCATGAGGAAGTCTTCATCGGGAATTTTATTTCCCATGACGTGTAATTCCTCCTGCATTTGCCTCAACTTGGCAATATGCTTGGCCATATCGAATCCTTCTTCCGCTGTTGCCCTGTACAACGCGTGCCTAGCAGCCAACACTCCGAGTCGGCCTTTGGATTCCTTGACCGTGGTAAGTTGATCCCACATTTCGCTCGCTGTCGTCGCGCCGAGTATGTGGACCATCTCGGCATCACTCACGGCTAATTCTATTCTTAGCCGTGCCTTGGTATCTCCCTCTCGCCATTTCTTCTGTGCGTCGAGTTCTGCTGTTGTCGGCGCGCTCTGATTGGCTGATTCTGGCTCTTTTGCATCCTTTGCAATATATTTGTCCAGTCCGAGGTCTATAAGCATTTCAAGCATTCGGCGCTTCCACGGCATCCAACTATGGGCCTTCAGTAGTTCCATTCGGTAGGAACCCGTAGTATAATCGGAGTCTGACATAATGGCGGTAATAATAGTAAACTATGCTGATAAGATGTAGGGAGATTAGAGGGCGATTGCAAATATGTAAGCGTGTCGCTATTGGTTAGGCCTCGGGGCCCATAACCTGTTGGCGCAGTGGTGGTGGTAAGTGGTTAAGAGACGATTCATTATTTAGCGCCCGTCGAGAGGGCTTATATACCTACGTACAAAGTAGCTAGAATATTCTGATAAATACTATACTAAGTAAGTAAATTGTCCATAAAGAAATAACTAGAATAAACGAGAAAGTACACGACGAGTCGAGGAGCGACTCATCGAGGTGGAATGTCCGAGTACGGACTGCCGGCGGCCCGGCCCGCCGATTCCAACAGCAATTGCTATGCCAGATCCAGCAGTAAAGGATCTTGCTCCACTAGTTGCAGTGGCGGTTGGGGTAGGAACGTCTGGGTCAATCGTGACGAAGGGGATGAGAGAACCAGTGTAGGTAGTTGTAAAAGTCGTGAAGAGTGTGGTAAATGATACAGGGTCGTCTGCAGCGTGACCAACTGGTTTGAGTTGAGCAATCTCCACCACGGCTACGCACGATCCACGCTGGCCGGGTATATCGAGCTTGCATGTTTCGTTTGTTCCAGGTGTAATCGCCTGGAAGCCACTGAAAATGCCTATACTGAGCGGGCGGACCTCTTGATATCTGGTAGCGTCTTGCTCAAATGCCCCTGGATATGAAAAATGGGGCGGCATTAATGAAATGCAGGAATACTCATAAACCAGCGCACCACACTGTGGGCACCGCCTTATATACTCCTAGAAAATATCTTAACCATCGAGAAGATATCAGGAATACATCGCATTCCGGGTTCGCGATTGGTCAATTACGATATGTTCTAAATATCATCTGGCTATTTCGCAGGATTTTATAAGACCGTGCCCACAGTGTGGCCAGTAAGCGTCACCGGCGCGGTGACTAGGTCACTCTGAGTCAATGGGACTCCAATCGGGTCTATAAGGCGACTCTCGACACGCTCGTAGCCATAGCGGGTCATGCCGCTTCCATCGGTTCCAATGATAGAGTAGCGATCTGTCGCCGCGACGAGGGTTGGTACGATGCCAAAGTCGCCGTAAGCAGAGTCCCGAGTGGCATCAGGCTGTTCGACAACGTAGAGGGTTGCGGGCCCCCCCGACTATGAAACGTAGAACATTTTCAATATTGCCCAAATCGTTGAAGAAAGAGCGAGATCCCATACCGAAATGAACTCCCAAGAGGAGGCTGAAGAAAAGAACCACCAGGATGGCAGGGACACCTTCACGAAAGGTCATGGCAGAGTTGGGGGATAATGCAACACAGATAGGCAACTTTATGAGTCCCTGCAGTCATGCAACCAATTCATGCCATCGTGATGACTGTCAGATTCGAGTAATCCAAGAACTGGCATAATTGACGTCGAGATTCACATCAACAGGTCAGCAGGCAGTTCGAGAACGCCCTTGTTCCGTCTGTCTGAGTAACGGACGAACGTTCGTTGCTTTTTAGGCGTCGGGGACGATAGCTTATTTACCGGAGTGTTGAGCCTCGACCGGGAAGACACGAAATAACTTAAAGGAAAGCACGCACTTCACAATATCTTATCGTACAAGCTGACTATGCTCTCGAGCCTCGTGAATGCACCTCCAGCCATGAGGTCCTCGGCGAACGACTCGAGGATGTTACGCCTCCATGATGTGCGACGTGCGTCGAAGTCGTGCACGAAGTGGCCAATTGTGGACCTCAACCAAGTTGAACCAATCGCGCAGGCAACGCCGCGGTGTTGTCACATAATTATTGTAGTCACAGTAAAAATAAATAGATGTGTCACTCCAAAGTCATGATGCCTTCCCTCCTTTGACTTCATGGCAACCCTTTTCGCCCTTCCGTTGCCTCTTTTCGCTGGGAGGCCTGGTGCCGAAACTTCATAACCAACACCTCGATATGATGAATACAGACCATATTGACTTTGTGGGTACATCCGCCTCCAGTAGTAGGAATTGTTAACACGCCACTTGTACATAGATGGTCCCAGGTCGCAATACGCCATGTATCCAGGCATCCAGGGCATAGCTAGCCGATCCTGACGCTGCGTCCAAAACGGCTAAATACGTCAACGGCAAGCTTGCGGTTGCCATCTCTAATAAAACTTCACGATTCAGAGCATTCCCCGCTTTCGCCATGCTATCACTACTTTGGAGCTCAAAAGAGCTGTGAAAAAACACAAATTCCTTGCAAATTCCTCGGGGCAATGATTCACGACTACCAACAGTCTGCCCCTGATGGCAGTGAGTCGCTTGCTCTCTCAGCAGACGATAAACTCTGAATCTTGGGGAATTAGGAACATTCCTCTACTATGATCGGCCGGAATACGATGTCTTCTGACAGATGATCTGAGAGTTAAACGTTTCAGTACACCTTCATCCTCGACTAGAGGCCGACCCGCTGGAAGACTTGTTGTATGCCCCTTGGCCGTCCCTGAGGGCTACCGCCCAGGCGTTTGCAGTCGGTCTATCCACTCGTGTTCTGGGGTACGTCATGATGGTTGTCCTATTCTTCTGTTCGCTGACGTTCATTCTAGGCTTTGTGTGAATGGGTTTTTGAGTAAGTTCTTGCGACTGCAGAATCAGGAAGGTATTTTTTTACCCTCTTTTCTCCAGCCGCTTCCCTAACATAAAGCTTATTGTCGGTTATATGGGTGAGAGGATCCCATCGTACCTGTACCGCTTCAATAAGGATACGTTGTCCGTGGTTCCAGAATCAAAATTTCTTCTTGAACCTTTTCAACCCTAGAACTCAGCTTCCAAGTTGTGCCGATAAAGCAGAACATAACCGCATATTTCAAGAAGAACATCTACCAAACCACCGGTAATTTCGCCACGAATCTCCTGAAGTTCCATATGGGTGAAATTGGCCTCGATCGTATCATGTATTCCACCGACTATCCACATGTGAGTCTACCTATCCTTCAGCCAAATTGGAATCTACATTTGTTGATAAGTCCGCGTCTTGGACGATGATGTTTGAAATTTGAAGGTGTATGCACCCGATGGCACGGCTTGGGCACGGCCTGGCTCGCTTCCTTGAACGTCACTTTGAATAAGCACGAGTTGGCTTCCTTGAAGAGGGAGGTAGCTATCAAGATTCTTCGTCTCGGCGAGTACTAGATCCGATTATTTCGATGTTACATATGTATGAATCCACCCCGTAAGACCTGGAAATGAGAATACTTACGTCTTCCAAATGTGCTCAACATATTCAATGTTTGAATCTCGATTTGTCGAGATGGCGTGAAGAAGCAAGATGGATGGAAGGGTCGACACAGGCGAATTCACACGAGCGGAGATAAGTAAGTCTTTCGTTGTCTCAACATCAACGTCGACCGCCACTACGACAGTCACGACGGTCAAAAGCAATGTCGACCCGCAATCTCACCAACGTCCCCGAAGAATCCTCCTCCCAAGATACCAATCCAGCCCCAGTACCACCCTCGCCAGGCCTCGCGACGTCACCAGCGCCGTCAACGCTGACATTCTCATCTGCGACTGGCTCGAGCCGAGCAGCGAGGAAACCCGCAAGCGTACGGACTCTAGGAAGGGCATCGAGCGAGCAACTGTCGGCAGGCAGCTCCTCGACTGTGAAGCGGGCGACCTCTGTCTCCGCCGCGTCGCAGACGAGCAGCAGCTCGAGCAAGACCGTTCGAGCGACAGCCTCGGTGCCCCAGGTGCCCCCAGTGCCTGACCGTCCTGTCCAAAAGTACCGCCTGAACCCACGTTTACCTCACGATAAAGATGCGGAGCCAGCTCCGAGCACGATCATGTACTGGAGTCGGGCGTCGGTATGGGGTGCTATCCCGATGAGGACGATGCGGGCCCATACGATGACACTGGTGGACACTACGGCATGGCTGATTGGAGGGTGTGACGACAAAGATAGCTCGAAGGACCTTTACTGCTTTAACACTGGTGCGTCCTTCGTCTCTGGTTCGGATGCATGTGCTCATGGTCTACAGAGACGATGCAATGGACCCACCACGATACAGTAGGCGACTTCCCGCCTCCATCGCGCGCACACACGACGACTTTCTTTGAACGCAAGCTGATCGTATGCGGTGGTGGGCTTGGTTCGACGTATTACGACACCGTCTACGTGCTCGATACGACTACGCGGCGGTGGTCGCGGCCGCACATCGCCCCTAACCCAAGCCCAGCACCCCGGCGAGCACATTCGGCAGTGTGCTACCGCGGCAAGGTGTGGGTGTTCGGCGGCGGGAATGGGCTCACGGCGTTGAACGACGTGTGGACCCTTGATGTCAGCAACAATGCAGGGGCAAGCACGTCGAAACCGATGCGTTGGGAAGAGGTGCAGACATTTGGGGTCAAGCCCGGCGCGCGGGGGTACCATACGGCAAACCTGGTCGGGAACGTCATGGTTATCATCGGAGGTAGCGATAGCAAGGAGTGCTTCACGGACGTCTGGTGTCTGAACCTCGGTATGTCTTGCAGGATTCCATCATCTACATTTTTTCAACGACTATCTAGATACTCTCGTGTGGACATCCACGATGAAGCCAGGCCAGCCATCGCACAAGCGCCTCGCACACACTGCGACGCAGGTCGGCTCCTACATATTCGTCATGGGAGGACATACGAGCACTGAATACGTCTCCGAGCTCTTGCTCTACGACCTTGGTCGGTCGCCTCACTCCTTTTCCGCACCCGTGCTAATGCTGCACCTCAGTATCCTTGCAATACGAACTGCGTCCTCACATGGTATTAGGAAAGCCGCCCTCCGCTCGAGGATATCACGAGACGATCCTCGCTGACAGCCGGCTCTTCCTATTTGGAGGATTCAATGGGTATACCGCCTTCGACGACGTCCACATCCTCGATCTCGCAGCTGGCGCATATCTGCCGCAGGTTACGAGCTTCTCGATGGGCTCAGCTTGAATGATGCTCGGCGTGGTTGTGTGCCAACCTGCGCCATTTCTTCCTTCTCATTCTCCAACCTTGTATTGTCACCTACCACCCCGCCTCGTGCGCTTGCCTGCTCACGGAAATCCTGTAAAACTTTCTCCAATGCACATGTACCAGAACTCCCAACTCCTCTAGCTTCTGTCGCGACTTGTATTTCTATTATTAACTCTACCGTATTGCATTTTCAGATCTCGAAGTCGACTCGTCGGCACGTTCGTTCAGATTGTTATGCCCTCTGTCATACCCTCGAAGGTCATCCTGTAAGCGACAGAGGCATGCTCCTGGTCAGCACGCAACCACCTCTGTGACCCCCGGTTTCCAGATACCGACGTCTATGTGTTCCGATACATGTTTCTCGTTTCTTGGGCAAAGGGTCAGCATCCTAGTCATTCTTCGTGAGATGTGTCTTACCTCAGTCTTTTCGATGGAATAGGCGTGCTGGAACATCTACGGTGCTCGTACCGTTTTTATCAGCAGCATCACCTACTTATGAGCAGCTCAAGTCAAATCTAGCTTGTCAGTGGTAAATGTGATAAATTTAGACGGCCTAGTCTGCAGCAGGTTAGCCAGCCATATGGCCTGCGGTAAACGTGTCTACGTGCCACGCCCGAAAATGCAAGAAAGAACGGCTCTGCACATGTACTGCCATCTTCTTGCCTTCGTCTCCTCGGTCATGCGAGATAGCCAGAAGAACTATGGAACGCACGTTCATCTTCTCCTGGGTCCGATTTAAATGCTCGTTTGATTCCAATCATAAACCTTCCTCGCCTCTTCGACATGCGAAGCTTCTCTAGCCTACTAGCACTCTCCATCCTCGCTGTTTGTGGTGCACAGAAGGTGGTCCTCACGAATGACGATGGCTGGGCAACAGCTCAGATCCGTGCGGAATACAACGCCCTCAAGGCTGCTGGATTTGACGTTTGTCCATTTTGTTGCGTTCGAGGAAGTGAATAATATTCATGGCACACGTCGCTCTCAGGTCATTCTTTCTGCCCCGACCGTGAACAAATCCGGGACTGGTTCCTCGACTACAACGCCTACTGTTCTGACTTCCCCCTGCCAGTTCAACACCTGTCCAGCTGGGTCACCTGCAGTAGGGTTCAATGCTACTGACCGTGCGTTGAGTCCTCCATGTCGCCTTTTCCCGTTAACTGACTGTCAAGGCCATTTAGCACGCATAAATTATGTCAATGCCTTTCCGTGAGTCCGTCGGTCCTTTTTTTCCATCCATGCATCTTAACTCTCGCCAAAACCATAGGGTCGACTCTGTACGATATGGGATACAGACCCTCTCCCCTCAATTCTTTGGCACGAGACCGGATTTCGTTATCAGTGGCGCAAACATTGGCAGTAAGGATGTCGATTTCAAATAGACGAAGCCGGCAGACTAACACTCGTTGAAAGCGAACCTAGGTTCGGTTGGAAATTCTGGAACCGTGTAAGTGTAGGTTTGTCTTCCTGCATGAAAATCGAATGACGAATAAAACACCATCAGCGGCGCAGCGTCGGAGGCAGCCCTCGAAGGAATCCCGTCAGTCGCCTTCTCAGGCGCCTCCGGCTCTCAGGTATCCTATACCACGCTCTCAGACACGGGCGCAGCCTCTACCAGGGCTGCCAACATCTACACCGACCTCATTCTCAAGTTCACAAACGCACTCCTGAACAACTCCGGCCCTATCCTGCCGCCAGGCATCAGCGTCAACGTCAACTTCGCGTCGATCAGCAACTGTCCGTCGGCATCAAGCTATAAGTTCGTGTTCACGCGCCTCTTGGCTAACAGCGCTCAGACAGACGTAACGACGTGTGGGACGGACCATTTGACCGCCGAGGGGACTGTGATTACGAGAGGATGCATTGCGACAGTTAGCGTGTTTAATGCGACGACAAAGAGGGATGTTGGTGCTTCATCGCAGGCGGTTGTGTTGAACAAAGTTGCTCCGATTTTGAGTTGCCTCTAGCACCGGAGACGGACAAGCGAGGTTTCCAGGGTTCTCGTCGGAAAAGATCAAGGATGGGGTGGAATTCGAGCGACTTGTCGCTGTCGCAGGAAATAAAATTTGAAAACATTCAATCTAGCGGATATCCGTGTATAAAGGCCTGAACGGAACAAGAAAAGAATCAACATAAGTTGTAGGACGTCGGAAATGTTGAGAAAGTAACTGACCAATAAAGCTCACTCATTCCCATCCTCCTCCCTATCTTCAACCTTCTGTTTCTCTCCCTTCCTTGCCCCTTTGCCCAACCTCCAACGCTCGTTCATAGCCTCCACAGTATCCAACCTCTTCCTCTGCAATACAGGCACGTACTTCATTAACCTCTTGAACGTCCCACCGCCAAGTGGCACGTTCATCACCCTCTCCCTCGGTGGCTTCTGCATCAGCTGCGCTAACTCATCTGGCCCATCAGCTAGAGGAAAGATGCTAGGTGGGGGAGGATGGTGCCTTGCTACCGCCATGGCAAAATGCTGATCGAGGACGGTAAAGACCCGGGAGCGCGTGTAAATGCTCTGCATCTGGTGGTGGAGTTCACCAGCGGCGTTGTCGGTAACGTTCTGATTTAGCCGCCCTGTAATACGCCAGTCGAGCTCGGCTTCGTCGTACGCACAGTCCCACAGCATCAGAGGAAGTGCGTCCGCCATCTGGTATTCTGGCTTCGAGGCGACAATGGAGTAGGAGGAGTCGCCCTCTCGGAGAGGCTCTTCACCCTCTGCAACGTTCATCAGTTCTGTTATCATGGATGGGGGTTCGAGGCCTGATCCAACAAGAAAGAGGGTGGACATGATATGTCGGACTTGATGGTATAAGAACGCACTGCCAACGAGGTCAAACACATACATCCTCCCGTTCTCCGAGTCATTGCTCTCCAGAGGCGTTATACTCGCCCTAGAGATCTTGCGCTTGAAGCTCGTGATCTGCTTCTGCGCGTCCAGTTTGCATAGATTACGGAAATCATGTTCTCCGACGAGACGCTCAGCGGCAGCTTTCATGAGAGGTATGTCGAGGTGGAGGGAGGAAAAGAAATATTTGTAGTGTCGATACTTACACGAGAAACGGGCGGAGAAATCGGTGGAGACGGGAGACCAAGCGATGATGCGGATGGTATCAGGGAGGATACGATTAAGCATCGTGACGTAGTCGAGTTCGACCTGTTCAGAAGGTCTCTTGGGCTTCGGTGCGGACGTGTTCGAGGATGGCTCTTGTGCCATCGAAAGTGATCCAAAGTCGTCCACCAGTTCCCGACTGTCGTCTTCTTTACTTTCTGGGTCATCTGACGTGGTCTTGCTTTCTGGAATGGTTTCGTTTTCCCGCTCTGGAGGAAACGCGCTCCGAATCCACAACGACACAACCTGCCCAGCAGCACTCACACCACGATCCGTTCTCCCACATTTCTCCCATCCACAAGCTTCGAACCCTCCAGATGCATCCACAAGGTGGGCTTTCGCCATGGCGTCGAACAGAACATTCTCGACGGTCGGAAGAGGCGTAGGCCCAAGCTGGAACGCGAGACCACCATACTCCCATCCCGAATAGCAGAACTTCAAAGCAATCTTCCGACGAGCGTATTTAGAGAAGTCGAATGCGTTGTTTTGGATCTTCTTCATAGGTAGAATTGAAGTCTTCGGTGTTGTTGACTTGTCTGTTGTCCGCTCTTCGGTGATCGAGTGTCCATCAAGTTCCACGAGTCGTTCGATGAGTTTGTCGCGTGTCCATCCTGCGTATGGTCCAGGAGCAATATTTGAGGTCTCGTTTGCGGCCATTGCGACACCAAAGCGTGTTACACTTGCGCGTGAAGACAAAAATCTAAATCCAACGTTCATAAATCGAGTCAGAAGAGAGTGACCTGGCAATGAGTCAGACCGTGCGACAAACTCATTTAACTAAGTATCTTCGTACCTTTTTATACACCTTATGCCATACTTTAAGGATGTTCCGACAGCTTGAGGCGCTCCTGGTGATGGTTCCGGTTCATCATGTTCGGTTTGTGCAGCAGGATGAGGAGATTGGGCCATAGATTAGATAAGGAAGTAGTCACGCTGATGTAATGGACCCCGGTCGGGCGAATCTTTCGGAAAGAAATGCCAAGTCCGCCACTCGATTTTTTGGACGACGAACAGTTTAGCAACAACGGCTCACCTTTACGGCATCGAATCTTGCATAAGTGGCAACAACAGTCCAAAATTTGAAGGTGAAAGTATTGGAGGTTCAAGTGTGTTGGAATTCTGCATTTCACAATGCGGTGTCGAGCGCATCACAGGAGCGGTGCGCTGTCGCCGCGAGAATGCAGGCAAGTAATTATTTGCATTTTATTCTTTCCGGGTGCTACGGACAAGCGCCACAAGTATTTACATTCTACCTACGTTGTATTTAAGTAGTGGAAAATGGAATTGAACCCTCGCGCGATTGCGAGGGTCCCTGTTCTCACCCGAGTAGACGACGTGGACACGTCTATTTTAACAAAGTGACCAAGACGCAGGCTCGAGGTCGGCTAACGCACTTTCGGAGACCGTAAATGTGAAGGAGGAAGGGAAGATTTTGCTGGACTCTGTGAAGGAGAATTGAGCTGTTTAGCAAGTGTATTGGAAGCATACGAAAAAAAGCCGCAAAAACTGAGACACGAGACTGAATTTTCAAGAATCAAACTCCTGAAACTTTCAAATTCTCGGAATGACATAGTTAGGATTTTGGCGATCTATCAAATTCGGGTAACTTTCATCGCAATGGCATGAGAGCCTGAGATACAGGTGATCTTAGTGGAAGATGATCTTGCTTTATAAGAGCACGACTTACATATGGCGCGATTTTAGATAACATCTCCAGTCAGCTTTTCAAGAAGATTGGACGGTGAGCCAGGAGCTTCTTCAATTAGATACAACCCCGCAAGGATAGACTTTTCGTCTTTTGACACTTCAAAAGCGGCTCAACAACTTGGCTGATCTTGACACTAGCAGCATAATCTGTGTCTGGGAAGACGGTCGATCAGTGTCGACATAAACAATTTACAAGCATCACCGACGGCTTCGAGTTTGAGAGCATCGAAGCGCAAGTAAAGGACTAAGCGCCCAACGGCCCGGATGATCCGGCGAGGGTGCGATTTCATATCCGTTCTCGATCTCGTTTGTCTCATCCTGCTATGGTGTGCTGTGCACCTGAAACAAGCCTATTCTGGAACGGCAAATTCGACCAACATGAATCTAGACCTCGAAGAAAAGCAGACCTTGAAGGCAAGCCAAGATTGCGTTAGTTCTTGGTGAGTTCGACTGGGGGTTATTTAGTGGCAGAGCTTAAAGGCGATGTATTACGGGGATTTCATAAGAGCGTGGGCGAGTCTATCTTGTTTACCCTCCGGTTTCAACAGCTAATCTGAGACCTTATATGGGACGGTGCTCCATTTTTATCCGCAGTATCTTTGATACCCAACCACCACCTCTCCCCTATCCCAGGCATATAATCGTGACGATGAGCGGAAACACTCAAGCGACCGGGACTCATCCACCTCCGCATACACAACCAGGTCCTTCTCCTGCGCACCCAATGGCTACCGCTGCTTCTATGCCCATTCCCAGCCCAGCGCCAGCTTCGTCGACCCCGCGCAGCCCCGAGACCGCCCAAGTTTCGAACAATTCGCCCGTGACGATGCCAACACCATCCCCACAGTGCAGCCCTGGGTGTCCCGGCGCAGTTTCGCGTGAGCAGCAGCAGCAGCCGCAATCGGCGACAGTGGCGCCGAAGCCCTCAGTTCAGCCGGTCCCTCCTCAAGCGCACCAGGCGCAGACTCCGAGTGTGCCGCCTCCAGTGTATGCGGCCGCTCCACCGCCCATGGGGCCGCAGCCTGTGATAACTAACGTAGCGCTTGGATCACAGTATCAAGCAGAGCGTGCGTCTTTTTTTTTCCTCCTCGGCCGTTTGACAATATTTTCCCTGGCGTTCAGTTTTCGGTCGGTGCGCACGGGGGTATCACGAGCCAACAACGAAGTTCGGACCTTGTGGAATCATCAGCGCGATTGTGGGTTTTCCTCCAAGATTCCTTCTTTCAAAGCTTACTTGCTTTCCTTCGTTCGCGGTAGTTCTGCTTCCCATTGGGCCTGATCTGTCTCTTGTGAGGATTTTCCTGTTTCTATGGAATCCATTTTGATTTTCATCCTCCTTTTAGCGCGGACACGCACAAGCAGTGTTCTCGCTGCGGAGCGGCTCTCGCCTGAGGTCTCGGGATCAAAGGAAGCGGATAGGACCCTCTCTAATATACGATTCTACGAATGCAGAGCATTCCAATTAGCAAGATATCTGCCACCCGTCAGATGCTGCATTTTGTACGATTTACGGTCGATTTTGAAGAGTAATCAAGCATGACGTTGTTAATACTCTAAAGTTCAGAACGAATATGAAATCATTACGAAAATTGAGACCGTGTCATCCCAGTCAGGGTTGCTGTAAATGCAGAACAAACTAATATACAAGTACAAATATGGTAAAATTCTTCACGATGCAGTGGTCACCCCTTAGGTCCTCTCTCCTTGGGCGCGAAGCGCGCCCTTCTCCTGCAGTCCAGGGTTCTGGGCCAATTTGCCAGCAAGCTAAATCAAAATGCATTCATCACCACAGTAGAAAAAAAGTATAATTCTCATGAACGTACCTCTTCAGTCTTCCCGACGATCTTGTCCCCAACGGTGGGCTTGTGCTGAGCTCCATGGCCTGCCTGGTGGCTAGTTTGATGGGGAGTACTCGTGCTATGCTTCCCCTGTCGCTCGTTTCCAGATATTCCTCCAGGACCAACAAGCGACTGGGTCGGTATATCCTGTCGGTTCCCATCCCTAGGAGGGTTCGGTAACCCTTTCTCGTTCTTGTGGGCCCCTTCCGCTCCAGGTAACAAGACCGCTTGGCCACGGTCAACACCAACAGGCGGGCGCTCGTTCGAAGCCGCGAAATGAGGAGTCGGGACCGGCTTATGGGTGCCGTGCTGCGGCGGATGGACTCCCTCAGCTGGAGCAGGCGGTAGTGTGGCGTGGTCGATTGTCTCGGGAGAGTAATCGAAGGTAGGCGCTCCACCGGTCGCACCAGGAAGCGGTTCGTTCTCGCGGTGAACGTGGTGGTGAGGTCCAGTGCGCAATTCTTCGGTAATGTTTGTGTTCGACATGTCGTTGGCTTAGGATTCGGTAATGACACGAACCGAGGTTATTATATGAAAAAGGAAGGTGACGTCATGATGATGGTGTGGCGCACCAGCGATCATCGCAGCGTCATCATTCACGTCGAAGAAATGCAGAGAGAGACTAAACATAAGTTCCGAGCAGTTCATGTAAATTCTAATGCCTGCACGACACCCATCGTATGGCGTCGTAGTCAAATTATCATAACATACAATGCAATCACGGTCATAAAAAGCTGCTCGAAGGAAGTACGAAAGAAAACGATGCTATGGCACAGGTCTCGATCCGCCTGGAACCCCTGGCTCCCACTGCACTGGCCTATCGAAATCCTCTGCGTAGCGGGTGGAATGTATATTCACATCGGGCTCTAGAGTGCCACTTGGATCACTAAATGTGATTCGCGCAGGTTTTCGCGTTCTGGACGCTCGTGGAAGGACTGACGTTCTCGCTGTGTCTGTCCCGAACTGCGTCCTTGGAATGGGGAGCATGACAGTGTTTTCTGTCCTACTTGTTTTGAGCTCTTCTGCTGTTGGCGCAACCATGGCACGCAGATTGAGGAGCATGTGTGAACCAAGAATACATCCTGCTGTTGTTGACGGCCTTGGAGGTGATAAGCGCAACGTTCAGGAAAAGGTGAAAGTTAGCGTACGTCACCAGAAGACTCGACAAAAAGGGAGGGCCGAATTGGAATACGAAATAGTTCGCCAGCAAGAGAGCTGAAGTATTTTAGATTCCAAGCCTAGAACCTGACAGGGCTAGCGCACCGAATACACTAAGGAAAGTTGTCAGTTATCCTTCCTAAGAGAAGAGAAACGAAATTACACGGAAAAATACACTGTCGAATCGCGAGCCTAGCGAAGTTAAGAGATTCGGTGAGCTCAAGTTGCGGACTCCGGCGGCAGAACATTACCAAGAGAGTAAATATTCTAGGCGCTGCTACGCCTTCTCTCCACCACACAAAGGCTCGGGAGATGACCAGAACAAAGAGCACAGCTATCATGTCACCCAATATCATATCAGTATCCTCCAAAATAAAGTCGAATAAAGTCTTTACTTTCGACAATGAGAGGTCCTATCCTGGTCAACTGAGTAAGAGTCCAATCACCTCAGTAGCGAGCCATACTCACCAGAAACCCGCGATGATGGATGGTACAGTCGTCGCATAGCATCCAGGTAGACTTGCTAACGAGCCCTCGACTGATATCACACGATCTTAAGCTCTGTTGTAACGAAAGCGGAAGTACTCACTGAAGACATCTTCCCCAACGTAATCTTGGATTACGAGCCCAACGAGGGTGGCGGTTCCACCGAAGTAGAAGAAGAATGCGACGAATAACGCCCACTACTTATGTCCATCAACCTCAAAAAAAATCTCTCGTTGAAATGAAACCACTGACTCTATTTCTTCGATCTAATTGATAGACGAAATGAATGTCAGAGAATACAGGGTCCTAGACGGGGATGAAAATAGCATACAAAGTGCCCATACTCTCAGAACGAGAATCCCTGGGGTATCAACCGTAGTACAATGAGCATTCCGCCATTGCCGCAAAGAAAGAGTGGTGAAAAGACGCGTTCGTACCTTGGACCACACTTGTCGAGATAGTTGTTGTGCTGTTTAGTGAATGAGTGAGTATCCCCAAACGAGCTTTCCCATGAAGATAAGGAGGGAGGCGCACATTGTCAGCCACCGTAGGTAGAACACACAACTGAGAAAAAACCGATTTAGTATTTCGTCCGTGAAACCACACTGGGTACGTACAACTACGTGACGACGAAAAATGAGATCAGGAGAAGGTTTAGGGGGGCCAGGAGCTGACGGCGCCTGGTATCTATCACTCACATCATTTGATTGATACGGTCGGGAAGCAGCTAGATGAACAAAGGCGATTTGAGATTCTTTCGGCGTTTAGGTTTCAAGATAAGGGTGTCCATACAGATGCAATTAAAGCTGCGCAGGTGGTGTGTATGTCAGAGGTACTGTACAGATGACAAGGGTGGGAGAGGGTGCGGGAGCGGAGGAACGGGGCTCACAGGAGCATAGCCTCGACTGGGTATCGGTTCGTGAAGAAAAGAAATTTCGGGATCGTGATTCGTGTCCTGAGGAATCGTTAACGGCACTCATTGTCCACAACCACGAGAGACGTACGGCCACATCCTGGACACCTAAAGGTAAGTTCTGAATTAGCATCCTTCCTCTTCTTCTCAGAAACAAGGCGTACTTCTTGGTCTATCGTAATCGCGTGATCGTAGAGTAGTGCTGTTAGGCATGCAGCTTCACTCGTTGAAGAGCGCGATGAGTTATGGAATTGCGTCAGTGGTGCGACGGAGCGGGTGTCAAGGTCGCCAAGTTAGCGCGCGTCTATTTTACATGCCACATGGACGAACGCACCAGACACCAAGTTAACTGCCATCGCCTGCTCCGCCATCGTCTCTATCTCGAAACTCATAGTTGGCTTCTTGAGAGGAGGTGCGTCGTTTTTAAGGGTGTGGGGTACAAGCCGCGAAAAGGCTGCACGCACACCACCCACGGTGGGTGTTGTGGGAACGGGATGGAGTTGGTAGCAGGGGCGGCGACGAATGTGGTGGGAGGGAAACACGCAAGCCTTGGAATCTTCTTGTATATAAGCTCCTGATTGACCCGAGTATCGACGAGCTTGCCCAACGCAGTCGATATCTCGACATTCAGGAACACGCGTTATGCTTATCCCACCCAGTGCAACGTGCTGTGGCGTGTCCGTCGGCGTTCAGGTTCATGAGATAGGACTTGGGCGCGTCGTACCTTTTGAGTGGAACAGGGAGGAAGTGATTGGGGAACAAGTGATGGAACGGTGACGAGGGGGAGATGGGCTTGATATCATGGGCCCGGGCCCAGATGAGTGGTTTGCCGAGTGAGATCTTATCTCTTCGCTCTTCGACTGCACAGTGGCACACATACCTTTCCACCATGTCGTAATGTAAGAGCTCATAACGGCCTCTCGACAGGCTTGGATGGCTGGGCTAAGACGAATCGGGGAGGGGCCCGGGAGAACGAAGTAAGGATATGATAAAATGCACATGTCGTTAAACCTTGTTGGTTATGTACCAGTGTTACCCTCGAGGAGAAAATGCCTTCTATGTAGAAGAACATTTTGGTGTCGCTGATAGAGGGTAGATAAAGTACCCCAGTAGGATATTCAAAGAGCCTGGAGCCTAGGGACGGCCCATTTCCTTGAGAAGGAGCCAATTGTTTGAAAATTTGGGTCTGAAAACGAGCTTCCTACGACGTTTCAGTCATAGTAGTCCCATAGTAGGACCAACCAACCAACCACCCATTTGTGTAAAACGCCAGAAACTCGCAGACACGCTCGAGACCGAGTAAGATGTACCAAGCCCGTCCGAAAGAGAAGATAGCGCCTCTGCATAGTTGATGAACCTGGAACTCGAAGTTTCGAAAGGTGACCATGCAGGATGCACAAAGAAAACGTCGTGAGGAGACCCAGGGGGAGCTCCGTGGGTGACAGAATGATCCGATCCGGTATCTGCCGAGATGGTCATCTGCTCTCGTGCGCCATCAAACTTGTCGCTCTAATGTCGAACTCACCATCTGTTATCCCGAACCCCGTTCCCCGTTGTCCCGAAATTCCCGCAGAAAGTCATTCGCAACGGCACCTCTTTCACAGTGGCGACGTCGCCTAAATTCCTGGTGTGGCTGACGCGTGATACGACCAATAATCCTTCCTGGAACATGGGGAATCCGGGTGGCAGGTCGATTTGGGAGGACAGCAGCAGCGCCGGTATCATGGGTAGGTTCAACAGAAGATTCGAGGAAGACACGCAGTGGATAGAGTATGGCTATGTCGACTGTTTTGAAGCTGGAGAATATCGTGGAGAATCGACCAAAGCCCAAATCGAAAAAGTAGTCGTAGAGTCGCGTCATAAGGTGCGTAGTTGCAGTATTTCACTTATAACTCCTGGTTAATTTTTTCAAATAGAGTAGATTCTATATGCTGTTAATTACAAGCTTATCCATTTTTTCTCCTGGTGTACCGGTTTGCTCATAATTCAGATTTCACCCACCTTTGCAAATAATTTTATCTGGCCGGAACCATCGTTCGTCCCTATTCTTAGCCCGTCATTTCGCGTTCAGCTTCGTCTTTGTTCGATCGCATGACTGGGACATGACTCGTGCTTCAACCTGGACCCCTTTTAGCTGACTTGTGTTTATGGAGTAAGTGATCCTCTCTACCATGTACGTTCTCCCAGAACCTCAGCAATTTTGGTCGCAGACAGTGTTCCAGACAACGGATAGTCTGCTACCCTATTTGGTCGCTCAGACCGTCCTTGAAGCTTGAAGTCTCAAGTCTGCGCAAGGATACAATTCGTCAATGTTCGAGGGCACAAACCCTCGTCTTAATGTGAACAATATAATACCTAGGACAACTCAGATTAAGCGCTGTCTGTAGTAAACGACGGGCATTGTATCAGAAGTTATTATTCTCAAAACTAATATTTGCGCCATCGCGGTCTATGTCACGGTGAGTCTACACCGACGACCCACACGACAATTGTTTGGACTTGCAGTCGGTCATTCGCGTGAAGCTTCCAGGATCCAGAAACCCCTCGAAGCCGACTTGGTCTTGAGGGAGAATATGTTGTTCTTCGACTCTGGGGAGGAGTAGAGTAGATGATGATGCTCATGTGGAAGCATACGCTGACCACAGCTGCATGCACGGTATCACGGTGGAAATGTTAGTCTCGGCGCCTGATATGTCCTATGCCTTGTCCTATGCTGTGATTTATGGATACGATGATCTGCTCCTTATCAATCTCCAAATGTCTGAGGGGAATGCGTGCGGCATGCCTCATGTAGATTAAGCGCCGTTTTGGCGCCGTTGGATTACCTAATCGTCAGTCTTAAAGGTTCGATACATCGTGGGCACAAGTCATCGGTCTGCTCCCTATTATGACATCGGTACTTGATCCAGACGAGCGATGCTTCGAGACCTTCATTACATAACACCTAACGCGCATCACCCACTGGAAGAGATATCATGTTTTAGGAAGCATGGACTTTTGCTCCATTTATTGATCAGTGCCAGTGAAGTATCGGAATGATACAAACCTGTACCACAGTTTATCCCCATTGCGATGTCCATTTCAAGTGAGATCAATTACCCGCATAAGTAATGCACTTCTTCTGGTACCCCCTCAAGCACACGCACGGCGGGCCATGGTGAATGTAGCCTGTCTGTACCAGGTTTCGCCATGTCAGGTTCGGGAACGTACTCCAACTCCAAACGCAACCCCTCTTCGATCACACTAGTCATTCTCCAGCCCTTCATCGGAGAAGTTGACAGAGAAATGACATTCAAATGTTTCTATGAGAGGGCACAAGTTGGCGATGCGAATTCCATCTGCAGTCTCGATTGGAGTGAGGGTCGCAAGTATTTGGTCCGTCAATTGTATTTTGTTGGGGTGGATGTTCGTTGAAGATTTGCACCATTCGTGGATCGGATGGGTTTTCGAACGATAGGTGTTTCAAGTACGGAACGAGTGCAAGAACTTCCACAAGAGTATTTTCGTTGAGCGATGTGAGATTGAGTCGAAGGCTCGTGAGCTGGGTTTGGTGGGAGAGGAGGTCTACAATATCGAATCGTTCTAATGGGTTGAGAGCTCCGGGAAATACAACTCTTCCCTCAAACTTGAGCCTCTGGAGGCGAGGAAGGCGGAATGGAACCAAAAGCCACATGTGCTCGAAGAACGAGAATTCCTCCAGCATAGGAAGAGAGATTGCACCATCAGGTTGAAATTCTGCACCTGGGTATTTTGAGCTGACCAACCGACTTGCAAGCCGGAGGATTGCAACGATCTGCGAACGAGCTATCCTGCAACGAACAAGACTAAGCTTAGTCAACTTCGACCACGGAACGGAGAGTTGCTCTCGGTGTGTCATATCGAAGTAGAAAGCGTTAAACTGTTGCAAATTGGAAGAAGAGGGTAGCAGCTTCCTGATGAAATGATATACGTCGGGATGGGTGTCGAGGACATTATACGGTTTCGTGTCCCGCATGCGTAATGAACGAAGGTTTGGCGTTTCGGGCATCTCTTGGATCTGACCCAGCATACGTTGTACCAGTGTAGACATTGGGAACTGGAGGTCGAGATTGCGCCACTGATTTGCGAAGGGCACGAGCGCGCTGACGATTATCTCTACCGCTTCTTCTGCAACGTCCTCACGAAGCTGGGACCCGACGGATATGGACAAAGGGCGACCGTTCGCGCGCCCGAGCCACTCACTTATCGAGTACTTTAGGCTCATCGCGACCTTTATTTCCATTTGCCATTCGTGTTCAGGGGTTATTGGCGTTGGATCTGCAGCTCCGGGAAACCCTATGGCAGGTATCGCGATGTGGATCGTCGACCATAGGCTGGAACAGGAATGAGCAAGATCCCTCCAATCGTTGCAGACTATGCCCAGCTTCAGAGGGAAATCGTCGAAGCTCATGGTAGAATTCCTATGGATGGGAAGCGTTTCGACAAAGATCTTCTCGAGGATGTCGCCGGGTAAGCGCTGGATCGATGAGCGTGATGTGTGATCGGTTTGGATCTGCGTTATCTTCGTCTCCTTTTCAAACTGGAGCGCTTCGAGGAATGCTTGAGCCCAATCGATTGCTTGATCAAGAGCCTCGACCTTCGTGATTGTTTGAGCAAGGTAGGACTGGATTTCCTTTCGTTTTGAGGAGGGTTTGCGGCGAGTAAGTGCGGGATGGGTGAATTTGTGGACATTGGGATGGATAAATTCTGGATGGGATCCACGAAGTAGAAGGTGAAATGGGCAGTGGTACCTGGTCACGATGAACGCTTTTTGCCGGGGAGCGTTGCGTTGTGGTTCGCTTGTTGGCGCCTTGGTCGTCAATTTCTCGGTGCGCACTATCTGTGAGAAAATATCGGTGATTTCCGGAATAGATTGTCCATTTCCTTGGACTGTGTGCCTTGCCCTACAGTTTCTCGATTTCCTGCGAAAAGACTTCTCAAAACACTTAAACAACCAGCCTCCATGGAGTAGATTCTCATATCTTATTTCAAGGATTAGAAATACGGCTTTCTTCTCTCACCTTCAAGTACCCGTTCCGCTCTAACCAACCTGTTGTTCTTGACTCCTGCATGGGCTGGCATTCGAAAATGAAATGTACAACGATCTCAGAGCCCAGCTTCATACGGTCCTTTCCCAGTGCCTGATAGGCTACACTGCGGCCTGGAACTTTCCGATTGCACCTCCCTCTTGCACTCAGAGATGGACAAAAGGATGGCTTGGAAGAAAGCGCTTCTGTACCGTTGTCGTCCAAATATCTGGCCTGAAGACCGGAGGGGCGGAAAACTACAAGCAATTCAAAAGCGTTGCGATCACTTTTTTGCAAGAAGGTACATCAAATCAACCCTACGACCTCGGCGACAACTACAGCAAGACAAGTTCATCATTTTTTTTTATTTACCATCCTTATTTTTACTGATTTTCCTCACGAAATTGGCAGCAGATGCCACCTTTGGTTTCTGGTTCAGTAACCATTCGCGAGAACTGGATAAGGTACGTATGTATACTCACGTATTTAGTTGCCCTTGCGCAGGACATCGACGGTGATGGTGCCGAGTGCTCCGCTGTCCAAGTTCTGGCCGCTCCACTCGACCATCCACTTGGTATTCGAGCCGCTAGGAGTCCAGGTATTTCTTTTGCTCCCCCAGGGGCATTCCCAGTAGAAGTGACGGATGGTCTTATTGCCATCATTGGGGTCGACGATATCGAAGGACCCCTCGGTGCCAGAGGAGGCGTTCTCCCGGCCGCACGAATTGATTTGTATCTTCTCGTCGGGCCCAACCGTCTTTCCATTGTAGTCACTGGGATAGACTTCTTTGTCCTTGTTACCTGTTAAAGACAATGGTAAGTACCATATGCGTTTGGACTGATGAAGCGGCTTGCCGTCAGCGTAGAGCTTTCCCCAGGAGAGGCCGAGGTTCGCGATCTTGAAAGGGGACGAGCCGACGTTGTGGAGGATGATGATCACCCATTGAGCATAGGCCCTTTCATCCTTGTTGCTATCCATGGTATTCAAACGGGTGGCTGTTGGATGTACTCGGTGGGTGCTTTGGAATGAGGAATCTGCTCTTAGCAGGTATAGCATTTATACAATTTCTACAGGCCCTCAATTTCCCTTTTTTTCTTCGTCGAGCCGGACGATGTTCTCTTTACGTCTAATTGGAGCTCTGAGGAATATGCCAGAAGGTTGGTCAGTACCACCCGACCACGCCACATCGCCACGAGCCCCATGGATGATCCATTCAAAGAGCAACTTGTAGGCTACGGAAATCGGAGACAGCAGCTCGACTTCCATTCTCGGCGTTGATGAAAGTATCACTTGCCAAACGAACCTCTCCTCCATTCTCTATTCAATCGAGAAAGCATCCTTCGCGCGGACCCACGCGATAACTCGCGAGTTTTTAAACAAAAGCGTAAACTAGAAGCTGCGATGGTGGCCTTCATTACGTTTCATGTCCATTCCTAGTCTGAAGGAGCATTCCTAACTATCCTATTTCACCTCGACATCGAATAAGCTGTTCTCTCTTGATCCGTCGAGTCTACGCATCGCCTTTGTGATTTCGCGTAGGTGTAACCTCGGAAGCTTCCTATTGAACGCGTTCATAGCATATTACCATGCTGATCATCCTCTTTGATATCTCTGACAATCAGTGCTGATCTCAAGATTGTGATGGAATCAATTTCAATGTTACATAAACAACGTTGCGAGTTTACAATTATGCTCAGGCTGTGGGGTGTTCAAGAAGCAGAATATGTCGATCGTACTATGCCTGGGTCAATCGGATATACGTTGACCTATTAATAGGAAAGGGATATTTCGGGTGTGGCTTTCTCGGTCAACATCGGAAATCGAATACCTCACTGTGGCGAATTCATTTCCATACTAAGGAAGGGCCACCCCAATCGATGTGGCGCAATGGCGTGTCCTTGAATAGGGTCGGAGGGCGATTCACACGGTAAGACGCAATCGTATCATGCTGCATTGTTATCGACGAAGCATAAAGCATATTGACCAGGTCACAAAGCAAGCTCGGGCCTTGAGCTTGTGAGGGATAGAGCCTCCGGGAAGAGCCAGAGATAATAGACAGGCGCCACCCTTGGCGGACACTAATTAGTCATGAGGTGCTGGCTGCTTTACTGATGTTGGAGATATAGCGGCGGCGGCGGATTTCGTCCATCAAGGTGCTGATTGTTGGGGTCCTTCCTTTGAAGCCTTCAAGTCAGCTTTCGTCGAGACGGCCTTTAAGGCTGTCGCGCCTCTTGTCTCGACTCTCCCAACCCCATCCCATCTACAAGGATTTCTTCCCTGATCGTATTCAGTAATCTGTAATCTGCCGCTATTCCTCATTTCCAAGACGTTTCTGCAGTTCTTCTCGCTCGCCGCCACAGTGTACGCTGCTGCTCACCTTCACAGAACGCAGTAGTCGACGAACCGCGTGACAGTGGCTACACGCTCGACGATGTACGTCTGGCTCTAGAGAGCTCATCGTGCGCCGCGACAGGCTCCGCTCCATCGCGAATATCGTAGCCAAGATAGAAACCACCACAGTAGAGACCAAGTTCAGGAAGAAACTCATGGAATCCAACTATAGCTCGGTGTCCGTCGTCCCTAGTAAGAGTCAATCTTCCCCTTTTGCACGGCCACCCTAATAGCAGGGTAACCCTCCAAAGTCTTGAGGGAGGAGGTCGTATTATTCGACTCTGGGGAGCAGAGAAGAATCTGCCTTGATCGTAGGCCGCTGCAGAATTCTCTCGAGTGTCGTGTTGTCATTGATTTGCTGACGTCTCATGTATGGGCTGTAATGCTGACCGCACTTGTCTGCGCACAAAAAAGAAACAACTGCACCGGTCCCACACCCTATTCCTTTTGTCTTCGACCCCATGGCGGCACCTTATCCTCGGCTCTCGCTACCATAAACTCAGACGCGAGCGTGTCTGGATACACTTTCCACGAGCCCTACAGAGCCATCATGAGCACATATCCCAATCCTCCGGCACTGAATATTGGTCATTTACCTGCCACGAGCATCCATTAATTCTTAGGTTCCTCAAGGCCAGGGGTCCATTACGCATGGTCTCTTCCACCACCGCTGGATCAACTTGAAATCCTCTCTTGACATTGCAGATTTGGAACGAAGCCGAGCGGAGATGCGGAACTGCCATCTTACTTTCGCGGAGTATTGTCTGCTCATCCAGGCGGTCATGAAAACCAAAGAAGGTTGAGAGAATGGAACTTACGAAAACGGTCTTATTCACCCTAGTCGAGATCTCCTCTAAGCCTCCACACCGGTCAAACAGCACTCTCAGTGCCTTCCCGTTAACAAACGACGTGGTCATCGTAAGGACTCTCAGCCGTATACTATGTTTCTTGACCAAATGGTCGATCAGGGAGTCGTGCGCGACCTGCGCCCCGTCGTCGTTGGGGGTAGAATTGTCGCCGTCAGAGTCTGAGACGAGCTTGAGCTCCTCGAGGAGGGGCGACAGCTCGATCGCACGCCGAATCCACTTATCTAGGGCCTGGGTCTCCGGGACGGTGTTTGTGTGCATGAACGAGACGACGAATGTACGGAGTTGGGGAAGGGAAGGAGGATGTGCCGGCTGTTTGAGTTGCTGTCCTCGGGGAACTAGAGGTTAGAATGGCTTCACGCATACTTGAAAGGAGGAAATATATTCACCCAATAATACCGAAGCTCGAGATGCCGAAGGTGGTGCAACTGTGAGATGAAGCCGAACACGTCGTCGTTCGTCAGCGAGTACGAAAGGCCGAGAGTCAGTGCCTGTACGCTGTTCTGGATGTGCGGTAAGATCGCTTTGAGCACTCCAGGAGTGACGGAGCCGCAGTTTGCCTGGCGAAAAAAAAATTTAGAAGAAAAATGGTTCATTGAAATAATTGGAGGCGCACCTTGAGATGCAGCTCTTTTACACCTCTACTAGGTTCCCTCTCCAATCTTTTCAGCCATGTTGGCAACAGTTCAAGTATTTTTCGTCCAGGACTGACCAACCCAATCTTTCTTAGGTGGGATATCTTCACGAGATCTGGCGCATGCGCGTCATCTGTGCACGATGCGTTCACCACTAGGCTCGCCAAGGGAGACAGATTAAGACTAGGACCGCCATCTCCCTGTTCTTCAGGTATCGTGTTTCTCGCAATAAGGAGCGGAATGCTGGGGGAGAACAGTTCTTCATGGTACGTTGCCGGCGTGAGTATAACGGTTTGGAGGCTAGTGAAGAGCAGTAAGGAACTAGCTATCGTTTGTGCGATCGTGTTGCGCGGTGGTGACCGAGGAGAGATATATCCTTGATAACGAGATACCAGTACAAGAAGAGACGTTAGAGTGGATGGGTGTAGAAATCAAATGTCGTACACACCACTGATCTCCAATACGAGCACGTAAGATGCGTTTCTGGATAGAATCGCGGATGGAAAGTTCGAGTTTTCCTACTCCGGTAAATTGCCAGACACCATCCAAGCTATTAGAATCAATGCAAGTAAATGCAGAAAATTGTCTATCGGCTCACCGGTATCGAGCTTGTATCCCTTAGGTTCAGCACAGGCTTAAACATGGGTGAGATGACGACATGAGCATAGAGCATTCTTGATGCTGCCCGATTGAATTCCCAGTTAACCAACGAGCAATGATAGAGGAGGCCGTAGTCATCTCGACAGAGTTCTATCACCCTCGCGATGAGATCGAAGTTGAGGAATTTGGCCATGACATTGGTGAAGAGCAAACTCGTCGAACTTATTATTGGGAGCGTCATACTGTCAATCCCGTGACCACTGAGTACGTACTTAGCACTCCGACTCGGCACAAGGACTAGGTAATGGCGCCTTGAGAAGCCCTAAGCCTTCACGCTTTAGGCTTCAAGCGCTTCAAGGGCGTACATGTTCACAGAATATGTTCCTCTTGAGAGGCCAGAGCGAGACTTGCGACGGTTTGTGCCATTCTAATGTTCAATTCCTTCTGACCACTCGAAGTCTATGCGCAAAGTCACGAAACCGAGGCGAATGTGCAATGTGAAACGTGTTTATGTTGCAACGAATGGAGTTGATTGATATACGATGTCTTTTGCAAAAGAATACAACTTGGACTTCCGTCCTCTGTGAAGCTTTATCGCCTCAACAATGGCCCGAGCCAAGTGACACTTAGGCAAAGATGAGAGAAAGCGGCAAGTAAGAAAAGGACGAGAGCTTACCCGTCCAGACAACTATTGCTTGGCAGCCTTCTCAAGCTCAGCATGTGCCTGCTCCAGCGAATCCTACCGACGGAATGGTTAATCAAACCACTCTATGGCGAGAACAAAATAATCAACGAACCAGCTCTTTCTTCTTATTAGCAATCTGCAACCCAACATTAGACACGACAGGAAAGTGCGAATACAGTCATACACACCTGCTCCTTGAGCTTTGCGATCTGCTCAGCTTCGTGCCTCTTGACATATTGGTCTATCATCATAGTTCAAAATCTGCATTTTCATAGTGGAATACACCCATCGTACCCTCGTGAGCTTTCTCCTTCTTGCTGCAAAGGTGAAACCGGTAAGCTATGACATCGGGAAAACACGCGACGGAATACATCCACGTACTTGAACCCTCGCGACTCAGCAACGCTCCCTTCTGAGCGGCCAATGGTGTACATCCTGGCGGGTGCGACGAAGGCGCGGGGAATGCGGCAAACTGCAGAGATTCTGGACAACATGGTGGTAGAGGTAAGAGTTTGCGGTGCGCACTCGACCAGCCGAGATTCAAACGTAGTCACATGCGTCACGTCACCTTATTTTCTTTTCCACCACCATGTCGTCGATCCTCAGGCAGGCCACCAACGTCGTACGTCCAAGCGTCTTCATCGTAGTAGACAATACTAACGAATGTCAATCAGGCCCGCAACGCGTCCCGCACACGCACGTTCACGTCCTCGGCCGTGACTCGCAAGGGTGTGTAATCTTTCTGTCGCGTTGGCATGCTCGACTCACTCCGGGTACACCCGTAGACCTTGTCCAGGACCTTTACCTCCAGCACATAAAAGGTTACAAGCCAGCTACCATTGTGAGATTTTCTATGCACTGTGCTACACCCTTCGGTCACGTTTGGCCGGGTCCTCAACAACACTCTTTCCAATAGGCCAAGGATCACCATGTTGGTTCCGTGAAGCAGTTCTCTTTGCCACCGACACCCAAGGCCCCCGCCCTTCCCACTGACCTCGCCGGTGAGCTTGCGACATACGACGCGGCTGAGCCCACCCTTGCCGAGGCCCCTGCGTCGACGGCAATAGCGACAGCGGAGGATGCGACTGGCGGTGCTGAGGCCTTCCTTTCCTTCCTCGAGCAAGACGTTCCCAAGCCCGAACACCATCACTAGATTATCTATCTGCACGTTGTCGTAGATCATCGAAAAGGCACAACGTATTGATCTGTTTAACGAAACCTTGCCCGAGAGAGATGTTCGATTTATCAACACGCCTTCGTGAACAAATCGATTCATTCATACTGGCGGAGTAATGCTCTCGAAGGTGCCAGATATATGCATACCCGAAGGGTATTGACGAGAGACGTTATCTTTGCGATCACGCCTTTTCCTTTCCATGGCGGGCGCCGGCCTGGAGAGATCGTTTGCAACCTTACCAACCTTCTTTTCACATCCCTTGCCCTTAGATGCAGCCTTCCAACACCACCTTCTCTCCTCGTCGTTTGCCTTTTCCCTACATGCAAGCATTGCTTGTTCAGCACCTGGTTAACTATTGTTGAGGCGAGGCAATCCGATAGCAACTTCTAGACAACTAATTCTAAGATACATATTATGCAGAGATGCATATTAGCCAACTGGTGAATGCATGGACGAGCTATAGGGATGATGTATGTAGTGTAAATATGGTTGATATGTGCGATGTGTGCGAGTTACGAATAACAAATACCTGCTGCAGCAACTGCAGCCCTCGAGCAACCTACGAGAAGAAATACTGCGACGACTTGATGGCCTGGACGTTGAACGTACCCTTGTCCGGCAATGGCGGTATCAAATCAGTCAGGCTGACGAATTTGCCCGCCAGCAGAGCCGCGTTATCCAGTTCGTTCGTGCTCTTCTTGCCTTTCTTGTTCGAGCCTTCCTCTTCTCCCATCCCTTCCTCGCCTTCCAGCAGTGTGCTCAGGAAATCGTCGTCATCAACATCATCCTTAGCCTTGGACGCTTGTGATTTTTTGGGCTTGACCTCCAGGTCCGCGCCGTCTTCATCCGGAACAGTGGTCTCGGCTACAGAGCTCTCCTCATCGGTGAACTCGACGATATCTTTGATGCCTCGAAGGGCATGCTCCTGGCGCTTGTATGCCTTGATCCGTGTGCCGGCCGCGGCAAGCTGCTTGACCATGCCTCCTCGTGCAGAGATGCTCTCCAGCGGGATCTTGTGCCCTTTGTAGCGTTCGCGGAACTAAACCAGATTGAGTTCAAGAGGGTCAAAGAAGCAAGAGAAGACGCACCTCCTGCTCAAGCTTGCGTAGGATGTCGGAAGAATGCAAGGCGATGAACGTGTCGCGGATGATGCTGGACATCTGGTCGACGTCGCATGCGTGTGTCCAGTAGGAGTCGTGGACCGATGCGAAGGTCAGGTTTTGGTTCTACGCACAGGGGTAAATACATGGCCCACATATAGGAAGGAAAAAGATACCCGGCATTCCAGAGCAGTCAGCATCATGTGCGTGGCATCAAGGCTGTGGATGAAGTTGGGAGGGAAGGCCGTCGCCTGTTTCACCGCGTTGACTAAAAGTCGCATGAGCTTCCACCCTCCAACCAGAAAACATTTCACTAACCTTCTGAAGGCGCATTTGGGTCCGAGATATACACTGACTGAACGGCCGTCATCACCTGTTTTCTCGCCGTCTTCCTGTATGGCTGAACGATCGGCAATCCGAGCGCCGTCGTCCATATGACGGACGTCATCTGCTCCTTCTTGACCCTGGAACGTGGGATGCCAACCAAGAGCTCGCCAAAGGGGTTCTTGACGAGATGGAGCCGCTCCGCGGGGATGGACTTGGCGATGAGCCGTGCACAGAGATTGAGCCACAGCTGAATGCTCTTTGCCCCTCGGAAGGTGTCGCCGATGCTAGCCATGACCTATCATCAAAAGTGAGAAGATATTTGCTGAACGAGGGCAACGGCTTACCTTCTTCGCCAGGTACGACGATGCAGCCCAGGTCTTCTCCTCCGGGATGTCAGACCTATCCCGCAACTGCCTCTCGATCTGTTCTCTCGCACCGACGAACGTGACGCCATACACCGTTGTCATGACCGTCTGCTTGACCACCTTCCTCGTGATCTTTCCGAGCAGTATCTTTGCGGTCTCGTTGCCCGCTGCCGCCTCAGCCTGGATCTGCGACTCAACTTCCAAACTGATGTGCGTGTACACGTCAGAAGGACGGTCGGCGGCAGCGAGATTGACCTGGCGGGCACCCTGGGCGTCTCCTCCAAGGGCAGCGTAGTGTTGCAGACCATTGCAGGTGCCGTCCTGGTGCACTGGCAGCGAGCATTCGTACGTTGTAGGGTCCTCAAGAGCCAAAGCATTCTTGAGCTCAATGCAGGTAGCAAGACATTGCCACGGGTCGTCTGCCTTCTTCCACCACCCGGAGCCCTACAGAAATAGTATTGTCAGCTTAATAAAGGAATCAGACAAGAATGCAACGTACTTTCAGAGGGTTGGTCGCACTCTCAACAATGTCCTCGATGTGATCTTCGACCCACTGCACACGTTCATCGAAGTTCGCCTTGTCGTAGCCGTATAAGTTGGCAAGGTGAATTTTGAGCCAACGGAACCCTCGTTCGCCCAGAGGCTTGGCTACTTCGAACTTCAGCAAAGCACGCGAAAGATCGTCGCCAATGTGGTTGAGATGAGGCGGGATAGGATACGCCCGACCACGGAAATCAAGGTTATGTGGAAGGTAGATGGTGTCTGCGAGGAACTGGAAACAAATCGAGTCAGATTTTCGTTCTGAAATGAAACAAAAAAGGACGTGACGACGTACGGCCCGAGCAATCTCAATTTTGTAATTGACGCTGCATCTGTCGGAGTGGTTGTTGCCCTTTTCCTGTGCCCATACCCTGTGCCTCTGCATGAAGTGGCTCCTTGCCTCCATGTCCTTCTCCTTGCCTTCCTCTAGCACGGGTTCAGGTTGGTCGTACACCGCCGGAGGGATCTTGCCCATCCGTTCACCAGAATTCCAAACCTCGAGGACGACGTCGAAGATAGGCTTGTTGATCCGCCATGGGGTCGAACCGAGGATATCCAGCCCTGCATAGACGAGTTCAACGGTGCCCGCGTTCGTGGCTTCCTTGAGGTAAACCTCTTGTTCGACAGAATCTTTGAACCGCATGGCGTTGCCTGAGTTGGAAATGAGTCAATCCGAAGACACCAGCATTCAGAAGGACGGCTCACATTTGTTGTAAATGTACCCTCCGTCGTTGTAGTTGAGCCAAGGCCGAGGCTTTACGAGCATGGGAAGGTGCCGCGGATGCACGGTGCGAGCCAGACTGTCTTTCGCCATTCGCTCGGTGACGATTGGGTTAAGCTTCAAGACACCAAGTTTCTGGCCTCGTTGATACTCATAGCCATGGAAGAAGGCAGGTTGAGATTCGGACCTACGAGTCGCCTCATTAAAAAAAGTCTACGACTGAGAAAGAAAAACTCACTGTATCTCATTCGTCTTCGGGTCGACCTTCGTCCTCAAGACCTCCGCAACATCCATCAAGCACTCGACGAGCACAGCACCAACTCTTGACCGTGTTGCCTGCGACCAGCTTGTCGTCCATGCCTCCCCATCCTCCATCATCCGCGCAGCTGCAACCCTCCGTTGCCTAAGGTGCTGGTATCCCATGGACGAGAAATAACTCTCTGCTGACCATGTCCCAAATTCGGGCACTGGAATGTCATGTTTCTTGCACATTTGCGCCTTGTACTCATTCTCGACGGCCCTGCCCACAGAGATCAGCGTACGTGTCGTCTTCATTCCGATGCCAGCATTAGTCGAACCCTGGAGCCGCATAACCTCGAGAATAGTAAGGAGTGACAGCTTTTCTGGCTTGATGAGCGTCATATAGGGTGCAATATCCTTCACATCTTTCGCCCTCGACTTATTCATCCTAGCCACCTCGACCTTCAGCCTCTCGACGAAACACAGATGCCAAGTCCACATCCACTTCTGTAATTCCGAGTCCAGAAGGTGTTGGTTCTGGTCAAGACCCTTTTCCGAGAACACTTTCGCGCGATGCTCTAAGTGCTCTAGGGCGAGATCGTAGACAGAAGCCTCCAGGTGTTTTTGCCGCGCATTGAGGTCTTGATCGAGCACTTTCCGCGCTTCAAGGACGTCTGCAAGATGCCGTCTCATGGCGTCCAGATTGAAGGGCACTTCCACATCCGGGTCGCTGGGAGACTGCTTCGAAGTTACCGTTTTGTACACAGGCATCACTTCCGGCACGTCCTTGAGGAGCGGAGCAGTCGCCTCCACCGCTTGGCTGTGGCCGAGTTGTTGAAGCACGTCCTTGAATCCGAGGTTGACAGCTTCGCTCGAGAGCATTTTCGCAATCTCCGTCATCAGCTCGGCCGAGCCCAAGGTAGGATTCGAAACAACGTCCATGACCGGAATTTCGCGATCGACGAGCTTGCTGAGCAGGTAGCCCGGTGTCTGTCCGTTCACGTCACCCTCCATGTGGATTTCCCTGGTCTTTACCCTATGTACTGTGTAAGCGTAGCCCACAAAGAAAGGGACGGAAACCTACCGATGCCATAGCAATAGCATGAGACTGTACGTGTTGGCATTTGGCAGAACCTCTTCCAAGCCCTCCTCCATCGCGTCGTACAGCCTCCAGGCTTCGTCAATCCAGTATGATCGCTTTTTCTCTTCCTTCTGTGCCATGCCGATGTAAGCTTCGAGGAAGGCATTGTACAGCCGCGTCTCGAGCAAGGGTGAGCCGACTTTTGTACGCAGGCGCTGGAACACTCCTCGTGCTCGTGGCACATCCTGCAGGTTGTGCAGACACGCGTCGATAATCCCGGCCATGTCTATCGTCCGCGAGTCAGGGTACCAGCGCTCGTTGTCGTGCTCGAACGACTTGAGCGGCCGGGGTGTTGGAACGACAGTCAGCCCCGGTCGCTGCAGGAGAAACTGAGATATCGTGTCTATGGAGTGTGTCGATGATGACGGGACATTTTGAGCAAGGAAGGGGGGGAAGTCGTGAATGGGAACTTGAGCTGTCGCAGTTGCAGCTGCCGGTGCGCTCCGCCGTTTTGAAGGAGTCGAATACAGCCTTGCAGGCCGGGGAAGAGCCTGGCGAGACGACAATAAAGTGGTCTCGAGCTTACGGGCTGTTCGCGGAATCATACCGAGCTATTGAGAACGAGGGAGCTAGGGTTAGAAATTTAAATTTTGCCAGCTCTCCAAATCACGACGTACCTGAAATATGCCATCACGTGAACAAAAAACGGGCGCGTTATTTGGCCCGATGCCAAGCCTATGTACGGCGCTTAGTTTATCATGTTCTCGGCGTAAGAACTGAAACTGTAGCGAGGCAAATGTCCTAGAAACAATATAATGCGTATTATAGCGCATTCTATGTGAGGAGGCGGTAATGGGAACAAGAATATCTTCGCATACCTTTAGTATTTAATTCCGCTCTCTGTAGTCGACAACAGAAGTCGTCAAGAAGTCGTCAAGAAGTCGTGACTCGTCAGGTAAGATAACGTGGTCCTGCTACGCACAACGTGTGGTTGTACACGTCGCTGGTGGTTGTTTACATCAGCAGTTTTGGATTTTTTGGCCTCGAAAAGCTTAAATATAGGAGCTAAGTATAGGGCATAACGTAGCATTCCATAGAAGCCCATAGCACCATAGTTAAGGTACCCCATTGCATAGACACCCCCAGAGCTACGTAGAACTCCATAGTGGGCCATAACAACTCATAGCCAAAACCAAAACTGCTGATGTACGTTGAAACGACGTGACTTTGGTGTATGGAGTGCAATCTCACACGATGCCACTGGGGACTCCTGGTTTGCCTGAAGCCATGTCTCCAGAGAACCTGAGGGCTTGGAATCTTGGATAGCTAGCTGAGGGTGATTGGGCCCTGGGTGCTTTTCCCCTGTACTTGGCACTATAATGTTTAGGTGCACGTATGGATCCAAGATATGAGAAGTGCTAGTGAAGGTGCATAAGCAAGGAGAAAAGTGGGAGAAAAAACCAGTGAAAGACGGGGCAAAAGAGTAATCGCAGTTTGTTTGGTATTTACACTTATATCCAAGCTAACTGTCGCAATGTCGCCAGACTTCACTATCTTATCTTACGACGAGTTCGCGTCTGTATCACATCGGAATATTGTTGCTTAACTTCAACCAGTCTACCATATCTTACGACGAAAATCCTGAGACTAAGAAGCAAAGGGAGTCATCATCAGGAAAATCCGGTTTTGGTATGGGCGCTAAGGGAAGTATGGATGCAGGGGGGTCTTTATGGAAGTTACTTCAACTATGATGTTATGGACTGTAGCACTCCATAGACCCCGATTTTAAGCTTTTTGAGGGCTGAAGATCCCGGTTTTCAGATGAAATGTCAGCTTCAATTCTTCTCTTTCCGAGTGCCAAATACTTATGCAGTGTGAAATTTTGAATCGTGATACGATGTTTTAATACCTCCATCGGAAAGTGACTTGAATCTGCCCCCGAAAGCGTCGATACAAAAATCAGATTATTGAAGAAATGGGAAAGCCAGCGGTCAAACATCCGTTTAGAGCGGCAACGTTCTCAGCCAAACCTTCGGGCCGTCTCGAGCAAGAGTCATAATTTAACCTTAAAGCGAGGCGAGACCATGAAGTGTGGCAGAAATATGGGAGCTGGCCTGGAATAGCACCCGAAAAGCAACGGTAGCCTCAGGCGGAGGGGACATTCGGACTTTCTATGCTAACGGAATTTTGGAAATGGCTGCTAGCACATACGTTCCCTATAAAGCATGCAAGCCTCCTTAGTATGAATCAATGAACTGATGAGATCCAAAAGGCACCTTGAGCGAAGAAATACACATGCAGTACGACTATTTTACCTTTGAATGGCGCATATGCACCGAAATCCTTTCGTTTTTTCCGTGCAATCGACGAACAGCAAATTTGCTAGTTAAAAGGCACTGAAAATAAGATAATTTCAAGACTCTTTGGCGTGATTCCTACTGCGGCGTTCTTCCCCGACAAAAAATTGCGCGAAGTTCTATTAATGGGTTCTGTAGAGCCCAGCCTCCCCATCTGTCTCAAGAATTTTATTATCCTTCTCCAAAATGGACAGTGCTTCGGAGGTTGGTCCCGATGCTTTTGCATCTGCCCCCTGCTTCTTGTCCTCGTTAGAAAGGCGTATCCTGAGGAGTACGAAATATCATGATCAGTTCCGAGTTCTCCCAAAAAGTTCTTGCCCTATGAAACGAGAAAGGAAAGGGACACTCCGCATCAGAATTTCCACCGGGCCGCGCCGGACAGGCAAACGCGCCACAATCCGACCAGCCCGCGAGCCTTTGAGGCAAGTCTGAGTATTTTTCTAGCCTGAAAGAAGCGTACTGACGTCCCGCCACACACATCTGAATGATGTATGAAGAATCATGCGAAGCATCATTCGATCCACGACTCGGAGGTGCCAGAAGGACTGTGGCGTTCATACGCGGAGGGGAGAAAGCCAAAAAAATGACTAAAACGGACACCTACTTATTTCTCGCGGAAAGGACGCGAAGAGTGCGTTCACGCTCCAAGTCGGTCATAGATACCCAGTTCGCAATGCGAGAAAGCGTCTAGACGCCGAACGCGTGCAATCACGGTTCCGACGTCGGCAAGTGACAGCATATGCACCGTAATTGTGGAATGCATTTCCAGATCGAAGAAATTTCAAGGATGTGCCAGGTGCCATCGTATTCATGCGCATATATCCATCAGTCGACCAGAGCACAAGAAGAGGGGAGAAGCATCCCGCAGGCGGCCAGGAATCAATGGTCCGATATTCAAGTAGAAGTCAGCAGAAAAAACCCCTCTATGTCAGTGACGTCTGCCATAATAAATAGGGAAGAAGGACTAACGCCATCGCTGTTCACCACCATCGGGCCCAGCTCGTCGAGCTTGATTGATTGACCGCTGGAGGCGTCAAGTTGCTTGATCATCGGCGCCTTTAGCTTGAGGCGCCTCAGGAGCTGGGAGGGCTAGTGGCACATGGGGATGTGTAGTATCTGCCATGGGATCCGGTCGGGGTGCGAGAAATCGAGGGTATCTGAAGTAGAGGAGACGAACAGCACGCTGACAAGGATGACGATTACTTATGTCCAGCTACAACAGGCTCGAGAACATTCGAGAATATCCGGGAGAAAATAGCAGAATAAAATAAATAGCACGAGAGCAACGAGGTGAATTGGATGCATGGGAGTGAAAAGAAATGAGAGTCCAATCTTGGGTGACGATAACGAAGAGAAAATCGTCTGGTGTGTACCAGCTCGAGGGATTAGACTCATGAAAGAAGCATTAGAGTGAGGTCCGAAATGCTCGTTGAAAGGTTAAAGTGCGGGATGCGATTTGAATCATGGATGCATATGAATTCAGGCGTATTTTTCACGCGATTTGTAGCTCAGCTCTCGCCCGACTGATAAGAGCGGGTAGATTTGATGATCGCGGCTTGATACAGCACTTGAAGGGCTGGGGATGGCTGTGACAACCAACCCATATGAATGCCTAATCATAACCTAGCCAAAAGAGAAAGCAGCTCACCGAACGAATCCACGCGAAAACTCGTAGGTGGTATTGAGGTCATTACCGTCCCGGTCCAACGCCTTGGAGATATCAAAAGCAGCGATCAGACTCGCAGCTATTAGCCAGTAGTTGGCGTCTGCCAAATGCCTCCCAGGGCAAATCCTTTCCGTAATCATAAAGTAAGTCAGCAGCTCATGGAGTAAGAAGGATCGACTTATTTACCTTCGTCCAAAACCGAAGACTATCCCAAAGGGGTCGGGCAATTCCCCGTCATCGAGATACCGCTGAGGACGGAAAACCTCCGGCTGATCACAGTCGCGCATAATAGCACTAGCAGCATATGTCAGGGTGCGACAGGTGTGTGTCGTTTGAAATAAAAGACCCACTAAATGTTGGCCAAGACGGTGGATCCCGCTGGGATAAAGAAATCTCGGTAGAAGTCGTCCTCCATTAGTCGATGTGGCATTCCCAATGGCACCATTGGGTTCCAACTTCCTCGCCGTTCAGGTTAGTCAAATTGCTTCCCGGTCAAATAGGACGGCATCTTGCACTCACCGAAGGACCTCTTTCAGCACACATTCGAGATAGGGAAGAGAAGCCCTATCGTCGAGGCTCGGTAGACGGTCCTTCCCAACCACAAGGTCGATTTCTTCTTGCGCCTTCTTGAATTCGTGTGGATGGAGAACCATCGCCAGTGTAAATGTATGCACAGATGATATTGTCTAGGAAGAGCGATAGTCCGTCAGCACTCATTTCAAGGAGACGCAACGTCCATGTCCCATCCTCACCGTATCCTCGGCCGCTGCAAAAAAGCATGCTCAATTACGAGGACGGACGCGGAAGAAGGTGAATGGGCGAGTTCTCACCAGCAAAGAGTGTCCCAGCAGAGCCTTTGATATCCTCCTCGTCTTCTGGTGATATATGCCCATCGTCATCACGATGCGAATCCAACAGTGTCGATGTGTAAGACGGAACAGCGGTTCCTGATTTCTGGAGGGTTGCTTCTGGTGAATCCAATGCGCCACATAAGAAATGCGTGCTTACCAGATCGGCTTTAACTTGTTCGTACGGTATCTCCATCATATCCTCCACTGCCTTTCGCGTCTCGAGTGCTCTAGCCTTGAACGAGGCGAAAGGAGCCCAAGTCGGCAAGTGCCTACACGGCATCCACATGAGCGACGTCGCATAAATGGGTCACTATGGAGGGAACTTACCTCATAGCCGGGAAGAAGTCAACAATGTTAGCTCCAGCAGATCCCGATTCTGTCGTCAACGTTCCAGCTCGCTCCGCTAATAAACAATCTAAATGAACAAAACGCGACGACCCGCGGGATATGAAAGACTAACCCAACCGCACGAAAAGATCGTCCACCGAGAGTATGTCATGGCCGTAGGTAATCTTGAGAATGGTCGCAGCCGCGAAACTAAAAACGGCGTCAACAATAATTAGGCGCCAAATCAACGCGACTGACCGTCGGTAGTGATCGACGAAATCCTCGGGATTGCTCAGCATGTGGTCAAGAAGAACCAAGATTTCCTTCTCTATGAGAGGCCGAAAGGCGGATATCGCCCGTTGATTAAAGACTTGGTTTATGAACCGGCGATGCTTTCGAAACCGTGGTCCACTGTGTAACATGTTAGAGACGGAGTTGCTGTACGATAAGAGCACAAACTCACTATCGCATATGAGTGGACGCGCTATGCCAGCCCATCCTGTATGATGCATATCCCAGTTTAGACGGGCATCACCGAGAGTGGGGTGGCGGAAAGTTACCCACAATTCCGAAAGCAAAACAAAGCGAGGCCGATCAGAATAAATAGAGCTTCTCTTGTCCAGTAAGTCCCGCGCGGCTTGCAAGCTGTTCAAGATGACCAAGGGCTGTCCAAAGGTGCTGAGATAGACCACGTCGCCTAACACGAGCATGAGCGATTGTGGCCACCAACAATTCCCAAAAACTGACCGTATTCAGCGCCCCATTTCTCGAACACTTCTTCCTGATTTTCGGCAGGTATCTGCAGGACGTTTCCAATGAGTGGAAGAGGTTTTGGGCCTGGTGGAAGGTTGATCCAGGAAGAATGGTACGCATAAAGGGCGGCATAGAGGACGAATGCACCGAGGGGCCATGCCGCTGTTGGAATCCAAGAGAGAGAGGACAACCCCATGGTGGCGATCCAGAAGAAAATGGGTGGTGGGGGGAGGAGCGATCTTCAGAAGTCGACGAGTTGGCTTTATAACAGGCAAGTGACGAATTTTGACAGGTTCAAATTGCGAATGAGCACATTGGGCGATTGCGTTTTCAAATAAGCTGTCACAGCAGGGCCCACAATTGCGGCTATTCCTGAAAGCTCCCGTGATACTTCACATGAGGATATGCGACCGATAGGCAAATGGGAAGCGGACCGAGAGGTGGCATCGACCCCGCTTTCGAGACTATGCCGTTCTAAGCGCAAATAAAAAATGCTTATCGAAGAGCTGTGACATAAATGACGTCTCAAGGGGATTGCGAAGGCGAGACGTTGACGCTTGCCGCGAACAGAACGCCGGACAGTGGGCATCAGCGCGAAGATAGAACAGGCATGGCTCGCGGTATGTCAAGTCTGCATGAGAAGCGTGACTGCTCAAGGAAAGGACACGTTCATATCGAAAGGTATTCGTCTGCCTTGCGGGCTGCCGTTGATGGCTGATGAAGGGATGAGAACGAGCCCGAACTTCACAGGAAGTTGGAGAAGATGACCAGGCCCCGATCTTGTCGCTGTCAAGACCATACAATCGTCCCAATTCAGGATTTCACCAGCACGGTATAGGCCCAAGAAGGTCTAGAAGTCTCAATTTCGCCGTTACGACACGGTGAATCCAGAAAATGAGAGAACTTGGGGTTAAACCGCACAGAATCAGGGGCCTCTTGAAGGAGTTAGTCCGAATCCTGTGCGTTCCCCATCCAGAGGTCATGAGACGAAAATCCCGGTCATTGAGGGAGCCTTCCATGTTTCCTTCATAAATCCGCCGTTGTTGCCATGTTCAAGTTGTGGTTGAGGGTCAAGGGAAGGAAGAAGCCACCTGGTATGTTCAAATCAGAAATCAGAACCTTTTTTCACAGTTTTCGCATCACGTGGTTTAGGCGCCACCCCTATACACTGACAGTATACTAAGCGCCTTTAGAAAACTCACAAGGTTTACCGAGCCCAGAAGTATCTATCTCCTACATTAGGATACAATTAGGTGCTACATGGGAGATAAACTTTATCGGGAGTAAATTTGTCTTTGCTCCAACACCGCTCCTGACGAGTTTCCTAAATCTCATCAGATCCCAATGGTTGAACGACACACTAGGTGTATTTCTGGGTGCGGTGTGTATGCTGTAACGGAAGACAATTACGAGACATAAGGCCACGCACACTTTCTTCCATATACCAGTCCGTTCAATTGGGGAATATTCCTCATCACGGCACGAGCTCCGACTGCAAATTTGCGCCAGTTTTTCTCTTCTTGTTTTGTTGTACTCGTCGCCTACTATGGCTTGCTCCTTGGGTACCCAGGCGTAAATAGTCCCCCCGATCAAACAACGAATCGGGCGTTGGCACGCACTCAGAAGCGCCACTATCTCCGTAAGGTTTCCGAAGCGCGAGAGACTGCATGCTTTGCTATATATGTTCTACGCTCTTTGCACTCTTCCCTCGGAATTTGGGCATACAAAGCTTCATGAGAGAAGGCATGTGGGCTGAGGGTAGCTACTTCCGGTTCGTTCACTTCCCACTGCTCCACAATTGCAAATGCGGCGTTTATTGGACAGGTTCATCTGCATTGGAACCTTTCTGGAGTTGAAGTTTTTGTCTCCCGAGGGTTGCCGGAAAGCCATATGTTGGACGTATGACATGAGAATCATCCCTTGCAGGATGGTTATCCCCGCTCTCTCTTTTGAGTTCGAAGGAGATATCACGCAAAAAACATATACACGAGGCACAAGCTGCTTGCGGCGCTGTCATGAACCCTGAGTATTACTGTAATTGGTATAAAGGACAGACTGAGGGGAGGAGGAGGACGCTCACTATCTGGAATGGCGTTCTTATTGATGAGAAGAGTTTGAAGGATTAGTGACCGCAAATCAAGGTGATTATCACGTACTCAAAGCGATCCATTTCCCGCGTCCAATCGCGCGAAGCCCCCACCGATGTTGATCCAACATTGGCACGAAAGGCCAGAGCGTCGCTTCCTGGCAGTACAGCACGACTCGTGCTGCCTTTAAGGTTGAGTCCTAGCTATACAATTAATGCGTATTCCCAAGCGGTGCCAGTATGCAAGGTCCTCCATATTGATATGGGACATCTAGTCCCCTTGGGCCTCAGAAGCCTCGATAATTGTGGAGCCAATAGCAATTGCTCTATGAGCAGGTCGCGCTCAAGGACGACGCCGCTCATTTTCACCGACATACCCGGAGAAGGGAACCGCAACGACACTCCGACAGCGCTCGGAGAGGCACAAAATAGATGTGATCGAAGAGAAATGGCGCGCTGGTAATTTTAAATGACAAAACGAATTCGAAGCGTCGAAGATAAAGAATAATTTATCTCTGAAATAGTCCTATGCAGCATTGAAGGGCGGACCAGCTGGATCAACGAACTCGAGCTTGACCTGAGCACCATCGGACACGGCGATTACCTCGAACCCATTGAGAGACACATTCAATGGGACCGCTGTTCTGGAGTCAGGTGCCAGGCGTTCTGGAAGTGGGTGAATTCTACGCACCGTACCACCAAAGGGTCGAGACGCCTACAGGAAAGGTGTACGTCGCCTAGAACATTCGTCAGAAAGCACTTCATAGAAGGCGACGCTTCACGAACCTGCATTCCACGGAACCAGATGGTGGTCTTAACCGGGGTAGGATTCCATCCGCCCACACTATCATTCCCTGTGGATATAACTCGCTTCATTGCGTAGTCAAAGGGGGTTGAGAATACCCACAATTCATGACCACGAGAGAGTAGCGAAGCCACTCGGCGGCCTTTATTCGACCAGTGACGAAACCGACCACACGTAGAGCCCAAGAAGCAGAACCGCTGACTTCAACTTTAATCCTCCTACCCGATGGGCCTTCGATATCGCGGGAGATTGTCGCTTTTGACATTTGCGCCATGGAATAGACTGATCAGGATCAGGTATCGGGCATGAACACGACTTCAGTCCCTTTTCTAGCAAGAAATCGCCGTCAAATTACTTCACTTACACTCTTGATTGACAATCCAGGACCCATCCGTCTTGATTGTGACGATACCGCGACAACCTGGACCTCCACAACTCGCCGTCCCTGGGTATTTTGGATTGCCCGAGGTGTCCAGAGCAATGTTCCACATGAGCGCAGTCTTCGCGTTGTTCTCAATTGAACCCATGAAACTGCGAGCATGCGTCAGAAAGTTACAGCATCCAAGAGAACTGGACTCGTTTTACACGTTATGCATGAACCACTAGTCATGTCATTAGTAGACGCTAAACAATGAGGGGCAAGGCGTACCTTGGCATCGTTCCACCAATCTTTCCCATACACCCCAGAGCATTCTACCAATAGAACAAGATCAGGGCGTCATCTTCCCCCAGAACTCGAATTGGCTAACCAGTGAAGTATATATCCTGCACCAACAGGATTAGCATAGCCCTTCAGACATTTGATAGCAAGAAAGTGCCTTGTTCGGATATAGCTTGCTGAAGTCTCCCTGCTGGCTGACTGATCCGCCGTAGCAGTGAAAAGCAACCCCATCGAAGGCGTCTCCGGCAGTCTCCATTAGTTGAACCGGATATTCGGTCGCTTCGCTCCAATTATGTTCGTATCCTTGTGGACATTAGGTTATCGGGGATAGGAAGTGAATAATTACTCACCGATGAGCTTCACGTTAGGAAAGCCATTAGCTTTCAGAAGGCTCTTGAGAAGGCTTCCTACCCTCGCCTCCTGAACTGCCGTCAGAGTCGACGTTGGGTATGTTGGATTGGAATACTGCGGCTCATTTTGGATAGATATGGCGTAAACCTCAACCCCGTTGCGCTTTAGTGATTGTAGTGCCTTGAGAAGATAAGTAGCATCTTCCACAATCCCATGAGTACTTTATCCCCACGCGTAGAACCAGTTACTCACAAAGATTGACCATGGTTGGCTTGAGAGTCCCACCATTCATTGTATTGCTCGCTTTCATCCAGCCAGGCTAGATGCCCTGAGTGAACAAAGAACCACCAACCTTTGGCGAAGGAACCCACAGGAGACCAAGGCACCACATGCAACTTCAACGCTAGATTGCGGTTGAGACCGGGGTCGCACTACGAAAGGCCGAGAAACACACCTGGATTGATCACTAGAATATCTTGAAGCACCTCAAACACGTAGGAGGGAGTGACCCCGACATCTACTTCCTTGAGGCAGGTGTCCCCAACAACGTCATCATATGAATATTCTGAGAGAAAATTGTTGTGAGGAAAAGATCACTGCAACTCAATCAGACATAGCACGAACGCGAGGCGGAAAAATCAGATGCCCCCATGGGTATCCGGACGTAGCTAAGGCCAGCTGCGTTTGCGCCTTCTGTAGCGTTGAAAAGATAGTTGATGAGGCTCTGATAGTTCGTAGCACTTTTTGTCTTGAAGACATGGATGAGCCTACGGCCTATATCCAGGAATGGGAAAATCTCACCTTCAAGTTCTTGAGAAGCAGAGCAGATGAGTCCGCTGGGTAAAGGGGCGTGTTGATAGACGCGTTAATAAAGTGGAAACAATATGGCACGCACTGAGCGACCCTCCGAACCCGATCACAGTTTGATACGTAACGTTATCGTTCACCACAATATGCGCGTCGCCAATTGTACCCGAAACGACGAATTGAAGAGGTGGTCGTGGATTCAAGGACTTGAAGAGGTTGCTTCTATTCCAGGTCGTCTGCCACTGACCATGCGAAAGGTCAAGAAATAACTGCTGCGTTTTCTAGAAAAAACCTACGATATCCCAAATTTGTTGACAAGTTGCAATTTCGCAGAGGGCAGAGATGACAATGATCAAATACCAGCGCATTTTATCACTTCGCGGTTCAGAGTATGTTTCGGGATCAAAGGGCGAAGATGAAACAACCAGAGAAGAGAAAGAAGGAACGGCGCCTGCTTCATCATGCAGTATTATAATCCTCTCTGGTGCTCTTGGCTTGTCGGTTCCGATATGTACACAAGGACGAAGGCGCAGTATGTCTTGCTCAAGTCGAATTCGAGCGCATGAATGTTGAATGTTGAACGTTGTACAGAGTATTGAAATATTGAACGTTGATCCGACATTTCCCAGACGATGTCCAATGTCAAGAGTTTCAGGATGCACTACTACACAATTTTCGGTCAGTGCGAGCTTGGAGATGAAGAAACTGCTTACCCCCATTGGTTTGGCTTGCCAGGGACTAAGTGAGTTCCGTGGCAGTCTTTGTAAAAGAGGCGTAGATGCACGGAATGATGGGCGCTATTGCACTTGCACGTATGTCATGTACCGCCTGAATGGAGCCAACTTAGGCACGATTGCAGAAGATGCTCTGATCAAGGGGAAAAAACTAAAATGCAATGCTGATCCAAAAAGACAAATATTTAAAAAGTAGGTAAAGAAAGGCGCGAACCACGATCCCGAAATGAACCCTCAGAACAATCCAAGTAGGTCGTCCTGTGGTTGCGGTTGGGAACCAGGCTTTCCTGGAGCCGGCGTCTGCGGCGCTGGTGTCATGGGAGCTCCGCCGAATGCTGACCCTACACCCATGGAAGTGCCGCCTCCATAAGGCGTAGCAGATATTGGAGCTGCAGCCCCTCCACCTCCGAATATCGATACGAGGTCGTCTAGTGGGTTGCTTGAGGTTCCAGCAAGAAGGTTGGCCGCAGCTGGCGTTTGTGATAGCACCTGGGTAGCCGCCAAACCTGACGGTTGACCCTCCAGTCCAGTCGAATCGTCGAAATCACTGTTAGATGTTAATAACGGTCTGATCGGGAGCAGGAAAGTACTAACAGCAAATTCTCTGCCTGTTGGCCAGCAACAACGGTTTGGAGAGCCTTTTGCGTCGAAAATTGGTCTTCGACACTGTGAACCGTTAGATTAACAAGCCCTGATGCACGAAGGCAATAAACCCGACGCACTCTGCTTTCCGCACTGAATCAGCACCGATCCGTCCTTTGCCGATGAAGGTCTCTGCTGGCTTGTGATACACGCTAGCAAGGGTACCGATTTCTCCAAGTAGCTCCTCCAGAAGAGCCGGTGCCACTGTCGTCCGAGGGATGGAGATGGGCGGCCTATGAGCGAGAACGACAGCCTGATGAACAGGATGAGAGATGTCAGTGCAGGAGTGGAGGTTTTCAACTTCAGAAACGGACCTTGGCTGCGGCAGGGTCCATGGACAGCAAACGCCAGTAGATATATGCGCGGTCTCGAACATCTGGAGAGTCGCAATCTCGCGTTGCAGTGTTGAGAACCTTCTGCACGATCCCTTGCGAAGAATCTGGTTTCTTTAAAAACAGTTTAACGACCGCTGTAAGCGTTTGCAATTGCACCTTCGCCAGCATGGATAAGACATTCGTTGAGGAGGCTTCAAAGACAAACTTACCGGATAAGCCTCCTCTGTGAAGGTGTCAACAAAGATTCCGAGCAGCTCGTCCGCGTTGTCGATGGTATTGGCATACTCTCCGATGATCCAGATGAGAGAAGCCTTCGCTTCTGGTTCATCAAGCTCATCAAGGTTAGAGCACAGGATTGGGATAATGCCCTCGTATGTTGAAGGATACTTCCGGAAGATGTCCTGAATTTTGGTTTATGAATCATGGGTCGAGAGCAAAGGCGATTGATTCAATTGATTACCTTCATGACCACAACGGCCTCCTGCACAACGTAGCTAACCCGCGTCGCGATCAGGTCGAGTAGTACGTTTACGCATCGCTCGGCGGCGACGTCGATCTTGACCGCTGTTTGACCGATTGCTTTGATGCTCTTGCGAACGAAATCGACATCAACTTCTGAAGCATACCTATGGACAACGTCATACAGAGGAAGAAAGACAGGTGGCGATCTACGTACTCTTTTAGCTCGCTAAGTAGAGCATCGACGTTGTTCTCCGACGCCAGCCGGACCATGATGTCCAGCTTTTCAACCTTGACATATAGCGGGTCGTTGTATTTACAGAAGAATACGCGCATCTCGTTGGAGAGGATGTCGGGCCTTTTTTGCAGCAAAAGGTTAATGTTTCGCAAGGCGACCCATTGGACCTCCGGAGGCGAGGACAACAGGGTAACTAATGGAGGTGCCATCTTGCGAACAAGCTGTTTCACGAGTTCTTCTCTCCGTACGTTGCGCATGTGGATCATTATGACCTATGTAGGTTAGTGAGGGTCGAAAACTAAAGGTATCTAGACGAACCTTCACCGCAGCAAGCACCACTGCCCCATTGACATGCTGAAACTGTGGCACAACACGCTCACAGATATGCTCGCTCTCCTTATCGTCCTGAGCAGAATAGCGTGAAAGCGCATTGAGAATAGCAACCCGGCCCCATTCAGAACATTCATTCAGAGCGATCAGGAGCTTGTTCAAGATCGAGGTGGTAATACTGAAGATGCCAGCATCCGGCGACGCCCCAGGTTGGGATGTAGCGGCGATGTGAATGTCCGTTAATGCAGCAACGGTATTGGCTACGACCTGGCGTCATGAATTGAGGGCAAAAAACGACAGTAATGCAACTAGCACTCACCATTGGATTACTGTCTGCGATCATCTCGAACAGTTGCTCCAGGAATCCATTGTCAATCACCAACTCCGGCTTGAGGTCGTAAAGTTTTGCCACACAAAGTGCCGCTGTCTTGCGTACGTATGGATTCTCATCCCGCAGACATTTCTGGAGGGGATCGCAGAGGTAATCAATGATCTTCTCAGCCCGCAGACAGCCCATCGTCCGGATAGCGAGCGCTCGAACCAATGGATTCGGGTCGTCCGTATCCTTGACGAACGTATTCACAGCGAGAATGACTAGCTCCGGTTGTGTCTTAGCGTAGTTCATCAGGTAAAGATAAACCAGTTTCTTCTGCTCGAGATCGTCCGTTTGCATGTTCTTGAGAACATCTGGGAAGAGTCCGCTGACATCTTACATGGATTAGTTAGAAAACGCGGGGGGAAGAAGAACATTGCAATACCTTTCCCGACGGTCATAGACGCGATAGTCCGTTTGATTGCATCCTTTCTTTTGTCGCGGTATTCGCTGTTTAGATCGACGCTGAGCTCGTAGTTTTCGCCCTTTCGAGGAGCACGTATGCTCATGGGGGCTAGCAGAGAATTAAAATGAGATAAATGAGGTCTTGGCTGGCCTCGTGGGCGGCTAGGGAAAGGGCGAACGATGAGGGTGAGATCAAAGTGCTTTGCTTTGCTTTGCTTTGTTGAGTTCACCGCGACCAGGCTTGCTTCCAACCAACGCGATCTCAGTTCTTGCTTTCTTTTCCATCATCTGCCCTTTGAATATCGCCATTCAAGAACCCCTCGTTTGACGACTTACCCCTGATGTAACCTGGATAGGGTTGCAATTTCATACGGTTCGTGAATTGTGGTGTCAGTCCTTTTAGCACGACCCGACTATTTCTTCACAGCCATCTGGCCGAATTGTTTACAAAGTATGGATAGCGGCGACTATATTAGCAACATCAATTCAGCGAGCGCCGGGGCTTGAGGCTTGAGCTTGAGCAGTGTACCATGATGGTTCTGACAGCCTCCTAGGGGATTTGAGCCCGATGACGTGCACAATGGAGGGTAAACTCTGCTGTGCTGCTGTCAAAGAGAATGTGTCTGAATTCATGCGGATGCTGGTGGTTAACATAGGTTCTGGGCATTGGTGAGTAGTACTGCCTTATCATAGGGACACTCACCTCAATAATAGGGTTCGTCGATCGTCCAGACTTTTCCTGGATCTGCCAACTTGTCGCACATTCAAAGCGACCCGGATAGAGAGATGCTTTCCCCAGGTTCGTCCAAGACTCTACCTGATCCTACTTGCCTCATCGATCATCCTTAGTCCAACCCCATAGTCAATTGCCATTATCATGGTCAACGAGCTCAAGAAGCAGCGAATCGCCATCGGCCACTTGCCAAAGCTATTGAGGCAGAACGCCTCTTCCCGGGTACCTTCTCGAGCAAGTGAAATATATGCCAGCTTCGTCAAGTCCTGAACAAATGTGATTCCCTTGGAGTCCCATGTCTTTCGCGGTCAACTGAATCTTCTCACTTCGCCCTTGAGCTTACGAAGGAAGTCTCTGTCAACATTGCACAGGGATGGGCGGACACCCTGGAGGAGATCATCGAATGCAAACTCCCTACGCCGCTATGCTACGAGATATCCTCGGTGGTACCCGACATGGGCCTTGAGAAGACATGTTGCTCCCACTTAATCTTACAGTTGGCAAGGGTGATGGATTCACGGTATGGCATCTACAGAGTCGAATGAACTCCTTGGAACCTGATATCATTTGTCGTGAAGATTATCCTACCCCAGCCAGAATAAATTTCATTCCGTTGAGTGTACTATCGAATGCAGCGAGACGAAGCAAGCGAGCAAGGCAGATATTGCACACAAATGCAAAATGAACAACAAAGTGATATCCCGAATTTCGAGGCTTAGCTATGTTCGAACTAAGTACTGCTCCTCGAGAGGTTGAACGGCCCTGCCGAACAGTTGTCGTGTCAGTTCCTAGACTGGTTAGACGCCAACCGCCCACACAGTGCCTTGCGCCCTTGCGCCATCCCGCTGGATGACCTCGCTCGCCACCTTTTTGAATCCGACGTTGACCCAGAAGCGGTGTTGACGCAAGCGGTGTTGAGGACTCCACGCTTCTTCTGCAATCTCGTCGGCCACCTCCTTGCGAGGAGAACCGGGGGGGTGTCCGTAGGTGCCACCCTCCTTCAGCTCCTGGCCCCAACAACAATCTCGTTCGCGGCCTCTTCGGTGCACCGAGGTGCTGCCTTTCCGTCGACACTCCTATGTGCGTCGTGTCCATCGTATGCACGCTTCATATCTCTCGATGAATTTGACTGCTGGCGTGCAACTCTGCAAGGAAGTCCTCGTCCTCTGGATCATAATCAAGATCTAATGCATTCACAGTTAGGAGTGAGTAAATCGAACAAATGACTGACATACCATGACCCGACATCAGAGCTGCTCCCATTGTCATGCGAGTCTCCAGGTCCGCATCTTCGGGGAATCTGAATCGTCGCTCGCGGCCCCAGCTTTGTCCTCCTATGGTGGGGTCATCTTCCTCGCTCAGCTCGCCCGTCTCAGGATCCCGAGATCACTAAACTTCGAGCTTCTTGACCCCGCCTGATCCCGTCGCCTGTCCTCCTCAGCCCGCTGGCGAATACAAGCACCGGCCGTACCTGGTCGAATTTCTGGTCTCCAGTACGACAGGGCGACAAGTTCGCTTGTTTTTGTCATCAGCTGAATAGCATGGAACGGTAACGCGGGTGGCGGTGGTTGGATCCTGTTGTACCTTCTGAATTTGATTCAGCATTGAGGATAACAAGAAACGGGTTAAGCGATCGACGATTTGGGCACGCAGGGTTGTGCGAGAAGCACGGGAGAGATGGACTAGAGGCATCTCGTGTTGTTCACAGTAAGCGGTCGGAGGCTGGAACGTAGGTTTTCCAGGGGATGCTGCTATCATAGATAGAGGCGTCGACCCGGGGGGAGAAAGTCTGGTTGTAGGGCGACAAGAGGTCGGATGGCAAAAGCAATCAGCTGCGAACTGGCAAGGAACGTAACTATATATTCCAGTCGAAAAACAAGTACCTACGTCAAACCGGCGGTTGGTAATATTTCCCGTAGAATCGAAGAGAGCTGGCTGGAAGTCGTTGTCGTGTCGAATAATTGACATGAGACCGTCGAGGGTGTCCAAAGAACTAGTAAAGGCGATAAAGGGATACGTGTCCATGGCCTTTTGAACAACGCGATCGACTGTGGTACAGCCCCATTGAGACGTGCGTGGACTGGGAGGGGACGAGAACGCACGATTTGCTAGATTGGACGCATCGTCGAGATGAACATTTTGGGACACAATCCCAAGCTCTCTGAGGATGGATTGCTGAACCACCCATCACCTTCACAGACTGTCGCACGTTTAAACGGAGACATACCACTTCTTCATTATATGTCCCATCCTTTGTGACAGCATTTACCCAGTACACTTGCTCGTGAGTGTAGCATATGGTTTTCGGAAACAAGGTTCGTCTTGCGCAACGATACGACCTGACTTCGTTGTCAAACTGACGGCGGTTGAAGTCCCTGCGGACAGAGGGGATCGTGGAATATCGACAAGATTGGCCATCCCACAAACGTGTGCGAATGGCTGTATTGAAAGTCTTCCGTCATGTGTGATGAATGACTGACATATTTGAGGCCAATTTGAAGTCCAAAGGCGCCTGCTAAGAGAGGAGTTCAAGAGATATGGTTAAAGAGCTGGAGGAGCAGAGAATCACCTGGCAGCCTCGTGCTACGGTCGTAGACTCGACAGGTTGAGATGACCTTCAGGCGTCTTCAACTAGGAAGGGACTGTGTGCGGCGATGACACGGGATAGGGGTGTCCTCGAGGAGATCAAGCTCTAAAGCACCGTAGAGACCTTAGCAACTTTCGGCGATCGTTTCTGGCGGAAACTGCCGGTGCTCAGCCCTACGTAGTATGAAGACGACAAACACCAGCAAGAAAGTGAGGACAGAGTCTTTCATGCAGGCGTAAGCTGGAATCGACGCCGGGTTGACAACAGTGCAAATGAGGGAATGCCTGTCTCTTCGCTCGATGGGTACATAGAATAGTCGAGTGTCATTGACAGGTGAGGATCCGCGGCGGACCAAGGTCGAGGGGCAGTATCGGGAATGTTGAGAATTTCTCGGAGAACAGGAAAACAAGATTGAACAAAGTGTCGTGTTTTAAGATTCTTCACCTGCGAGATGTAACGCGTGAAGTTCCCCTAGTCTTATGTCAATGGGATTAAATTCCGGATTGAGCCAATCCTGGGAGACGGAGGGACTCAAAATAGCTTTATCGTGGCTGTATCGAAAGACTCACAGCCTTCTGACACTCTCGATCACAGTAGGTCGGTTTCTGCGTGGTATGACACTTCCCCGCGCATTTCTTCAGCCTGTCAGAGCGTCGTCCCCACCTTCCACACGCTGTGCATACCCTTGATTTCATGATCTGGTGGCCGGTCTCATCCAGAAATTCGAGGTATTGTTCGTCGAGGAAGTCCACTTTCTCGTGCAGACCCGTCTCCTCTGGCAACACCTTTACCAACTCAGCGAGCGAGAGACACATTTGGTTTAGGATACAACAGCTGTTGGAGTACAGGCCTAACCCGCAACTCTCAGAGCAAAATTTGATGCCACTTGTCATATGGTGTGAGAGGGAGAAGTCCTTCGTGCCCTCGTTCTCTCTGTGCAAGTGGTAAGCAGAAATGGAGCTGGCGAGACTCGCAGTGACTGCACGCTTGGCAACTTTCTAGGACCTTATTAAGGATCTTCATGGCCGAATCTAAGTCAAGAGGGACACCATCGGTACCCGACATCAACCTAGAGAACAAGAGTGTTTGGCAAACTCTCAAGAAATGCAGGAATAAAGAGCAGCAAAACGCACCGAAGACCATATTCTAACATGTCATCGACGTTTCCCTTCTTGAAGCCTGCTTGGATTTGCTCGACGCTGCGGCGCATCAAACGGGAACCTACGCAATACGTCGCGATCCGATGCTTCCGCTCGAGTGGTCTCTCGTCAGTTCCTGCCCCAGAGAACATCCAATAATAGTTGGTTGCAGGCAGAAAGCAGGTGGCATACAATACGGTGTAGTGAATCATAGACTCCGTCAGCATTCCCGTCATTGGCGTTAGAGACGGGCGAGAGGAGCTTTCTGCTGGTCTGGGGTGCACCGACATGATATAGTAGAGAAGGTAGTTGCTGGCGCTGAGTAGCTGTAGACAGGCTGTAGAAGTTCAAAACAGCAGTCGGGCAACGCCGAAGCTGGCTGATGCGCCATCAATACGACCAAATATTCGCTCTGCTTCCCTCCTGCTCCAGTCACTCGCGGCCGCTGCAGACAATGAACTCCAGAAACAGGAATTCGATTGTCCTACTTGAGTCTATCGGATCCACGAAGGACTGTGCATGAATGGAATCAAGTGAGTGGGAAATTTCTTCAAGCCCGAGGTGCCTTCATCGCCGTTGAGCCTGACAGCTGGTACCATCATCGCCTACAGATATCGCGATGGATCGCACAAGGAGTCTTCGGAATGGAATATAGTGTTCAAGGGCCTCCAGCCTCTCCACTAGTTTGGATATCAAGAACCGCTCTTACACGACCTCCAGCTGGTCTTTCAACCATTGGGCAGTTTCACCTGCAGCTATGCTGTCGTGGTTGTGTCGAAGGAACGACAAGCGGCGATTCCGATCATTGGAAATCCCGTGTAGTAAGGGTTCTGCAAGACAGTCCGCGGCGTGTCTGATATTGGAGTACCAAGTTCCTGGCCTTCCAACGACAAATCTCAATTCTATGCTTCCATTCTTGCTCACTCTCATTCCTGTCCCTTCTGGCAGGTGTGGTCATACCTCAAGCGCACGGACCTATGTTGACGTTCTAATGACATGAAATGTGTGCTCTCCATCCAGCCACTGGAGACCTAGACGCCTCCTTTACTTCATATTCCATTCTCAGAAGAGGTAGCTTCATCCCTTGGATAGACCTTTCCTCTTAAGTAGAAATCAACGCCTCACCACAAGCTTCAAACCTCCGTCTGTCGATCTTCGAAAAGCCTAAATCATTGCTTGGTCACGAGCTCCGTGAAATCGGCCTTCGTGTGTTCCTCGAGGAGAGCCTCTCCAAGACCTTGCTGTCAACGCTTGTATTCGAATCAGAGGCGGCCACCGTGGCAAGGACCTCGATTTATTCAAGGAGCATATGATCAGACACAACGCCTCCAATGATCACCTGGTGCGAATGTTATATCCTTGACTGTGCTAGGCGACTCGCGTTGACGTTATATAGCGCAGTGCCGGACGAAGTGCTGTCGCTCCGATCTCTTGAGTCACCCTCGAGCACTGGTGAACAACATCGATAAATTAATCCTGAAGTGCCGAGATACCGTACTCGCCACCGATTATCGATTAATGGTTTGATATTCGAAGAACTCGAATGAAGAAGCTTTCGAAGACCGCCCATGGGCCACTCGCATTTGTTCCTCGACGTTTCTCTTCATCGGCGGGCAACACAGACTGTTCCAGCCTGTCTTCACATGCACAGACGACGCTGTTCCAGGTGTTCAAGATGTGCTTCGCTGCGCGTTAGAACCCTCGTGCCAAGCACTACTGGGTCATCTCGTTCCCCGCGTTGTTGCAGTGCAAGCTTTTAATGAGACGCTCGGTGGGGTGTATTGATTCCCCACTGCCTCTTCTCGACATCCCTAGGCAATTTACTCAGGACTCTGTAAACTCCGTCAAACCTCGCCAACGCCGATCCTCCGTCCGTCCGAACTCTAGACATCCGGATTCCTGAGTGCCCGCGAAGCCTCGCTTACAACAAGTCCATTAGGTCTAACGAAAGGAACACAGAACAGCATGATCAATTCAAACCATCGCATCGGTGGAAAAGGGGCGTACGCCACAATCCCTCTCTTTTATCAGATAATCGACGGTCGAGGACCAATCGATACCCGGCGATTGGCCGGAAGGTCATCGGTGAGGAATGCAGGCACTCGAACGCATGCGTCCTGGCGATGATCCGTCCTGTGCGCAATGCGCCCCGGATCGAAAATTGAGTCATGTCGAGAAAATTTCTGTGGTCTTGGAGATTCGGGAGTCAATAGAGGGATAAGGAGAATGCTAGGACTGTCTCGATGGTTTCCGGTATTAGAGGCTTTGCGCAAAGCCAGCTGGAGCCAGTGGTGGCTCAAATGCGTTGCGCTGAGGCCTTTAGCCAGCAGAACCTGAATACCAGACCGATGAATGCCATATATCAATATTACTTACATCTCTCTATAGCCTCATATTTGCTGGAGAGCTCCACGCGATATCAGTCTGTGGGGGTGGTTCAACGGTTGATCTCGGTTGATATTTTCTGCTGGCTCAGTTTCCATATATAGGTTAGTTTCTGGAGATTGCCGTACCTGCGCGGATGAATACGATGAGATACTTGCATTGTCACTGAACTCCCCTGGCATCCAGACATACATGGCGCAATATAAGACTAAGTTAAAACCATAGTCGCCAATTGGCCGCTACTGGCTACATGACACAGCGCAACGTTTTTGAGCCAGCACTGGCTCCAGCTGGCTTTGCGCAAAGCCTCTATTTTATTACTTTTGAGGTGGAGGCTCATCCTGGCTCACCCAGCGCTCAGCTGATTCACTAATTATCACAGGCACGATGGTGTATAAACCTTTCGTACTCCACCACTAGAAGTCCTGTTGCCTAGGAAATGATGTCCCCACTATTGCTCCGCTCCGAAGCACTGGGTACTGGCGCAGAGGAGAGATTGTTTGGAATGCAGTAACCATCGGAACGTCGGCGCGCGGTGCAGAAATCCATGCGCCACGCCGAACAAGTGTGACGCAAGTCCCATGATCGTCTTCCCTAAATAGGTTTTGTTGTTTCACTAAAAACAAACGGAACGGATGCTCGTCACAGGTCCATGCCACGGTAGGAAGTCTCCGGCGTGACACCCCACCTCCACAGCCACGCTCCAGGCGCCGTAAGTCCCAGAATTCTGGCGGGATTAATGGGGGACCACAACAAGAAAAGAAAGAACAAAGCCGACTGTTGGCTGGAAGGGCAATCCTCGAGTACGTCGCGAAGGATGTTATGTAGATCCGAAGCCCGATATTTTGAGACACGGAGCACGAGTGAAAGGATTAATCCTCTAGACAGGGTATACGACGGTCCGTCTCTTTCCTTGTTGATTTGCGTGGCATTTGTGTGCTCCTAGCCATCAAAGTTTGATCAACAGCTAAGCGCCCGAGCTAACATGAGAACAAGCGCCCGACTAGTAACCGCTTCCCATCATTCCCTCGCTTGATCCTGTCGACCGTCTTTTGCACATTAAACACCTCCGTCGTTCATAACGGCGTTTTTATGACCACTTCTCTGGGACGCTTTGCATAACATCCGATATGGAAGGGCGGTAGTCCAACTGTGAACCCGATGCTTCATCCAGGTCCGTCCTTCTGTTTGTGGTCCGTCTCAGCTGGGTACTTCTCGTCTCCGGTTAAATAGTCCGCGTAACATACTATACATAGACGTCACCCTCCGGAAGTCTGAGCTTAGGGTTATTTATAAACCGCATTCTGGGTCTTGTCTGACACGCCCGATCGATTAATCTCACTCCCCGAGTAGACAATCTCATAGAGTGCCAAAGGAGACTATTTACATGAATACTATCATAGAATAACCGCAGGCCTGGTGAGCTTTTTCGACAGTCCTCACACGAGACTCTGCTGCGCACTCGCAAACAGGAAGCCTGTCCTTTGCTCATGGTGGCGCACCTGCTCAAACTCCACCGCCGACGGGACATCCATTGCGTCTGCCTGAGTTGTTCCAGACGTCTTCGGAAGGGAAGTGTTTTCCTGGTCCAGCGGCATTCGCCAGATCTCCGTAGGCTAGCCCCCATATTCTCGGCCTATTAACTTTTCTTCGCCTTTGTTGATTGACAGACGGCGGTGGTCCTGTCATTTTACGGCATTCGTCAGACAAAACCCGGGCGTTGGAACATGATCCCGAAGGCAGCGATAATCTGTCAGATGGTTGCTGGATCACGGATATTCAGAATTGCATCGATTAGCTACTATCGCCCACTAGCTCCCGACGCGAAGAGTGCACACAGCAGCTGACCGATGCGTGTTGGAGCTTCCGGGACGCACACCAATTCTTTTGGGCAACCCGAGCCAGAGGCAAAAGTGACAACCACACATCCCCATGTCCGAGCACCTTCTGAGCAATAGTTCGAGCAGATTCCCCTCTAAAAATACCTCGATCTCCAACTAGGCGTACCTTTCTCTAGCGATCTACGTCCCTGTCCAAGAATATCCATCCCCCGAGGTAACTTACTGTGAATAGCTAATCAGCAAGGAGGGGACACAAGACCACTACCCACGCGCTGTCAGGAACCTCGAAGCTCAATTCAAATACCTTGTCTGACTCTCCACGAATAGCATTATCGCGTGTGGTATTCTCTGTCATTCTGCCTGGATTCTATACTTACTGCTCGACTCGAAGACTTCGACATGGTTCCAGACGTGAACGTGCTACTTTGGCTGTTACTGTGACCGTAGGCATTTATAAACACGCGTGGATGCTGCCCGTTGTGGTTGTGTTGGCTGTCTGACGGTCCCAGGACTAGGAAGGCTTCTCTTTCCCAAGATGCAAATGCATACGTTATGACGGTGAATACATACGCCGAGGTTCCCTCCGACGCTATAGCAATACATTTGGATGAAGATGCAGCCATTCTCATCAAGATATCGAGGTTTCCTAACCTACGGTCTCCAGAGAACACTCCCAGTAAGTGGTTTCAATGAATATTCATGATCAGCAATCAAATGAAATGCCCTACAACAGGATATCGCCCTGCTTAAGTTAATACCTTACTCGACTATTCCGGCTTCGCGCCGCGGGATAGACGTACTATACCGCAGGAATCGCGAGATACGCCGAACTTCGAAGTCATGACAGCGCCCAGCCGCTCAGTAGGACGCCCAGGACAAGACGGCGTTCTCTGTCAGTGGATTCCGTCGGTTTGGAGGCTCAGAATTGAATGCCTGTGATGAGGGTGCTTGCTAGATGCGCTGAGGGTGCCCGCGCAGTCTATAGACATCGTATGGTCCATGACCTACAGGAGATTCGAATGGCCGGCGTTTTGAACTTTGGTTTTGAATGGCGCGTCCCTGTTGGCAGGAGATGACAGCATATCTAGCCAATTGCACGATTGAGAAAAAGAAGCGCCGGTGCCTCACCAGAACTCCTCGGCGTCTCCGGAATCCACTGGTATGGGGCTATGGACCGTCTTGAGACGCCCACAGCTTCCACGCGTCGACCCCAAACGCACTCACTCACATGCGCTGTGCTCGCTTCCTCCGAGTCGGGCGTTCACATTCTCCAAGAACCAAGTTTCGGTTTTGGTTTTCTGTCAAACATTCTTATTATTAACTCCAACCCAACGTATGTAATAAGTGTGGCACCGCTGAAGCCACGCACGCACCCCAACACGCCTACAGACCACCATGCGTCAAGCGCGTCTGAGCGTGGATTATTCTATATATACGTGTGCGAATTTTTTGAGCTTCGTGGCTGCTACGGAGAGGAGCACGTACGTCAGTAGCTCAGACCCCGAAATATTGAACGCGTAATATTGCGTTTCGAGTCGCTTGCGTCGCGTATGGAGGCGACGCGGGATGGCCGGGCCGGGCCGCATACTTGCTTGCGCGGCGTCCCAGCTTTCTGTGTCCCAACTTCGAAGTCCAAATGCCACAGGTCCAAGGTAACGGGTAACAATTCCAATGATACGTCTCCCTGGACCGTCACTTCAGCACCAGAAAGGAAGCTCGGGAACATATCCCCTCCTCCGGCCCTCTCTCATTCCACCACTCAGAACGCGCAAACTCTCTTCCTCTCGTCACCGAACCTAACGGCCTGTCGGAAAGCGCAGATGTCAGACATACAGTATGTAAGTGTCAAATAAGAGCAGGGTCCCTTCCTTAGCTGCGGCGCTATTCCTCACTTGTCGCCGTCCGTTGACGTCCGCGTCCGTCTAACTTACCTACCGAAAGGAATCGATGTACATGTACGGCACCGCGTCGAGGCCCTGCGGGTTCCCAGCGATCACGACATAACTTAGCTGTCTATTTTGGATACCGTATCCCAACACCGAGCACCGAGCACCGAACCCCCACCAATCTACTTCTGTCGTGTTACTCAATGTTCAACGTCTATGTTCTGAAGCCTGGACCTGAAGCCTGACAGAACACATACCTCCTGCCAGCGTCAGCTGTCACCGCTCGGAAAACAGGCCAACACGCCTTTAATGCGCGTTTTTCGCCATTCCACGTCCGCGCGCTGGGCTGTGGGGTATGGTTGGTCTCGTGCAGATGTATGTCTGCCACGATGTGTAGAGGAAGTGCAGAAGGGATTTGTATAGCGGCCGCCCCGTGATCTTAGGAGATTGGGTTGAGATTTCTGGGAGGGAGATAAGGTGAGATCATGGTATCCATCTTATAATTAGAGGATTACTCTCCCTTGAAATTGAATGTAGTGAGGGAAGGTAAAGTGAGAGTCTGGACTCGCATTATTGCTTTGCCTATTTTCTTTTCCTTCCGTCAGCTGTTCATCTTAATACTCAGTACCTTGTCTTCCCCGCAGCCTCCAAGTAATTTACTTTGATGATCTGCTGAACATGGGGTATCTCGCTCTACCTCTTGATGATAATAGTAGCTCTAGCTATCTCTGAAAGCTTTCACGGGGGATTGAATAGTCGATCTGGGGACCATAGTCCTTTCAATAAACACCGGCGCTTATCTTATCCCCTGGATCCAACCTCTGTGCGTTGACTATTTACTTACGTTCAACGAGGCACGTTTGCTCGCTACTAGTACCAAGTCGAAATACGAACGTGCGTCTCATCCCCAAAGGCGCTGAAACTCCCGAAATGAATACGATCAACCACGCGTTCTGACTTGCGCCTCGCGCATGCCATCACGCATCAAAGACGCATCAACTCGTTCGGTGGGCGACCGCTCCGACTCCCGACTTCCGAATGTCCATGCGTCCAGCGTGCGTGTGGAGAACGCATCCGTCCCCGATACGCATGTGCGGGAGAGAATACGTGCTCCGACTCTCCGAGGTGATCCTCTCCAAATCCCCCGAAACGCGAACTATACTATCACGCCCTTCTTCTCAACTTCTCCAGTGGGTCCCGGACTCAATTTAAAAGGCGAAAGAATTCTACACAACATACAATTCTACGACGAGTTCTATACCTCCCGCCCCGCTGACCTCGCACTCTTTCAAGTTTCAAGTGACGAAGACGTCTCCACTACAAGTACTTACTTAACCAATTGCAAGTCCACAAGCCATCCGCGCCATCCGCGCCATCAAGACTCCGCATTCCTCGTCCCGAGGGCCGATCGCGCTGCCGCTCTGGGATGAGCTCGAGCGCTCCACTCTCTTTGTTTGTTCTTTCTCTTGCGGTTAGGCCGTCGACATTTGGTCCATTTGGTCTCCTTGTTTTACGAAGGGAGATGCTCCGACTCCAAGCACCCCCAATCGCACTCAAGTACTTAGTAAGTTTAGGAAAAGGAAAAACGTGCCGTTTAACTGGCACGCCTGGCGCTACAGCAGTCGAATAATGTGCCGCCCTTGACTAAGTGATAATTTGGCCATCCTTCAAGAAGGACCATTCCGCGTTTTGGAGACAGTTTAAACTTGCCGCCGGCTCAGGCTCTCCAGGTTTTGTAAATTGTCAAGCGTGTTCGACGCGTGCCGGCACAGTAGTGCAGTCCAGGAAGTTCTGCCAGACGAGGAAGGGGTGAAATTTATGCAGCCCGTTCAGACTTCTAAGCTAAGTGCTTCCTACAATAAAGTATCATCATAAGCCCTCGACTGACTGACATCACACGACTCGCGAGTTCCCCACAAATCAAGTTCCTGAGTGTATTTAACTCTGTGATCTCTGTTCTATCTACCGGACCCGCAACTAGTTAACCCTCCAAGCATCAGCTCAACCATTGCATTTGCGCGACAGGCTCAACCGCAAGCTCAACCGCAAGTTATAAACCCAAACTCAAACCCAAACCGAAATGCACGCTCAACCTCAACCTCAAGTGTGACTTGTGAACATCGACGACCAGGGGGCCATCACCAACAAACAACTTGAAGCTCAGGCCCTCCTTGCGCAGAAATGCCTCCCCGTTCACGAGCTCGGCGCTATGTTACTGTAAACCACCGGAATTCATTCATTCGAACCCCTCACCCTACCCCTTGCCCTCCGCCCTCGCCCCGACCCCAATAGGGCTCCTAAGAAACCACCAAACTCAAATAAACTCAACTCTCGCAGTAGAGTAGGCTTTCATATTCCCAACCCCCCCATCAGCATGGGTACTGTTATAATTAGACCCCGTATCAATATCACTGACAATAAACATGAACATGTAAAGCGTAACGGGGGTGCAAAACCACTCGCCTAATCCCTAACTAGATCTCCTCGAGGCACCTTCATGTCTCTTCACGTCTCTTCATGTCTCGCCTAGGCGGGTGTGCTAAAAATAGCACCCTCCCTCCTCTTCCTCTCGATCACCCTCCTTCGAGTCCATGACATTGATCATCATCAGCTGCAAGCTGCAGCTATCAACCCGCCGAAACGCACCGAATTCCACCCAGTAACATCACTTTAGAAACCGTGTGTCCTCCTCGGACTTGCCACTACGCACCGAAACGCACTGAATACGAATCGCGCATGACGCACAACACATTCAAAGAATTCGAAGGCTCGGTCTCGAAGAACTCGGAGGGTGTATTCCTGGAAAAACATACCAGACCGTTAACACGCCCCGAGGGTCCACCCGCCCGCCCACCCACCTGGCCATGGGGTGGGTGGGCGATAGGAGATTAGGGAGTCCGCGGGAGAGTGACTTGTACGACGCGACAGTGTCCTCCCTTGAACATGCACGGGGTTAATCGAATTTAAAGATCCTCTGGAGTCTGGATCCCATCCCCCAACTCACACCACACACCGAAAAAACAGACACCTTAATTTATTTCATTCAAAACTGCAAATGTCTGGCTCGTGCGGTGTGGTATCCGTATGATAATACTTTATGTTATGTTAAGAATGCGCGGATTGGGGTGCGGATGGTGGGGGGTCGTCATGGAACGTGAGGCGAACTGAAGTGAACTGAAGCGAAGTGCAAAGTGCAAAAAGTGAAATGACAAAAAGGAGGCGCGAAAAGTGCAAGAGAAACAAGAACTTCAAAAAGCAAGGTGGAAAACATCAAACATCGAACACCGAACAAGAAAGAACAAAAAAACTCCCAAAGGCCAACCTCAGAAGTCCAACCCAAGTACGATCCGTACGTGCCAACGAACGGCTGGCGGGGGCGGACACTGCAGTGAGGCCAGAAGGGGGCTCGCCGGCGTATTGGCGCATCGGCGGTTGGTGGTGGCTCGTCCGCACGAGTGCCAACGAACGGCTGGCGGGGGTGGTATGCGGACGCGCGGGCGTATTGGAGGCGGCGCGCTTCAAGGTTGGAACGCACGCACGGATGGCACAGCGGCCAAAAGTGAAAAGCGGGGTTGCGAAGGAGACGAAGGTGTGGTTGCGAAGGCCAAAAATAAGGTTAAAATCGAGGGTGGAAGGCAAGGAGAGGAGGGCATAGTGCAACGCGTAAGAACGTATGTCCGACGATGTGAGAGTTTGAGATGAGGATATGCGGGTATGGTATGAACGGATGAAGGGTCGTGCGGGTCGTGACGAAGAAATGTGAACTTGAACTCGAAACAGGATAACAGGGTAAAAGGCGGGGGTAAAGTATGAAGGAAGAGGAAGAGAGGACAGTCCACGCATGCAGGTGCCGGAGTGGGAGAGCGGGATAAGAATATGTACATGTTTTGAATTTGGATCTGAGCTGCGAACGTTGAACGTCGAATGTCGAGTGGCGAGCGGCGGGTCGACGCACGCAGCGTGGTCGAAGGCCGGTCAGGTTAAGGTCGTCGTCGTCCAACCCGACGGTCTGGAGGACCAGAACCTCTCAGAACCCTCCCAAACACCCATCATCCACGATCCCACTCCCAAAAGCGTGCTGCGGCGATTCGTAGACCTTCCTTCTCCTACTACTGCTCCTCTTCTTCGGCGTCGTCTCTCCATCATTGACCGACATCGCTGAGAACCCCACAAGCACTTGCCCTAGCCCGGTCGCGTCACCCCCAGCACCCCCACCGCCGACGGCACCCGAAGCACCGCCAGGACAGCTTCGTATCCGATCCGGATCCCTCGAGCTCTCATGTCTGCGCTCGCGCTCGCTGCGCCGGCGGCGCGCAGGCTTGTCTTTAGTACCGGGCCCTTCGTCGTCGTGCTCGTACCCATCATACCCATCCGTGGTGGTGGTGGTAGAATGCGATGAAGGAGGTGAAGGCGGGTAGGGGAGGAACGTTAGAGCGTCGTCACTCGGGGAGGAAGAAGTGCCGTAGGGGGCGTATGACGACGAGGAAGGGGCGTATGGGGCAGAGGCGGAGTAGGGCGACGACGAAGGGCTGTAAGGTGATGTTGGAGAGTAGGGTGAGGCGGAAGGGTAGATCGCCACGTTCTTGCTGTTGCCACTCGCGCCGTTCGAGCTAGAGGAGTAGGAGGAAGCGGACGAGGAGGAGGAAGAGGAGTACGGGGAAGAAGAGGAGATAGCGAGCCCGTGCACGCCAAACGTCACTGGGGGCCCGTACGGCGCGCCGCCGATACCCGCGAAGCCGTCGCTCTCGTCCGACTCGGAGGAGAGGTCGGGGATCAGTGCGGGGACGCCTAGGTAGCTCGCGTTGTTCCCCGTCGCAGGTGGGGCGGGTGCGCCTGTCGAGTTCCCGATGGACGTGGCAGTGTTGGAGGCGGAGGCGAACGCCAGCGCACGGGGGTGGTAGTCCCTCGCACCACATATCCCCCTCCCACCCTTACTCTTCGTCGGGCTCCGCTTCCCCTCGTCAAAGTACGTCCGCCCCGGACACCCACGCTCGGGCATCGCACAGCTGTTCGGGGCGACGACGATAGGCGACCTGTCGTACGCGGAGGACGAGTAGGCTGTGAAGGTGCGCGCGAGCTGGGAGGGCGAGGGCGGGAAGTGTACGGAGGGCGGGTGGGGGTGGTGGTGTTTCATGTGGGCCGAATGGGAGCCAGGGCCTGGGGCGGAGTGCGGGTGAGGATAGGAGTGGGGGTGGTATGAGGGCGAGGAGAGGTGGTGCGAGTGGGAGGGGAGGGAGGCGTGGTGCGTGGAGGAGTGGGAGGAGTGGTCGGTAGAGGAGCGCTTGAGGATGGGCTTGGGCGATTGGACCATCGTGGTTAAGAGGAGAGTGGCTGGGTGGTTGTTATCTTGTCGGTGGCTGTCAGTCGCAGTCAGCAACAGCAGCTCTGTGCGCTCCGAGTCTTCTCAGCGAAGAGTCGCAGTAGTCGAGCGCACGACGGGCTTTAAGTATCAACAGAGCAGGGGCATGGTGGAAGCGGTATAAGTACTGTGCGCGGGCGATGAGAGGAAAAGATTAGGTGCGACCGGAGGCGAGGGCCATAAATAACGCCCTCTTCTTCATCAATTGGCTTTGTTTACCCAGATGAAAATCGCCAATCTTTGCTTTGGATCCCGATCCACCCGATCGCAATCAACCAACCAGCCAGAACGGGCTGTCACGCCGTAGTCTGGTCACCTCCGGGTGGCCACCGCCGGACTCTCGGCGCCCAGGTGGACGGGTCCCCATTGTCCATCGTGTCCCAAGGACCGGATTGGGCAGGACCTCCCGGGTGGCCCCACCGACTGGCGAAAATCGCGCACGGGACGCGCATCAATCATTCCGACTCGAACGCGAACGTGCGCTCCATGCGTCCAGTGGCCTGCGCATCTCCTTCCAGCTGCCCCGCCCATTGTTCATCCCGAGGCAAGGGATAGGAATAGACAGGGCTTGTTTTCTTTCAAGTCCTTCCTTGCATCCATCCATCTTGTTCGATACCCGTTATCTTGCCCTCCCTGAGGCTCAGCCCAGCCCTGGGCTACCAACCAACCAACCAACGTTGTTTCCCTTTCTCCTTCCCGTTGACTTCCCTTCAACCTGACGTTCCCTTGACGTTCCCGTTCCCCTCAACTTCCGTTCCCCAGGCCCCAGCCCGCCTCGTGTCGCCCCTCTCACGCTCGCCCTTGGAGTAACTGTCCATCTCCTCGAGGCTGCCCAGCCCCTTGTCAAGCCTATGTTCTAGAGAAATAATTATAGCGCTGTCCCACCCACTGTGCTCTGCAACAGACACACTTCGAATTCGATCTGCGTACACGACACAAGATACAACGGCCCACAAGCCGCATTGACATTGACATTGACAAGACACAAGTGTACATGTCAAGCCCACAAGCTTCAAGCGCTTCGACGTTTCGTTTCGTTAACGAAACCCTCCTTGCACATCGCTCTCTCTCCGCCGGCGTTGGAAATTTGCACGCGTCTGAAAGTTTTCACCTTCCAAGTCGCCGCATCTGAATGTCGCACCGCTTCAAATAACATCTCATCTCCGCCGTCCGCTGTCCATCGACAAATCCGAGTCCGAGTACAAATCCGAGCCCGCCGTTGGCCACCGGTCCGCACCTGTCTCCTCGAACTGTTCCGCGTCCACAGTATCAGTATCAGTATCAGTGCTCGCCGCGGCTTTCTGTCATGAGCTTACTGAAGTTATTCAGTTCAAGACTTCAAGAAGACCCTCATGCTAAGCCCTTACATACCTCCGGCGTATCAAGTTATCAAGTCTTATCACGCCCACGCCTCTGAACACCCTTCGATTCTTCGACCCTTCAAGTTAGGTTCGACCCTTGAACCTGAGCTTGAGCTTGAGCTTGAGCCTGGACGATGATTCATGATTCATGAACGCGCAGCACCAGCGCCAAGCCCATCGAACTTCCAATACCCTTCCAACGTTGAACGAAAAGGTCTCGAAAACTTCAAAACTTCAAAGCCTGTCCAACGAAAAGCCTCGAAAACTTCAAAGCGAAAATGCAGCGAGTTGCACTGCGGGAAGCGGTTCAGAAACAACTCTTGGCTTCAGAAGAAGCGAAGTCGGGAGTTTCATCGCTTGCGCGTACGGTGTATGTACGCGCGGCTTGCATCTAAGTGGTTTTTCTTGCCTGGGTGGCCTGCTTCTGGTTTCTGCGTGGCTTGCCATTCTGAGTGGCTTGTTTGCAATTTGAGTGGCTTGTCGGAACGAACGCTCGTCGCTCGTCTATATTGTTCGCCCGCTAACGTCACGGAGTAATATCGTCAGGCCAGTGGCTACGAGAGACTACTCGCTAACAGACGAACGTGTCATTGTCAACTGTGACGCGTCGGCTGGGGATGTCGATGACGATGCTCGATGACGACAAGTACAGCACAACTTGCCTCGAGGCGCCCAGACGACGTCGGCTGGAGCGGACGCAAGTTTAAGGGTTTCATACTTTCAACTTTCAAGACAACGCGAGGCGGGCCAAGTCTGGGATGGTCAGCCCCCCAATGGCTAATCGCCAGCCAACCACCAACCACCAACCAATCTACTTACCGCCATGAGCCCCTATGTAATAAGTAAGGAGCGGAATGGCGAAGGGTCGTCAGCCGTCGGTCAGCCAAGTCAACAGTCCTAGTCAACCAGCAGCAGCCAGCCCCCGGCTGGCAAGCTCAAGGCTGATTCAGAATAAAAGTCGACGATGCTAGTGGACGCTAGCTTTCGACCAACAGCACCTTGCCAACGCCCACGTCGACCCCGGGCATATGCATTGGCAAGGCAGCACGTACGGCCGACCCGTATACGCTGAATCGGCGCTTTACATAGCACGCGTTAAGTACTTTTATCGCCAATACCCTCAGGCTTCGACCCAGAAATGCCGCTAGCCGTATGGGAGGCGAAGGCGAAAGTTGGGCGAAAGCGAAAGCACTTTAAAACTTTAAAGGCGGGAGTTTCAATCCCTCGTTGATGGACCAAGTCATTGTCAACCGTGACGCGCCGGATGTCGATGACGACAAGCACAATACAGCTCGCCTCGAGGCGTCCAGGACGACGTCGATGGGAGTGGAGGTAGGCTAGGGGTTTCAAGTCGAGGCGAGGGGCTAAAGCCTTAGATGAGCAAGTCTGAGACGGCCAGCCTCCCAATGGTCGTTTCGTTCGAATTCTACCCGTCGGTCAGCCAAGTCGACTGCCAGCCGCCAACCGAGGCTGAATAAAACCCGGCCATGAACGAGTGGCGAACGAAATTGTTCGAACGACCTTCAACAACACCTCGACCTCGACCTCGACGCCATGGCAAAGCAGCACGCTTCCCCCCAGAAGAGCCTGAAGAGGAGGGAAGACCGTCAGCCGTCAGCCGCCCAACGATAAAATCGTCTCGTTGCAAATATTCAAACATTCAATCTTGCGTCGACGGAGCAACGCAGTCACACAAAGTTCAAACATTCAACGTTCAACGTAACGTTCGGCGCTTAGGCCACTCTTCAAATACTTACTCTGGAACGCGAACGACGGGCGTGTTCGCTAGCGTTCAAACACCGTGATTCTGTAGACCGTGACTGTCCTCAAACCTCGACTCGCGATCGGACGCTCCTCGCCCGGCATTCGACCAGGCAGACGTCGACTCAGTACAGCACGGCGACGCCAAGGGCAGACCCTACGCTCAGCGTTTTAGCACCTTTTAGCTCCCCGATTCCCTTCGATGAGGCGCGTCGTGGTCGATTCAGCGTCGAAGAGCGAAAAGGCGGGATGCGAACAAGGGATTTTAAAAAGGGTCCTGGAACGCGCTTACTATCCAAATCATCGTGCCTATTGGACGTCGACCTCACGCGCCTCAAATTCAAGTTGGATCATGAGGCCAAAGTCTTGAGGGCCCTCGTCGCCGTCCACTATCCATCGCCACATGCGCACGCCCAATCCCGACCTGAGCCCTTGGGCAGTAATGAACAAACAATAATCGCGGCGAACACAAGCAAGCTCGAGCCATAGAAGCACGATGACAGTGTTAACTTCTCTAACGCACCTTCTGTCTGTCTGGCAACTCGGTGCTGACGTTTTGGTACGCAAAGAACAAGACAAGGCAAGACGTCTCGCAACTCCGCGTCCACCGCGGCAGCCATTCCTCCTACATGCGTTCATCTGAATCTTCTCCAACCTCCAGTGTCTCATTCGACTCGGACGCTTATGGGGTACACCTCCAGGCAAGCTCCTTGGGACTCGAACTGTCGTCAAAAATCTACGCGTCCGACAACCCTACCTACCTACCGAACTCGGATGGAATCCCGACGAACGAATTCAAAATAGTGCCGAGACAGGTATCGCGTTCTAGCGCCGTCGCACGACGCGAATAACCCTTCAATGAAGGGCCCATTTCGGACAAGTTTCAACTATAGGGCACTTACCTCCTCCTCTTTCGCGCCTCCAAGCCCTTGAACCTTCCTCTCTCGTCCCTCCTCCACTTTCAAGCAACCATCTTCTCTCGTCCAGCCGTCAAATATCGCTCAACTGCTTCCTGCCTCCTCTCATCGCCACAGGGTCCCTGCCTACACTAACCCGGACCAGGACCAGGTAAAGATGGCTCCTTTATCACGCCAAGCGCTGATTAGTTTCTGACCCGCTGAAGGCGAAGATTGAAGCTGAAGATTGGCTTCAGGCTTCAGGCTTCGGGCTCTGAGTTTGGCTGATGTGGCTCTACTTCCATTGAGCCGCCTTCGCGTTGGGTGATACGCTCAAGGAATCCATCACCAACAAAAAAATACGCTCGAATCCATATTGGCCTTGGCCCTTAGTCTCTTGATTATTGTCTTCGTCAAAAATGCCGTACGCCAGTACTAACGGCCTTTCGACCACCGGGGTCGAATTGACAATTATTGAGCGTTCTGGACGCCGACGGTTTCACTGTCACGAACAGTGCAAAGGTTCTCTCGACGCCCTGCTCGATACCAGCGTTTCAAAATCCTCCTCGACAACCTGCCAGTGGGAACTCTGGCATTTAATATTCAATTTCCACCCTCCCATCCGCTCTCGGTGCTCAGAAGGATCCAAGCCTTGCCCACCTGCCCCCGTGCCACTTCTGTATCTCAAGGTCTAAGAATCATCAATCTTGCTCGACGCCGATATCAGAGCACGCCGCAGTCCTATAGCTATATCTTAACCACTCGCCTGCCGCCTCCACTAGCAATGGAAGACTCCACCTTGCGGTGCCAAGCCGACGAGATATTAATCGCTCGCTGGCGGTCTGGGTGGGCCATTCGTGCGGCCGTCTCCCAGTGTTCCTTCATTCGCCTGATTCAGTGCGACGCGATGTGGGTGAACTGGTGAAGAGCTGTG